CTCTCGAAAGCCTTGGCCATGTGATGCGAGATGAAGTACTCGTAGACCTAGACATCCATTAGAAATTCCAACAACTTTGTAGGTCTAAATAAACTTGCCTGCATCATTGTGATAATCGACTGCTTCGCGTTCGCTAGTTCAGTCTCACCGCAAACCCCAAGCACCTTCTTGTCATGAATGCACCTACAGAAAAACAAACGTCAACTTGCAATTCCCTGAATAACGAACATCGACTTACGCAGAGATCAACCGGTTGACAGAATAAGGCTCCACTGTTGTATCAGCATCGACCGTAAACAAATACTCGAAGAACGTCGGGTTGACACCAATCACATTCTTGATCTGGTGGTACATCTCCAGTTCGAGCGGGTTCATGGGCGTACTGAAGTGAACCTGCACATCAAGGTTAAATAACAACCCCACAATTCCACGAAAAAGACGCTTACCTTGTTCAAGAAATGCATGATCACCATCTGAGAATCACGCTTGCCACGGTTACCCGGCCGTGAACGCTCAGATGGTTTGCCGATCTTCACCACAACCAAGTAAGGAACGACGTGCCCAGCGCACTCGTACAGACCAGAGTACACCTTGCCCATGTTGTGCTGCCTCGCGCCTTCGCCCAACGAGACGAAACTGAGTGGCTCAGGGTCGAGATTAGGATCAGCTCCAAGGATATCGAGCACAATGCGAGGCGTGGGACGGTCATTCCCAGAACCAACGATGTTCCCATCACAAATGACAAGAATCAGTTTCCGCTTGTCGTCGTACTTGAGTTGCGCCAACGAATCGATGGTCTTCCGCAAAGAAGTCTCGCCTTCTGTATAACAAGGAACCTGGCAAATAACGAACTTGTCATGGTCTTCAGGCGCACGAGGAGACGCGAAGTTGATGGAAGCGATGAACTTGAACGCAATGATGCTGACCATCAAAATGGAGAGTGCGAGCAAAATACCCTCTGCGAACTGACACTGTGGCGAGTTACGGTTGTCCACCATACCGATCAAAAACAAGTTACGGAGACAGGTACGTTGACGATCCAGCGTAGCAGAATCGAGACCGAGAGAATCAAATTGCTTCGTCAGATCTTGCCCAGAGTTGTACTTGAAAAGGTTGACGACGGATGTGTCCATGAATTGATCGCTGATGCCCCCGGGAAGCTGCTGACCAGACGGAGCTTGGACGGCAGGTCCGTAGTTGACATAGGTCGTGAGGTCGTAGATCATACCGTTGTAGATACCGAGCGAATAGCCAGAGTTGGCCATGGTACTGATCTCCGCAGGCGTGTAACCCATGTATCCGACGCGGTTGTTCCATCGCATGATGGTCATACTCTCAAAGTACCAATCTGGACGGGAATCATTGGTAAAAGCGCGGAAGTCGTGATACGAAGCATTGGGATCGGTGTCGTTGGCAGAGCTGAGAGTCACATAAGGGCTGACGGAGCCACTCACGCCATTACACAACGCAGAGACCTAAAAGCAGGTAAGAAGGAACCAAACCGTCCATATAAATACCACTAACCTGAACAGGGAAGATCTTATCCGATGAAGTACCGCCATACGTCTGAAGGATTGTCTTGACAGGCACGATACTAACAACGCGCTGATGAGTCGCCGCAACGGTCGTAAGATCAAACACCTCTCCCCGAACCGACGTATACACATTATTCGGCGAAGCCGTATACGAATGCGACGCCAATTCCGAGGTGCTGAAAACATGCTCCGTGGGACAGATCACCAAGCCCAGGAAGACGATGACGAAGATAGCACACCCGCAGAAGAACCAGATGACAAAGTTGATCGCGAGCTTTTCTCTCCATGCTTGTCGGACATCCTCGCGCTTCATTCGGCCAACCCATCTTAGGAGGAGAGAAGGCATCCACCATGTCAGAGCCCAGCACATCCCGACCCAGCGACGACGCGCAGAACTCTCCTTGAGCACTTCAGTTGTCTCGCCGTCTCCAATCTCACCGGGAAGCGCTTCTTTCACCATGAGACCCTCCTTATCCGCGTTCTGGAACATGTTGCGAGAGGGAGCATATGATTCAGTGCCGTAGTTGGAGTTTGAGTCGTCACGGTTGCTCGTGAGGCGGCTGCGATTGTCAAAGTCGTCACTGCGGAAAGACTTGCGCTCGTCATACTCCTCATCATACATATCGGCGCGCTGGAAGGGAGACGCGTTGGAGACAAGAGGAAGAGCAGGGTCCGAGAAGGCATTGACGAACGGCGACTCCTCACCATTATTTGCGCCAGGCGAAGAGTAAGGAGCGTATGGGTCGCCGAAGCCACGGACATCAAGTCCAGCCTCCGCTTCAGCATCACGGATACGGTTGCGCTTCTGCTCCTCAACATCGGATGCACGAATACGGTCCTCGAGCGACTGGAACGCCGCTTGTGACATGAAAACCTACAAAAGATCCTTAACAAATGGCTCAGCCACACTTTAAATGTACTTGCCTTGAACTGTCCAAGAACAACGTCCCGCTCTCTCAGCGTCAGCGCAGTCCGCGTTTGCTCAACACGTTCCCTCGGAGTTCCCTCCGAAATGCCCAGAGCCGAAATGGGATCCCTATACCTCTGACAAAACTCCTCCGGCGTCATCCCGACCTCAAACACATTTACGTTCCGCTTCGCGATCTCCGTCAAGCCGAGACTGCGAACCTGGCCCTTGACAGAACGACCCTCAAGCTGGTTGGGCAGCTGCGAGTCATTCGGGTTGATGCAGAACACGTACCAGTTCTGCGTGTCTACTAGTGTCTCGAAGAGAGTGTCGAGTGCTGAACGGAACTCGCCTGCGACGCAGGGTGTGCCGCTGTTGGGAGACGCTGTGATATCATCGTCGTCCTTATCCTGCTCTTCCACGCCGTTCTCCCGCAGCGTGGGCATGCGCTTGATGGTGCCTTTGCGGCGGGTTGATGGGGCACGCATGGGCTTGACGGGCTGCTGGGCAGCGACGATGGTGTCTTCGTTCTTGGGGTGCGCTTGTGTTGCAATAGCCTTGCCCGAGAAAAGACCTTTGACAAAGGGGTTCATTGACCCAGCACCCTCTGCGCCATCAGAAATGCCCGAAGTTGAGCCACGGAGAAGAGAGACGAAGTCAGGGTTGAGAGCATCGAGGTTACGGTCCAAGAAGCCCTCAGCAGAGTAAACGACGGGGCCGTTAAAGTGATTGACGGTGAACGTGGGGAAACCAGAACGGTCAATGGCGCCAACTTTGAACGACGAGTGGTTACCCCAACGCTTGCCAAAGGCTTCCACCATTGAGTGGTCGGTCTTCTTATGCGAGCGGCGAGCCTGGTCATCCATGATGTGGATAAGACCACCCGGCTTGTTTTGAAGGAGCCGCACGCATTCGGCGTTGTCGAAGTAGGGGACGGTGGGAACAAAGCGTGAGATACCCTCATTCTGGTATTCATCAACATGAGCCTCGAAGATACGTCTCTGCAAAAAGTTTTGCAGGCGCTCGTTGGCAAAGTTGACGCAGAACTGATCAAGGGAGTTGGGGCGACTGGTCATGTTCTGTGGCCCGGGGAGATCGAAAAGACCAATGAAGGTATCAAAGTCTTCGCGGCACAGCCGCTGATTGATGTGCTCGTTCAACCATGCAAAGAGAAGGGAATAAAGTGTTTTTGCAAGATCATCCCGATTGTCAGATGCACCATCAGGGTCAAGGAAGACGGTGCAGAGCTCCTTTTTCACCAGCTTGGTCTTGTAGGACATTGCGCCCTCCAAAGCACCCGCCTGGACACCCAAGAACTCGGCAACAATGCCAAGGACATCTGTGTTACGCACGACAGCAGCGTCAACGTCACGACCACGGTCTACGGTGAACTCAAGGTTGCCAAGGTGGAGGATGGCAGCGAGAAGTTGGCAAGTCTGAGCAACGTGTCGCTTCGACAGGCCGATTGTCTTGAGAGCGAGCTTGAGCTGCTCGAAGCGGTTGGCATCATCATCCCGAACGCCGTTTTGGCGCGCTGGGACGGCTCCACGCTGACCGAGATAACGGTACTGGGTTTTGTCCAAGAGGTGGAGGTGCTGACGCTCTTCTTGAGTTGCACCTGCAACGAGGTAGTAGAAGATGTGGAAGTTGCGCTCTCCGGATGGCACGGAAGATACGCGGTTGCGTTCAAGGTAATAGTCGAGGGTCTTGACACCGGAAAGGCGGCCACGGTCAGTGAACTGCAACTCTGTGTATTTACCGAAGCGAGAAGCATTCGGGTTGAACAAAGTGCGGGCGTTACCAAAGGACTCGATGACAAACTCTGCGGCGGGTAATTGGGTAGCGAGTTTGGAGCCTTTCTTTCCTGGATTGGAAACGGAAAGCTCGAGAATGGTCTTGATGGCGAGTCTACGGTTCTCTGACTTCCCACTGCCGGTCTCACCGCTGTAATGAAGGCAGTGTTATTTTAAATGATGCAATGCAGAAATTGATGAGGGTTACTTGCCTGATTAGAATAGACTGGTCCTGGGTAGTTCGTCTCATGTGGTAGTAGGCATTATTTGCGAGCTGAAAAATATGAGGAGGTATTGGAGACTTGTTTTCCGATGTATCGCGATAGTCTGAGGCGTATTTTTGGAGGACAGAGTCGGCGTTGGATGAAACATACTTGTGAGGGTTTACGGCGACGAGGGAATTGGAGCCGATGTTGGTGTAAATCGATTCAGACATGAAACGCTCACGAAGACACGAGACAATGAGATCGTCTGATATCGAAGACAAACCAGAAAGGTCGCTGGCGGCCTCAAGCCTCTGGTGGACTGACATGCCAGCAGACTGGCGGCTCATGGTGAGCACGTTGTGAACTAATTACCCTGCTAAGGAAAAAGTAAGAAGATTTGAAAGGAAAGAAATGCTCTGGCAGACGCAGAGAGGACGGTGGGTGGAAGGAGCAGGGAAAGAAGCGAATGAGACCCGTTGAAGGGGTTTGTAGCTGAGCAAGAGGGAAAGTGTCCTATTTCCAGCTAGCCTATGGCTTCCGGTTTTCTCACGACGGGCACCGCTCAACGGCGACCACACTCCGACTGGCATCACACAGACTAGAATAATTGCTTCAATGTCGTCGTCGTCGTGGGTAGTGAACTAATAATCAACCAGGAAAGCCTCAAGCAATAATTGGTTGAAGTCTTTGTATGGAGTTACACAAAGGCTAAACCAAGCTCGTGTAACAGATGTATACATGGATGCCAGTGGACCAGGATGAAGGAGATACAGACATCATCGCAGCAGTGACTAGCAGATCCTCGCCATCCCATCCTCTGTCTCTGCACTCGCCCTCTGCAGCACACTAGGCTTCCTACCCTCCCCAGCTCTAACAGCTGCAGCACGCATGCGCTTACGCTCCTGCTCGGCGCGCAGTGCATGAGACTTGGTCACATCTCGAGCCAGTGCAGGAGGAATTCCACCCTTCGGTGGCTGCCCATACCCACAAGACACCCGTGACTTGGCTACATGGTTTCTGCTCTTGTTCTTCACTCCTGTACATTGAGTGGGGGCGAGTACGACTCGTGTTCGTGTAAGCTGCGCAGGGGGATGCGTTGATATCTTTGGCGTGGCTCTCACGTATGCAGGCCGCGTGGCTGGGTATGCCGGGACATGTTCTGGTTCATCAGATGCCTGGGGAATGCGGTGTAAGGTTGTATTTGATATTTGTGACAAGCACGTCAGATCCTCGTGGCCGATGTCGACGTCTTCGCAACCACTGGGAGGTGTCCATCCAAGCACTGGAGATGTATCCCACTGCACGGGCGAATGAAGCTCGACGATTCCTACCTCATCTTCATCTTCATCGAGGTAGTTGAGGTAAACATCCATATCCTCGAAGGACGCTGGCGGCGGCTTCTTGATAAGCGCTTCCTTTACGTTCAATCAAACACTTACCCGCAGGCTCATCCCAGCTGGAATCCTCCATTCCAGTGTGCTCCGATGACGGCGCAGAAGCATTGTCCTTCCTCTCTTCTACCGTTACTTGACCCAGGACAACTGCTGGATCGGAGCACAGGATGTGCGCGAGAGACATCACGTTCGGCCGACGCAAAGGTATGGGCGGTATGACCACAGGTACTACAGCTTCCATCATGGCCTTCTTCTCATTAGCCACGTACTCTCTCACTATCTCCACGAGTCCATCGAAGCTCGAAGAGGAAGCGAGACGCGCTGGTGGAAGTGTAGTACGAAGCTGTGTCGAAGCTAAAAGAGTGGAATGGTTTAAGGAGTGCATGGTGTATAAGTAGACTGTGGTAATCGCTGAACAGAAGAATAATGGATCCAGTTCAATGCAAGGCGATAGACTTTAACATCACTTGTCAAGTTGTCGGTGTCAGCCCAATGTTTCAGCCGCTTCTGTTGTTCTTGTTGTACAATATATGCCATCATATCTCGACCTACATCAAGGCCTTGTAGTCTAGAGGTACGATACTTGCTTTGGGTGATCACAAGTGCAAGTGGCCTGGGTTCGATTCCCAGCAAGGCCCCGAATTTTTTGGACCTTTTTGTCCACAACTGCACAGCCCGCTCATGATTTGTAAGCTTCAAGTTGATGTGCTGCGATCGTTAACTGTGCTGCACAGCACATACGCCCCATGGCTATTCTGTTCTACTGTACCCATGATAGTATGACATTTTGCCAGTAACAATATCCCCCGGCACAGCCCATAGGGCACCGCGCCTTAACAGTTTCCTTTATTTGTTGTGGTTTAGACATTCTCTCTCTCTCCTAACTGTGCAACACCTATAGCTTTGCCAAACAACGAGCTGATCAGTTCTTGTCTCCATACAGGAGAGACTGACAGTACGATCAAACCAGTTCGTCACCCTTTTATCAATGGCACACGGGCTCAGAGAGTCGGAGTCGGCGACCCCGCCAGAAGTTCTGCAGAGCTATGCAAGGCTCCGCGAGAATAATCGGCAGGTCCTCTTTTTGAATCTCAACAATAGTCATTCTAACAGGCTAACTGCAGCCAGGTTTCATGCTTTGAACGAATCTGGGAGTCTGGAGCGATACTTGACAACTCGGCGCGCGCAAATCTCAATTGTCAACTCTCTCGCTTTCTGGAAACACTTCCAGACAAACTGGCACGTCGCGAGGGAGACGAGCTAACACGCCACATTATAGATCCATACCTTTACCCTCTCATTTACGGCCGGACGCTTGCTTACGACTCAGCTAGGGAAGGATTTCTTCGTCCTGAGCTAGCACCCAGCATTACAGACGCGACAAACACAGATTTCCTCTCACAAGAGTTCGCATGTTTACCATGCGACTTCCTTATCTCTCAGGACGGTACAGCGAAGGCCCTCTCATACATAAATAACCTCCACACTTGCTATTCTGCGCTCTATCGCTGCTTCGAGGAGTTGATCTCGAAGTGCGTTCCCATGTTCGAACAAGTCCTCACAGACTTGCATGGGGACAACCCAAACAGAGAGCGAGTCCAGGGTCCGTCTTCGTCGGCGGAGTGGGAAGAGCCGGAGTCTCCAGAATTCTCGCGTGACTTCGTGGATTTGTCTGCGTTTGAGAGCAAGAAGCGGCAGTCGATCATGCGCCGGTCAATTGTGCCTGATGCCCCGATCACTAGTTACCCAGGTGGACTTGAAGAACGTCGAAACATTGTACAGCTCTGGGGGAAGACGCTCCAAGTCGTACTTGACGTGTACGAGATTTGCATCGTATGATTCACTTCTCGCGCGACTACAGTAATCATCTCCTAACGTCGAGTTGATGTAGAAACCAGGTGGCCCTGCCTTTCGTGGTTCTCAGTGGCGCGTAGAGGGCATGAAGAACGAACGCATTGTCGCTTGCTTGCTTTATAATTCGTCAAGTGTATGCCATCTCTTGATTAGTTATCAAAAATCTCAACCATCTTTAGCACAATATCACGGGTAACTCGATCGAATTTCGTATGGCTGTTAAGACACCGCCTTCGTCTCCCAAGAAAGGCTCCGTCCCAATTCATCAGGGACTATGCATCGCGTTTCCTAATATCTATGAATATCACCTCACACCATTCTCATTGGTCGATCCGTCAAAGGAAGGGCACCAACGCATCATCGGGGTGTACTTGGTTGATCCAAGCATCACTCCGCTGGCGTCCACGCAGAGAGTCCCACCACAACAGAAGGCGTGGATGAGGTTAGGTCTCGAGATGGGAACCCGTGGAATCTTTCCAGTGGAACTCATTGAGAAAGTGCTCGATGAAGTGGACGGAGTCATGAACATAGATGAAGCGGTGAAACATAGGGAAAGAATGGTGAAGGAACGAACCAGGTTGTCGATACTGAATGATGTTCAGCACTTCAAATTCCCATGCAACAACAGGAGACAATAGTGTCTACTGAGGGGGTGCTACATTCATCTATGATAATGAGTGTGCTCTTTTCTCTTCTATATACCCGTCATTAAAAGTTTGCGTAACCTTGGACGGACTACATAAGGACTCGCACTTTTACTTTCGTATCAAAGACCCGTGCTATTTTATATATATGCCAAGCACATCCTAGCCCAAGAGCCTACGACGACAGAATCTGGGCAGCACAAAGCAATTATACGCTCAAGCGTTGGAAGTACAGTACGACAACCCCCATTAAATCTCGTAGTTAAAGTCAATCCACGATGGTGTACCAGCAAACACTGATTCTAGTGAAAAGTATTCTTTCACCTGTGCAGCGGTCAAGATACGCTCTTGCGGTACACGTTTTGACGTGTCCCCTCCAGGACCTGCGAGCAGCATAAGGGTCCGACGCTTGTAACATAAAGCACGAGGCTTACCAGATGAATCATACTCTGCGTAGTAAGTGGTGCTTGGAACAGTTTTTCTGTCATAAACGACTTAGCGATTGGTGCAGTTATATTACAATCGTGCTTACTCTCCGGGCCAGGGTGTGAAACCTGCAGGTTGAATGCTCTCATCCATGTAGGTGCGCAGATATACAGCAGAAGCCAGGGTGTTCCATGGACGCCCTATAGGAGAAATTGTGAGCTAAGCGTCACAATCAAAGTGTGCTCCAATTTTAGCTTACCGAGATAGCACTGGCCATCAGTCACAGTGGTGGCATTCGCATCTGGGGACTGAATAGCAAACGAAAATTATTATTAAATCAAGTAAGCACCAGAAAACAAAAGACTAACCCGAATGATCTTCGAATCAGCGATGAATGCTCCATTCCTGGTGCCTTTTGTCCCTTGCCATGCTGTGATACCACCACCACAAGCCCGGTTGGCCAAAATCACGTTTTGGAACCAGCTATTCCAAAAATTACTCAGTGAGTTTATACACACATCAATGCATCCTTACGACATGCCAAATCCGAAAAGATCTTTCCACAATGTCAGCAACTGCAACGCGCATGAATCGAGGCAACATGGCTCACAATCAGTTTGACCGTATATTATACTGTCAACAGCATATGTATATGAGCCGTGACCGGCGTACCACGTATCCTGCCAGCTAGCAAAGGTGCAACCATAGAAAGAAACATTTGCGTAGATGAATGAGCCGGCGAGAGCTTGGGCGATCGAGTATCTTGCCTGAATCGGCGAAATGGTACGGATGTGTTATTGTAAGAAAGACATGGAAGCTTACAGCGCGGTTTTCGAAGTCGATATTATATGCTTTGAAGTCAGTGTTACCGAATTTCTCACCAGAGACACGGGCAACTGTGAGAGTCGCAGTCTCCTCGTCGGTCATGCCAGGCAGGACATATAAATTGTTCCAGATGTGAACAAGGTTGCGCTGAGAAGCATTCCCCGCTGATTCAGAAGCAGTGTAAGGGTCAAGCTGGCCCTATATGACAGACGTCTCGGCAATTAAACTTGACAGATAAAGTAACACCAAGCACCAGAAGAGTGAGCGGTGCGGACCGCGTAACATTCACCATTTCAAAGTATTCTCCTGCGCCAATCAGAATTACTGCATCACCTGTCTCTGGCCTGGGTGAATATTAAGATAGGAGACAAGGGAAAAAATTCCTGGCTGCTGCTCACAGAGACTCTATAGCAGCTTGGACAGTTTTGAAACCTGCTCTATAATCTGTGGGCGACACAAACAGCGTTCCTGCTGGACATCCGGTCAACGGGGAGGTTTCCGTATTCTTTTGCAATTGACACGCGGAATAAGCTGGGGAGAGCGCATGAATTTGCACACTCAAGTTGGCTAGAAATGCAAAAAGGACAGTGAGGTGTGTCAAATATGACCCCATCGGTGTGTTACCTCAATGGGGAGTAAGTATGGGTTATCTGCCTACCATCGCCCGTCGCACTTATATACTCGTAAAGAAAATACCCACATCCATTCCCAAACCATGGGATGAGAAAGAGGCGGTTCCCAGGTGGTGACCATGTCAGGGTAGACATGCGCTTAGACACGTAGAATCCAACGAATTTGATAGACTTTTGTCCGACAGAATCCCTACACCGACGCTGCGTGAGAAAGCATGACAGTCAGGATCTAAGCAGACTAATCACCAACGGGTTGTCGACGGGCTGGTCTCCCCGAGCCACAGTTGAAACTGATTGGAGAGACAGTAGCCATTCCTCCGTAGCCGACCCTGAAGGCTTCTCGAAGGACTACCGTTACTCAGGCCACGGAAAGTTGGTTGAGTTCATGGCGGACCATGACCATGATGTGGATCGGTCATCATGATCGCCGTCATGACAATGTCAACTACTTACACCAGACCACGCCCTACCACGCTCGACCGCGGCATATGCTAAGAAGTGGGAGAATATGATAGTACCTGATAGTAATATCCAGCGTGATTTATTGCAACCGATTCGAGGACGACTACTATCACCGCCACGTACGGTAATACTGAGTCTGACCTGATTGGCGGCAACAAAGCTCCAAGGTCCGAAAACACAGACGGACATCGGGAAGGGAATGACTGTACATCCATGACGATTGTAAGCGCTTTGTGGTACCTTCCCGTCGTGAAGGTGCCATCGGTTGATATATCATGGCAGGCTACGCCAACGAGAGTCAACTTCTTCACTCACAGCTGTCTCCATACGGAGTCCGCGGCGTACCATCAGTCTTTGAGCTGCAAAGCCCTTTCTTTCGCTCTACTGATACACCACAACAACGTCTCTTCCGAGATTGCCCCGCCCGACTCAGTAGTGCTGATAAGCTCCCCTCGGTCATCTACAACAACCGTCAGCGTCACGTCCATCAGGGGCTCTTCGAACGCAGTGGGATCTGAGAGAACATGTGATCTGGGAGTAGAGATGGTCAGTGCATGAATAACACAACACGTCTTTCAAAGAGCGGGAACGAGAACGTACGTGTCTAACACTCCAAAAGAAGCCGAAGCAAAATTTCGAGTTAATTGTAGCGGCGATCGAGTTTTTCGCGAACACATTGTGCGTCCGGTTTCTTCGTTGTATGTGGCTTTGGGCAGCGTAGCTAGCATGCATTGCGATCAGCCATACGTCGTCCCTCTAACACGTCAGAACTCACTATTTCTAAGCGCGCCTAACATAGCTAGCAGTGCCGCATCGAACGCATTCCCATCATAATTTATACACGTGCAATCCACATAAAGCGTCCAAACAGCTTTTCCGGGGTGAATGCACAGCGAAGATAATGGAAGCGCGCCTGAGCTGTGTCGGAGATAAAGGAGAAAAAAGACATGAGTTCAACAGCCAAAAAATAAACACAAAACGCGACGACGAACGCGATGAGAGCTTCATTTAGTCTATCAGAAAGGACTTGGGCTTCTTCTGTAGGAGGACCTGGCTTGAATTTTGGAGAACAGATCACGGGCAGGTCGATGTTAGGTACTATGCAATTTCCGAATCAGATCCTACTGTTATATGTAGAAGGAACAAAAGAATGAATCACCTAAAAATCCTTGGTCAGGCCGGTCGAGCTCGGGTTCTGCTATTTCTGCCTTGACGCCGCAAACAATCGTGGTATCTCCCATACGCACAAGAGCAGAGCCATCAGCCGTTGATATCGATCCTGCAGCAAGCGCATCATGGCGTGAGCACCGCAAAAGTTGGGTGAATCGCGTACCGACATTCACAGAAACGTTGCGCCATTCATCAAACGTACGTCCATCTGGCCTGATTTTCTCGGCGATAAACCTTTCGAGATAAACGCGAGGGTGTAATCTCTGGAAAATTTGAGCGCGGAGAGTTTCATCCGCTGCGGAGGGATTGGTGGCAGATGGGGAAGACATGAGGTGGCTCACTGATCGGAGTCTGACAGTCGAGAATCTGAGATCTACATTTGGCACTGGGCCGGCAGGCCTTAAGCTTAGAAGTTCCAACAAGTTCATCGCAGCTCCAGTCTATTGCAATTGTACAACATATAAATTCCTTGATAACAACTACAGTACAAATGAATAAATGATTGTGGTAGTACTACAAATGCGTAGTCGTGAAAATGTCATTTGCGCCCAGGTGGTCATAAAGCAGAGAAACCGTAACAAAATAGCGTGAACGTCGAAGGTGTAGATAACTGTTAAAATATAAGAAAAATCCCAATGATAAAAGAAACAAAACAAACACAGCGGTCATCCAGCGAGTATTTACTCGCTAACCCACTCTCCACCATTCGCAAGCCTAGCAAAGAGGCCCTTGCGCTCCATGAGGCTCTCGTACGTGCCTTGCTCGCGCACCTGGCCATCCTCGACAACAAGAATACGGTCGCACATCTGCATCACGGGCACCTTGTGTGTCACCATGATAGTAGTCCTCCCAACCTTCGCAGCCCGTATCGTCTCCAGGACAGCCGTCTGGTTGGCAGGATCGAGCGCTGAAGTACACTCGTCCAAAATCAGAATCTTCGCAGGTCGTCCAAGCGCGCGCGCGATTTGCAAACGCTGAGCTTGTCCACCTGAAATGAGAGACGCGTTCTCGCCGATGAGCGTGTCATAACCCTGTGGCAATGACATCACAAATTCGTGGACGTTCGCTGCACGAGCGGCGCGCTCGACGTCTGCGTCGCTCATTCCGTTGTCCTCGCCGACTCGTCCGTAGGCAATGTTTTCGCGGATGCTGGCGTCGAAGAGGTTGGGGCTTTGGCTGACGACGGCAACGTGGTCACGGAGGTAGTTGATATCTGTAGCACGGAGCTCATTGAGGCCCACCGAGATAGTACCCGAAGTGGGCTCATAGAGACGTTGGAGCAGCGATGCTACGGTTGACTTTCCACATCCAGAGGCGCCTACAATCGCTACACACTCTCCATCTGCAATGCGCATCGACATCTTGTTCAAAACAGAGACATCAGGGTTGGTGGGGTAGGAGAATGATACATCATTGAAGACAAGGTCGCCTTCGACCTTGGGACGGAGGATACCCTGAGACTCAGAACCGCTGGTAGTGTCTAGCTTGATGAGCTCGTGCAGATCGTGCGTGGCCAGAACGGACTTGGCAATCTTTTGAGTGAAGGACATGAGTTGGGAGCCGATGGAGACAGTGAAAACGACGAGGTTGAGGACCTGGCACATCTGAAGGTATGTGTATGTGCCCTTTGCGATGAGCACAGCGCCAACGTAGAAAAGAAGCGCCTCGGCCAAGTAGATGAGAGCGCTAGCGACACCATAAGAGCACCCCTCGACAAATGCACCGCGAACACCAGTGGAAAGGCACTGCGAAGCGGCCTTGTCAAATTGAGCCTGCAGGACCGGCTCAAGAGACATAGCACGAATGCCACGGACGTTGAGAATAGTCTAGAGAACACAGATCAAAATGAGAAACATCAAGCAATGATAAAAACTTACCTCGTAGTATACCCTGGCAACCTCCTCACGAGCCCGCTTATTGCGTACCTCGCATTTCGCCATAAGGTTGGTCTGAAGGCCCATGACTCCAACAAAGACAGGCCCAATGGCAAGCCCAACAAGCGTCAGTTGCCACCCCCAAGCCATCGCCCAGAGGAGACCGATGGTCATCATCGCGCCCACGGCAACAATCTGGCCTACCACCACAGCGATCAACGTACGAGCGTCATCACCATCTTTGACGATGACCTGGGTGAGTCTAGATGCGCCATTCTCAGGACGGTCAAACCAGCTCTTGTCCTGACTGAGAACGCGGGAGAAAGCGAGGTCGCGGAGACGAGTGACCCAGCGCATAGCGGAGGTTTCCATAACGAAGAATTTGGAACCAAGAAGAAGCCCGTCAATGGCTGCGATTCCGAGGACAAGACCGCCGTAGGAGTTGATCATACTGGCATCTGATCCACCAGCTGAGACTAGAACGATGAGTCTGGAAAGGAGGAATGAAAATACGGGTGTCATCGCTCCGCTTATCAGGCAGATGATGAGCCCGAAGAAAACGACTGGCTTTGTGGGGATGGTGGGGTACACGGCACGGAGGAGGGCGAAAAGGCCGGGGGCTGGGGAAAGGTCGTATTGGTCTTGGGCTTCTTCATTTCCAGATGGAGGCACGACAATACTCTGTAGTCCATGGTGCTTGCGCTCCCTGCGCTCCCTCCTGTTCGCAGCCTGCTCAGCGCTGCGCTTCAATGCTTCCTTCTCAGTCTCGAATTCTTCATCATCTTCGACCATAGATACCGGCTCCCGCAGAGAGAAGCTCGGGTGTGAAAATGTGGGGGTGGTTGGAGTGAACTGCAAGCTGAACCGGTGACCGCCGTATGTGCGAGGGGGAATTGTAACCTCGGGAACGAATATCGACATACTACTCGGTCTCCGTAGTCTCCCTGCTGCACCGCCCTCGAACGCCGGCAGTTGCTCTTTGGGTAACGCACTAGGGGGGACGAAGCGACTCATCCGCCAGTCTTTATCTTTCTCTGCTGCGGTAGGAAGAGGTGGTGGTGCTGCACCCGATTTTGTAAGCTCGGCGACAACATCAAACATCCAATTGCCGAGTGTCGCCGTAACAGGGCGCATGCCGCCCACTGTGGGTGCCATGCTCATGTGTCGTTCGTGAACTGGAAGCTCTTCTTCTTCTTCTTCCTCCCCTGCGAGGATTTCTGCGACTGCATCGTACTCAGGAAGGTCGTCTTCAACAGCAATCCCGCCCGTACGAAGCATGCGGGCGAATTCGTCATCCGCGTGCTCGAGGTCTGACCGAAAACCTTGCTCGACGACAGAGCCCTCTCGCATGACGTAGACAAAGTCTTCCTCTTCAATTGCGGCGACATCGTGCGTGATGATGATTGTCGTGCGGTTTTGTCGCCATCTCCGAATAGCAGCCAAGATGAGTGCACGAGTTGGGGGATCCAAGGCCGATGTTGCTTCATCTGAAACGAAAGAAAAAGACTAAGAAACTAAATATTAGGGGGAACTGCGTGAAACTTACCGAGAATCAACACCTCAGGGTCACGTATCCGCGCCCGCGCGATCGCAAGCCTCTGGCGTTGTCCACCGCTCAACTGAATGCCTTCTGCACCAGTGCCGCTCAATAACGTCTCGTAGCTTTGGTCTAGACCAACCACCCAAGACTCCAGCATCGCAACTCTACATGCTTCTTCCACTTCTGCTCTGCTAACGTCCTCCGATCGTTTGCCTTTCCCTACAGTACCAAGGGCCACGTTCTCGTGGAGGCTTCCGGGGAAGACGGGGGCCGACGCTGCGCCCTGCGCCACGCCAGCAATATGGCACGACATGTACGCGGCGTCAATGTATCGCACATCCTGCTCGTCCAAAAATACAGAGCCAGATGTGGGGTTATAAACACCCATCAAGATCGCACCGAGCGTCGACTTGCCAGAACCGCTTGATCCAACGATGAATGTCGTCTCATGCGCGGGAAGGTACATGGACACGTCGGAGAGTACCTGCACATCCGGTCGTGCGGGATATGCGAAGCTCACGTGATCCAGGTTGAGTTCGCCGTTGAATGACTTTGGTTTGATTTTGCGGAGTTCTTGAGGACGTCGCTTTGAGGATGGTTGATGTGCTTCTGAAATCATCCCTGTGAGCTCTGCAGCTGCGACTTTGCCCTTCATGAAGGTGATGAGAAGGGGCACGGCCATTTGGAGGTTGCTCGTTGCAATAAGGCATGCCCAGAAAACGCTCATGACTTGACCGGGGGTGTTCTTGCCTTCCCGGACGAGGTGAGCTCCAAACCAAAATCCTTGTACGAACATTGCCATTGTGACGAACTGGCTCAAGCCACATGTGATACCCCAGACTCCCGCAAGTCCATTTGCAGCTGCGCTTACGCGTCCGAGCACACGGGAAAGTACCCGAGCCTCGTGCGTAGCTGCGTTGAATGCTTTAACGGTGGCAACTGCGGCCACAGCGCGCTCTACGACGGTAGCGGCACTTGCAGTAAATGTGCGCTCATGAGCGAGGAGAGGACCCGCGAGGACTTGGGAAAATGCCTGAATGATAATTAATGCGGGGGCGGCTGAGAGAATGACAAGGGTCAGGAGCGGCGACCAAACGAATGCGAGTACAAGGCTCGAGAAGGTGGTGGTCAAATATTGAAGCAGCTGGCCTGCTGCCAGCGACGAGGCTGCGCGTACTTCATCGGTTTCTCTATTTGTGAAAAGAAATTCAGAATTAAGGCTCAGACGGACAAGAAAATGTACTGACCTGGCAAACTTGGCCATGAGACCACCAGCGCCAACGGGGGAATCTTCGGATGTGTCTTGCACGTTGCCCGCAGGTGCAGACCCGTCGACCCCCATGCGAAGATCGAACCATGACATCTCTTTGTTCACGACGGACTGGTACACTAGCCGTCTAAGCTCTACGACGTTGTGCTCCCCTGTTGAAATCCACAAGCTACTTGTCATACTGCTCATGACTAGCGCGCTGATACTCAATGCTACGAGCTCAATTGCTGCGATGCCTACACCATGAAGCAAAGCATCCTTGGCGGATTGCGGTGGGTTTGGGGTCAATGGGAAAGCTGCGAAGGCGTTGAATGACTGCCCTACGGCATAAGTCATCAAGGGAGCTATAGCACCAGTGGCGACGGAAGACAGAATGGCTGGGGTAAGAAGAACCAGCTTCCTTCGGGGTGTGAGGAATGAAAACAGCAGTTTTGTTGATGGTACAGGTGCTGCATGAGTGGTAGGAATGTTGTCAGTTGAGATATTGGTGTCATTTTTGATATCAAGTGTTGACGTAGAGTATTGGGCAGATGAATGAACTGATGAGCGAGTTGATGGGTCTGATGTCGGGTCGTGGTTCGTCATCGTTGTTCTGCAAGACGAGCTCGCCTCTGCGATCGTCTGAATGATATAAGGGAGAGAAACGTCGAATGCCAGTCTGCCGTTTGCGCATTTTTGTTGTTTCAATTGTGGGTAGTTTTAGTGCTTTACTATTGTCCTCCCACGTGGGAACACAATCAGACAATGGATGTTCAAACAATAGAGACTATTATGTAATCAGGGACAAAGCCTTTGCATAACAATAAACAACAATGGCCAACGGCTCTCACTCGTATTTCCATCACAGACTCCATTCTCATCTATTACGGGTGGCAGATCCAGAGACCGGCTACATCCTATGTTTGCCGTTCCATTCTCAATCCTTCTGCGCATTTAAAGCATATCCTGCCAATCCACGGTCTTTTACAAAGTGGTCACTCTTAGCTGAGATAGAATACACACCACCCTGTGGTCGTAAGTCAAAGTCAGGTGTGACGTTCCACCCAACCTCGACAAGGCGGTTGCTTCACGAGTACGTCATGATACAATGCGTTCCCAGTGGTACGACCACATCGCGTGGTAACAGCTACTCAAACGCGCGGGTGCGGTTTTAGCTCATTGAATTCGTGACTACGAACCACCTCGAGGCGCACCTTCGCAACCCTGTTCCGCATCTGGTAATACAGGCGACTTCCCAACCAGTGAGTAAGTGGCAAATTAGATTGAACCGAACATGATACTTAATGGACTTACAGGGATGAGATCAATCCGCATGCAGCGAGCAAGGAACCTGCTGTGTCTATCGAGAGAGGCTTTGCTCAGAATATTTCAATCGATCAACAAGGTACACTCGACGTCTGGCTATATTGTGTCAAAGATCGAGCACGCTGGAGCAGATCCTCGATATCCCTCGAGGCTCTACCATTGCAGAAGAACGTGGCAAAAATGTCCATTCGAAATTCTGGGTAACGTACAAGAAAGTTTCGAATAATCATGACGACGACTTCCTCGAGCGAGCGAATGACGATATGGCTATTATCCTGACTATTGTGCGTTCATCTGTCCAAGCAGGTCTAACATTCATCTGTCCAAGCAGGTCTAACAGGCGAACCAGGCTGGTCTATTTCCAACTGTCAACTCTCCCTTCATCGTCGGAATGTAACCGAACCCAGGAAACACTACCAACGCCCTCTTGTTGGACTTGATCCAAATCACAACTAACGGTACAGACGCTATAAGTGAATGCAAATGCTTGCATATGCTAGCCTCTCGTTCAGTGTCTTGGCTGCGTTCGGGGCTGTCTTAGGAAAGCAATGGCTTGACTCTTATAAGGCAGCTCGTGGACGAGGGTCTCTGGAGGACCGCGGCATACCGATGCAGATGAAACTAGACGATCTAGAGCATTTTTACATAACACTATCATGCAGGCGTTCCTTGTGCTCTTCTAGATTTCGTTGTTCCTCTCTGGCTTGTCACTCAACGCCAAGATGTAAACCCAACGAACGACGATATCCAGTGTCATCATCGGCACCATAGCTTGGGACATCCTCTGCTACGCAGGCGCTAACTTAATATCTACTAGTAAGGCCGCCCAAATAAGATATCGATCGTCTCGATTTGTTATTGCCATTCGCTGTCTGGAGTCTAATACATTCCTCAGCATGGAATAATGCTCAGTTGATTCAAGGAAACGTCTGGACTCTGAAACAGCAAATCAGTCATCCCGAACGTTCACGTGTGCAAGAACCACCTTCAAGGTTGATCCCAAAACCATATATCATGGAGTAAATGATTACATTCAACCGCGAGTAAATTATACCTCTGCGTTTCTCTAGGCTCAGAAAGGAGCTTGTGCAAGGATCAGGCAAAGTGGTGAGCCAGTGTGCGTCGTTTAGATCCATACCGCTAACCTCAGGTGCACAGTCAACGCCACTCAACACTCTTGGTGAAGTCCTCACTTCAATGCAGCGCGCACTTGTCAATCGGGCACATTTCAAACACTCGCTACACAGGAATTCCCCGCATCCTTGTTTAATTGTAGGTCTTTCCAACTTCCAATACGACCTTTCGCTCACTCTAGAATTTCAAGTATCTCATACCTGAATGTTGACGATTGATCAACTCAAGGACGCCCCCCATATTTATATTCTCGAGTCTCTTGGCTTCAAATAGAGTTCCTCACGATTTTGACATGCTATACTGTGAATCTGTGGATTACGATGTCACGACACAGGAAAGAAGGAACGACTGTCTTTCAAGTAAGGTTGCGAAACTTGCAAATGATTTCAGCTTACCACTCGGTGCGAGGGTGGGTAGGTGGCCAGTCCGACTCGCCGGGAGTTATGGAATCGATGCAACGTGAATGTATCGGTTTGTCTATACAAACTGCTCTTTGAAATATACTTCGGAACATCAAATAAATAGGTACCGCAACGAAACTTGGAACAAAGACTTAGTGATACAACAATGTGTGGGGCGGTTTGTCCAGACCAATAAGTACAGCCATGAAATTTAGAACCAAACGAAATTCTCCCCGCTCCCCGCATAGCACCTAGCCAGGAGTACCCCATCAGTGGTAATCCCCTCGAGCATTTCCCATCCTACACGCTGCTGCTAGTTGGCACATGCACATGCTCTTGGAAAATAATTGAATTCATGTTGGTTGCTGCGTCGGAGTCAGCCACGAGCCTGGCGTGATATTGTCGAACGCTAAGAATGAGGCGTGGTCCCAGCACAAACATCTGCACTGCCCTGAAATTTTGAAGGAACCCCTCATAAATCTGGGGTGCCAGGGAATATGGGTCCTGTAGAAATGATGAACCGTTGCATGCAGAGGTCATTGACAGAACGTCATACCGCTGAAAATGCTGGAGACAACTCTGCGCCGGTCGTGAAGTAAGAAACGGCAACAAAGCTGAGAGATGCAGAACTTCAGCGGAAGAAGGGAGCCACATTGGCATTGTTGGCTTACCTCGCAAAGTAAACCACGTGAGATTTTATCAACACTGTGAAGCAGTCCCCGATAATCCTTCCTGCCGAGTGTCGTCGCAATTCACGGAAGTGTTTTACAGCAACCCAGATTGCGAGACATAGTGCGACGACCTCCCATATGGTACCGAGTATCCAAGTTATATAAATCATCAATCGGAGATCTCTTTTATAGCTAGTAACAGAGCACTGGTAGGTGCCAGAGAGAATTAACTCCTCTGGTATTCGTCAATGAGCCTGTTGCACACAAGTTTTCATCCATAATCAAGCTTACCTGCTGAAATGTCTATTGTTATTATGACGTTCAACACTCCGGTGGCGATGGTGACAGTCAGGTAGACTACAACGCAAAGTATCAGCACCTTTCTGGATCGTTGATACATGGCGTATAACCGGGTAATCATGATAACTTGAGTGATGTTTCTGTCAAAACAAACATCACTGACTCGTTGCAGCTATGCAGCTCACCGCACAACATTGCATTCACGATCATATTCACCCAATATTGTGTGATGTATGAAACCAGGCCTGACAAATCCAGGTGGTGATGAGCATCCGAGTCGGAGGATCACGCAATGAAAAGAAACTCACAGCTGTGGTAGTCGTTATATTGGACTAGCTGGTAAAGAATCAGACTCACACCTGCATTGGAGTGCAGTTTATTAACATGGGAATGGCGAGCATTGGTTCAGAATACTTACTGAATCTGTCAGCGATATTGTCGGAACGTTCGCTGTATGCTGCCGGTGAGAAGAAATAAACACGGTGAATATGAAGAGACATACCCAGAATCTCGAAACTTGTTGTGGGAGATCATTGATTAGCGCAGTGCCAATTTTTTAGAATTACAAACATACGCAGCATATGATATTCCAAGATAGCGCACCTAGAATATTTTCAAGTTAGCCTGACTTGCCGACCACACTTACAACGCAAGCTAAGTACACTCAGATACAGAGCGGTCGTGATTGACCAGTGTTGCCTCTGCCGCAAATTCATTGCATGTTCATGTTGTTCTTATAATGCGTAACTCTGCTCACCCAAATGAGTTCAATCTATGTAGTAAACCATTCTGAGTGAGACAGATGCTTCGACAATGACATCAACCTACCTCTTGTCCGACAGTCAGGGCTGCAGAAACCATGGTAAGAATGTACATGAGCCATTCTTGAAAGCAATCATGCTCACCCCAATCGTACATGACCCCAATAGAGGAGGCAACTACGAAATGTCAGATTGAGTATCACCGTCATTGTCTGACTGACTCTCCACGAACCTGCAAAATAGCTGTAAATACGGTACGCATTAATGACCGGCCAGAGACTGGGATCATTTAAGACTATAGTCATTTTGTTAGAGGATGGGGGCGAGGGAGCAGCGAAGTTGGTGGGTACTAGATATACCACCACCCAGCGCTTTCATAACCGAAATGAGCATCATGGAGGCGATATCCGTTCCCGCATAGATTGGCCGAAGTAAGTACTTTCACACGAGGTCCTGTAGAAGATCTAGGGTCGCGTGATTGAATTAACGTCTATGTTGGCTGTGAAGCTGCAAACCAGTCACACGCCAAAAGATCGAAGATCTGTTTTCATGTCTGCGACTTATATGTATACGAATGTCAATGACAGGGCACTGGAAGAAACGAATTCGAATACGCACTTGCGATCGCGGAAATGTTCTTCAAATTGTACAAGCTCATTTCACAAAATGTTTTTGATCTGTGTCGATCGGAGCGCCGGCAGCATTTCATTCAAGTCCCTTGGCAAGATAGTCGGCACGCCATCAGAAGCCTGCAGCTGGTGATGGCCATCAGTGTTTCAGGTGCCATCTGGAAGAAATATTACTTGCATAGCTTGCAATGTGTACGCTTGGATCGGACGAGGTCATTCTGTTACAAATCACAATTACATTTAAGGTTCGATCTGTGCAAAAGTTTATCTGCCCTTGTTCAACTTGTGTACGTAGGTGGATATAAACGCACCACGGAACTCCTACCGATGATTGATCCATCTCCAACTTTTCCATATAGACCTGTCTCATACAAAGTCGTTTCTATATGTTTGGAGGCATTCTCGGAAAGCGAATGAAGAATGCAGAAACTGTGTGGGGAGGTGAATTGTGATAGCGGATATTCGGCAGGTGTATTGTCAGTGATTGGTGGTGAGGCGTAATTAGTGTATTAAGGTATGCTGGTAGATGCGGCAGGATTGCGGCGTCGGTGGTCCGTGCGTGGGCTCGCCGCTAACATGCACAGACAGGAGAATATTAAAGCGGTTGGATTTGAGCGCGAACCCAGTGAGAAAAAGAAAGGAGTTCAAGTGGACTCCGCGCGCACATGGCGACGACGCGAATCGGTTCCGCGGGATCAAACGCCTGGTGTCCGGACTATCCCCAGGCTAGCTGGAGCCGCATCTGCAAACAGATTTTTCCAGAAAAATTTAGTATCAGCCTTGTAGTATATATCACTCAACTCAGTATCTTATAGACCTGGGTCACCTGGCCCCTCAAAAATGTTATTTCGCCGGAATACATTAGCGGGAGCTTCCGGAGGCCTGGAACACGTGCTCAAACTTTTATGTAATCAGGTGCAATTTCAAACTTTCCAGTACTACGACGTATATCGTTGGTCTCATAAGTACCGTTTGCACAATCTGAATCATCTGCCCATGTCCTGGTTACTCCTTGTTAAGCGGTCATTTCACGCTTCCTTGTCGATCAAAGGTGTACTCAGGCTGACTCGGATCAATGTGAATCATCCTAGACAAACTTTCAACACCAATGCCACGGGAGTCGGGACTATCTCGAGCGATTCCGCAACTAGGGACATCAACTTAATTATGAGAGAAGTAAATAAAAATTCAGGGTATCCCTCCACGAGCCCATATTCTGTGTCGGCAAAAACGATTTGGAAGTGGATAAAGTTTGTTGAGGACAGGAGAAATGCCTGAGAAAGTGCGTGAGTGTAATAGTGTAAGGGTTTTCCTTCTCGCCCTCCTCCTCATTTTTGCGTTTGCCTGTGCAACAAGCAGACCGTCAGCATGGTGACCACCACAAGCGAATTGAAAGGTAGCGCTCACCTTAAAGCTTCAAATGCGTTTTGACCTCATACTGGTCAAACAGGGCTGATAATGATATCCACTTGGGCGGAACAAGATCTGAAACAGGCTGAAGTTTACAAAGATACTTGTGAGGCTATGAAGGCATCTTCAAGCGAGTTTCTTTCCACATGGAATTCCTTTCACTCGCTGGCGCCAGCTTTCCTAGAGTTTGCTTGTATCTCATTCAATTGCCTTCTGTTTCGCGTCCTCCGAATCACCATCGAGCATTTTTGCATAGGTTCTTGCACCTGGAGCGATGACGCGAACTCGTACACAGGTCGGGAGTCGCCACGGACCATCTCATCGTGTGAGTCGGTGTGACATGACCATCCATTCTGACAGGTCCAAACACTTGTAACATCGCGCCTTTCAATGGTTAGCACTTGACCTGATGGTTATCCTGCCGGTCCCGAGAATACTTACGCTCTAGATTCAGTTGTGCAGGCTTCCGCGGCACGGAATTGCTTTGTTGTCGTTTCATTGGACGCAGCTGGTAGTGATGTGTGCCAATAATTGACATTTAAGCGTGGCCGCAATGCGCTTTGATTCTTCCACGCCGCAAGCTTCTACAATGTCCTTATTGCACTGTGGCCGTTTTAAGACAATCAAATTGAAGTGTCCACAGCTCAAAAGGTGTGCTGTGAACCTACTAGAAACGCTTAAGTACGTTCATCGAATTGCTCCTTCACATCATCTTCATCATCTTCTCCCCTTCTCCTCATACTGACCATCACCATGACCTCGCAAATTCCTCCGGTGCCATATGCGTTTGGCCCCTTTCGTGTTGCGCGTGTCTTGGGAGTGGGAGGATTCGGAAGGGCTGTGGGAGCTCAAGACCTATCATCGCAACGTTTGCTGTGTCTCAAGGTCTTTCGCAAGGACCGTCTGAAGAACAGGCGCACAGAAGAAAGCCTTTTGAACGAGCTAGAAGTTTACAAGCGCATTGCATCATCGAAGTGGTGTCCTGCAAAAACATTCTTAATGGAGCTCGAAATGTCTTTTCAAACAGATGATTCCGTTTGTTTCGCCATGGTATGTGCCCCTTCCTGCGAGCCATTTGAGCCCTTTGAATTTATTGCGCATCTCTAGGATTTGATGGCTCATGACTTAAATCATTATATGATTCATCGTCCTGCATACTGCGACGAACATGCTTGCAGATGGAGTGCCCAACTGGTGAGTAGTTGTGTTCCTCCTGGTTTTCGATGTCTCACATTCCGACTTTGAAGGCCCTCGGAATCAATGCCCTTCACGAGATGGGCATCATTCACCGTGACCTCAAAGCAGAAAATATCCTCATCGATGTACGAGAGAACGTGCGGATCGCTGACTTTGGCCTTAGTCATATGGACGAGAAGCCCTTGGATTTATGGCGGAAGTGTTCATCAGACGTGGTAGGGACAGCCCATTGTATGGCGCCAGAGATCCTGCGCAACAAGAAAGAACGGCGTTCTATGCGGTACGGGTTACACGTGGACTGGTGGGCGTTTGGATGCATTGTTTACGAGCTTGTGTCGTGGAAGCATAAGGCACGTTTTGCGTCTTGCTTCGCTGCTATCTTACTGATATCGTCTTGTCAGGCGCTCTTTGATTCCGAGTGTGACATAGTGGATTATGTTGCTTGGCGCTCCTGCAGCAATCTTACATACAGGTCGTTCCCTGCATTCAAAGACCTTGATGATCCAACTGTGACCGACTTGATTGCAGGGGTAAGTGTTGTATTGTTCATTTCCCACTGCTATCACTTATTTATACCGCGATAGCTCCTCGAACCGTTTCCCTTATTGCGTTATGCTTTCGCAGAGGTCGAGAAACACAAGTATTTCTTGAACGATCGTGGCACATCAGAATTTTCCGGCGCCTGTTCTCGTGGTAGGTGAAATGATTTTTTTCTGCGAACATCATGCTTAAAATTCATTGCAGCCCTTCGCCGCCAAGAACAGCTACACATATTGCCCGACTTGCAGGTTGGACAGAATGAAACAGCAGAGATATTGTGTCCCCTGCCTTCCTGGCGGTCTCCGCGCGTTTCGGGTGTGGATTGGGTGAAGCCCAAGCCGAGGGTTGTTTTTTTCTCATGATGTCCTCCACTTTGTAACTGTTACCTTGAGGGTGTCTCTATTTCAAATTCTTCGCTGAGCTTCCTTCTTGCTACAAATAATCTCCAAATGTACCTTAGTGTAGACAGCCTTGGTGCCCTGTGGTTCCCATCTTTTTCACGTACATTTTACATTTTATCTCCAGCTGGTGGTGGAGCGGAAGGTTTGACCCTATATATATAGTGATAATAGATGATACGGCAGATCGACTAAGTCACGCAAGGAAAACCAGGTTGCCTGCGATGTTGCTAGAGCACGATGCTCAGGTGTATATCCAGAAGGTGTTTGAACGTGGCCAAAGTAATGACGCATAACCTTTAACACCAATCCATGCTCAAATATGACCCTCTGACATGCTAACTTAGAATCCCTATTCCATCTCAGGTATTAAAAATACAGGGTGACTATGGGTACAAAGTCGATGTGTCAACTGTCGCAGAAAAAAATACACTAATGAAATCTATCACGCTCGAGTGACGGAGGGAGACATCGGAACACTTTGTATATTCTGCGTCTTTGCCCTCGTAAGCCTACAATTCGAGGAATCGTATCAGTGGGCGGCGCATCACAACGTAAGAACTTCAGCTTACTCGTCAAAATGAGTCCCTCTCTTTGGATCGGCTCGTCTCTTGGCAAGTACTTTCCTGACCTTTCTCTCTGGGCGAACGACGATGATGGGTACGGGGGAATTGGAGAGACAATATTTTGATACGCTGCCTACACCTGGAGCGCCAAACGCTGCACCCCAGGCTTGCATCATGCCGCGCTGGCCCCTTGTGCCCACGACGACCGAATCTGGGCGGTATAGAGCAATCAAACGTTCGAGAGTCGTGGTCACTTTGCCAGCAATGAGCTCAACGATGATGGAGAGCTAAGAAGCACAATGAGAAGTTATGCCGTAATCATAATGACCGCCTACCTTCCGCTCTGGATCGTACTCAATACATTTCTCCTGAATCTGGCGCATGAGTTCGCGTGCTTCTTCTCGAACGACTTCATGATCCTTCTCTATTCCATGGTTGCGAATGTCCTTTCTGAAAGATATAAGTCACTCACCTAAATCCTCTGGATCGACGCCTCTGAAGACGATCAACTCATCCCCGTCCTGCACCAAGCTTTCAAGCGCCCAATCAAGGGCCTGACGTCCGCTTTCATCTGGACTCGACGCACAAAGGAATACCCTCGTCGCTCTGTTCCTAGCGTATCCATCTGATTGCACGTGCAGTGTAAATGAGAACATGGACGCAGCAGGGTTTTCGAAGGTGTCGAAAGACACTTTGGGCGTGTAACCTTGTCCCGCTACAGGTTGAGCCGTGCTTTGCTGCATGTTCACCGATGGAGAACGCGAGAGCGGTGTTGAAGAGGACGAGGGGGGCGGTAGTCGCGATGTCGATGCTGGGAGGGTGAGGAACGAAGAAGGAAGAGGGGACAGTGGTGGCGACGATGGCATGGGGGATAACGGGAGCAAGCAGGGAGAGCTCGGCTGCGATGATTGCTTTAGTGCCGAACGTAACATGATTGGAATATGAGTGTGCTGTTCAGACATTGGTCACGGTGGGTGTGATAAAGAATAATAATAAGTTAATTTATCATTGATAAGTCCTACATAGCCAACGGACCAAAATAATAATTACACTATTAACTCTCACCTGACTTTGATCTCCAACTCTCATGTCGACTTCTCGTTCAGCTAGTCCTACGGAGGAAGAGGAAGAGCAGATTGAGCAACGCATGGAGGCGACACCTGAGTCCACTGGCGAGTCCACCTCCCCAGAGGAGTCTGCTGAACCTTCAGATACAGACCAGGACACCACCACTCAGACTTCCCTCCCAACATCGGGGTCATGGCAAGCCATTTGGTCTCCTCAGCACAACACCTATTACTTCTACAACTCAGAAACCAAAGAAACGACTTGGGTAAACCCCCTTCAACCTGCTATCTCTGAACCAGAACCCTCCTCGTCTTCCACCTCCCAATCTGGCCCTTCCACAACAATAGACTCTCACTACGCAGCGCTGCAAGCAAACGCGGTGGCGCAGGGTATTGATCCATCCCTAGCCCATCTTGATCCGTCGCTTGCTTCTTCGTCTGGTGTTCCTAGCAATTTTATGTACACCGCAAAGTTCAACGCGAGGACTGGCGCTTTTGCGAAGGCGGATAGTCGCGATCCTACTCACTTGTCAGAGTATGAGCGTGCTAAGCGCATGAGCGAGTTCTACTTTGACGTTGGTGCTTGGGAGAGGGATGTCGAGACTCGCAACAAGGCTGAGATTGAGGCCGAGGCTGAGGGAGAAGGCAAGAAGAGAAAACGTCCGACGAAGAAAGACCTGGTAGGATCCGTTATATGGATTCCGTTCATATCGGTTGTTGATTTTCATTTACAGGAGCGGTTCAAGGAACAGAAGAGATTAAAGAAGATCGCCAAGACGGCATGGCTTCGAACATAGGCACCCTACTTACTGTAGTATTAGAAGCACGAATACAAAGTCGTCTGGCAGAAGTAATTCTAAGCTTTGCAGAAAGCTCATCAGCCGAATTTTCAGCGTTCAATAATACAATCATCCTGAGGTTTATAATAGGTAACTGCTAATAGCTACCACCTGGCTATATCTGCAACTAGATTAGCGCATGTAGGTGTCCGTTGTTACGCTTCATTTTTGATCATATCCTACGTCGCGAATACGCCAATAATCTTGAAAGGAGGAACAGCTTGCCCCTCCTCTCCAATTAGCACGCACTCGACAAAGTGCGATCCTCTCGTGACATAGTGATCAATCACCGCAAGGCTTAATGATCCATTAATGACCGCACACAACGAAAAAAAAATGAGGACACTCACGTCGGTACCTCATCATCAACGTCTCCTGCATTTTCAATGATCACCGCACCTCTAATGTTATCATCCACCCAACATTCAATCTCACTTCCCTCCCCAATCCGGCTCATAGGCTCCCTCAAGAAATAAATCCCAACATCTCCAGCGCCCACTTTGATAGGTACGCGCAACCTACTCGTTGGGAGCGAGCTATACCAATAATACCCGGCCGTAAGTAAAGGAGAGGAGCCTGTCGGAGGATGCGCCGCTGCCCAACCAGAACCGTAGAAAAGTGAGGGAGGTACGGGGTTCACAAGGTCATTAGCAGATGCACAAAATGGCGCGACCTCTTCGAACGGTCGCGAGTCTCTGGGGCGCGTATTTATCCGCACGGGAGGAATTCGTAGCTCGGGGTAGATCGGCGTAGGCTGAGATTCGGCTTGGGCGAGAGCTAGTGCATGTTTCTTCTCGGCTTCTGCACCGTCATCGACCGGCCGTGGTGGTTCCGGCACTCCGGCACCTTTCCTTGCGCCAACACCACCAAAGAGATGAATATCTGCACCTGGGTAGCCATGTGCCATCATGATGGGGATGGTCTCGTACGAGTGGCCACCCGCCGTTGACCATGCTGCGCATATCTGAGATTGGAAGTACGATACGAGAACGTCGGTGAGAAGTTCATGGCCTGTCGGAGTCGCAAGGACGGGGTCCGCGAAGTAAGGCTTGATGAGGTCAGGATTTGACATGTAAGACGGATATAGTATGGGCTTGACGCTATGCGTATGGGCGTCAGAAATTATCCTTTGGGGGAAGCGAAAGGCTGTACCTGATATGCGGCACGTCATAGAACTGTGCGACGATATTGTGCCAATGGTCAGGTCCCGCAAAACCATAAGCCTGGTGTGTCTGCGCACTGAAATGCCCTAGAATGATGACTGCAGGCTGATCAGGACGGTCCAATATTGAGCGAACTAGCAACTCGAAATGTTCCATCGCACGCTGGGAGCTGGTATAATTTAGACACCACAGGACGCTTCAGCTCAAAACATGTGCTTACCCTTCATCGTCAACATCAAATTCAAGTATCACCAAGTCGGTGTTCTCTGGGATGTGATGCGAGCTACAGAATCCAAAGTATCCTGAATTTGTACGCCTCATAGCACCGTTGGTCAGCTCCGAAGCTGGGTGAGGGAAAACGCTCGACCACCACTGGAAAAAGCGCGAAGGATAGCATCTAGCAGACAATGGATCGTCTCCTGCTGCATGACATGCAGAAACTACAATCACACCATCAAGATAAGCTCTTCTACGAAACAAAGAACACGCACCTGAACCACCAAGCACGCTGATGGTCACAGGTTGACCCAAGAGCGCTTTATGAATAACGCGATGGACTCTACCCCCACTCCCCAAATGCAAGCGACTCTGCGCCAACGGCACCACCCCATATTTATTCGCAATATCGTCTTCAGGCCCAAACACAGGGCAAAAATCAAACGGGTTCGCAGCCTCGGATGAATTGCCGATAAGATAGTTGGCCTCATGGAGGTAATTCTTTGGTACAAGGCCTTCAGTCGTGAATGACCCGAGGCTATGATTGGTCTGGCCTGAAAACGATATAACCCGTGACAGAGCGATGATTAGGATGAATCCAAGGATGATGGCCCATATTCTATTGGTAATGCCCAGCGCCTTTGGAGTCCACCTTGTGGGTTTAGGTGCATCTGAGCCCATGCCCGTCAGTGGGTGCTGATTGGGAGGGGAGATGCGTGCCAGACCCTTCCCAAGTGAGCGTCGTTGCATAAAACCGTTGACGAAAAAGAGAAAAGTACCGTCGGGAACGTGGCTGGTCGGGGCAGCCGAACTACAAGGCGAGATAGAGCCTTAACGCCGCGTTTGAAGTTATTAGAACGTAGAGGCAAAATAATGGACACTGTGGGAGTTGAACCCACGACCTCACGCAATTCAAAGACAAGCTGCGAAGCGTGCGCGCTACCAACTGTGCCAAGTGCCCTTTACGACACGCCAGTTAGTCTAACATCTCGTTGTACTTACTCTATCTAGGGACAACCTACCCCCTGATGCAGTCTGCCCTAGTGCCACGTACGACGATGACTTTAAAGGTACGCGCGATCGAACCATACTTACTCCTGCAGGGATCCCCCTGGCATCATCTCTTCAACCACCGCGATGACAGAAGCTAATCTTATGACACGCTCTCCTGGTCAAATCAGAGAAAGTCGTACAGCCAGCTGCAGTAGGGAGACAAACACTTTTGAAATTCCATAGCATCGTATTGTCTTTAGCACACATGCCTCCGTAGGGATACATCATGCAAACCAAATAAACTCGCAAGTTGCAACGCACTTAAAAAAAGCATGCTACCCAAATGTCCATGTCCAAATATCCGAACGCATCACAGCTCACTCGTCTCTCTGTGATGCTTCACTCTCACAGAATCCGCGTTCTGCGCACGGTCGGGCATGCGCTCCCAGATGGGATCTACATCGGGACCGTCTATATCACCTGCGCCGTCCCAACCCCAACACCATACTGTACGACTCGTGAGCAGAGGAATATAATATAGAGCTAGCACGTACCATGCGATGGCCCGGGCACAAAATCTATCTCTTCGCTTTCCTCCGGCGTGAACAAACGGTCATGAGGACCAAACCACGACCGGTCCTGTGGGTCCGTCCGTGGATTGTCCGGAAGTCCCCCAAGACGCACATAACCTCGGATGGCAGTAAGGTTTCGTCTTGAAGGATGTATGATATCAAATACTCTCTTCATAAAAAATTAATCAATCAGATATTGAATTCCACTGCCTCTTGAAAACATACCTTATCATACGCGAGCTTCACCCGGGGAACCATCAAGATACGTCCATACCCAGCCTCCCAGTAATCATTGCAGATTAAACTGCACTCTGAAGCAGAACACTCCTCTTCTGTAAGTCTAGCCATGCGGAATTTGATATAAGGAGGCGTATAAAACGGAGCAGGGTCCAGGACTGCAACGCCATTCCAGCATGACTGGACCTGGATGGGGAGGTGCATTTGGAAACGGTCGGCGGAGTAGGAGTCATGGAAGACGTTTTCGAACGGAGCATTTTCCAGCGCCGTTCCATTGATATCGCGAGCGACCCAGTTATCATAAAACACGGGCGTTGACTACATTAAAAAAGTCGAAATGAGCTCATGTTGTGAGGGTGATAACGGCACTTACCAGCTCTTCATGATACATGTAATCAGAAGCGCAAGTTATACCTGCATTATTCCGCCGACTCTGCCAGATAAGCTCAAGCAGGTCGTCCACGCATGGGAGGATATCGTTCATAAATATGATGGTGTCGAAGTACTCATTATGCGAGTCGCGGAGCTCGTGGAGTGGGTTAAAGGCTTGGTTACGGACTTCTGCCAGGTACTCTATACGATGGTTGAAGGCACCTCGTGTACGTGTAGAGGTTCGAATGGTGACACGTAGGCCCACACTGCGAGTCAGGGCGTCGAAGATACGTAGCAGCGCCTTGGTCTGGTCCGTCGAGCCATTCTCGTATATGGAAACATAGACATTGTGGTACCCCAGAATAGCAGAAACTCGAAAGAGAGTCGCAAATAAGTCAGGAATGACATCGAAGGAGTTGTACAAATTGATGGCGAAAAAATATTTGTGCTCCTTCGCTGGAACGTTGTGTACGTGTTGCGAGTCGGAAAATCCCCACGAAGAGAACCAAGTGGATTCAGAGGGAGTTTTGTGTCCGATGAGAGAATCATAACGGTCCCGAACCTGTTGAACGTAAAGCGGCTGGGAATTTCGTGTGCACTCTGTCGTATGGTGGGGAGAAAGCGTGGAGAGCAGGTCTAGAACACGACGGCGTTGATCGATGCTGGGGAGCGTGATTTGTTTGCGAGCAGACAAGCGAGACACGAATATGGGGTTGTTCCCCCCAGTTGACAAGAGCTATAAAACAGTCACACGTTGTCATAGTAAGACGGTCAAAGGATAGACATACGCTCGATGGAAGTGTCTTGCCGATTAGCAAGCCTAGTAACAGCCCAACCACGAGTGCCAAAGGCGTTGGCACCCGTTTCAACTGTAACCAAAACGCCTTTGGCTGCATGGTGGTTGTAGGAGATAGACGGCGGTGACGTGCGACCCTGAAATATTAAACGCACAGATCAACTGGCTCAATATTGTTGATACACCCTATGAAAAGGGGCGTAAGCTTGGCGGCAATTTCTTGTGATCTGCAGAAGAAGGCCAGCCTTGGACCTTGGTGGGGGGATGACGGTCTGAAGTACGCTAGTTCAACTTCAAATTGAGTCGGAGGCGAGTAAGACTGGGCGCTTGTGCACACAAATTCAAATAAATTGCCTAACATGCCGTCCAAAGTAGATGAATGACGCTGTTCAACTATATAGATGGCTATTTAACCCCATACAACCCTCCTCCGTATGCAAAAAATCAATCAGGTAATCGTGAGTTGATGCTCAACGTCGACCTTCGAAACGGCGTGACAGGATCATCAAGTCATCGCGCGCAAAGAATGCGAAAGATTAAATAATGGTATGCTCGCAAATCCTGCAACCATTCATAATGATGCTGCGAGGATGGCAAAGGCTGCTGCACCAGTGAGCATATTAACGCTATGCGATGATGCAGCGTTGGTGGACCTGATCGTCATTCAGTTTGGTGTCTTAGAAAAATAACAACAAAGACTGACGAAGCTTTAGCAGTGGTAGCGGTGGCGGTACCATTGGATGTAGCTGTTGCAGTAGCGCTCGTAACAGTCAAGGTGACACCCTGCATTATCCAATTTAGCACACAATCCAGAAACAAGGATTTCCACAACATACCACTGCGGCACAGAGCGATTGGGAAGCTGCTTCGGCATTTGTGAGGTCAGACCCCGTGCACGACGCCTGAATACAGGTCGTGGTGCTGTTGATGAAAGCCTGGCTATGGCAAAGACAGGTGTCGTCGGTAGAAGAGCAGTTGCCATAGTCAGCATTTTCTAGACACGTAGCAGCACAATCTGATGATGAAAACGCATTCAGGTACAGTGGCCAGACGTCAAAGAAAAATAAGGCGTACTGGGCAAGCTTTGACGTGCAACCAACGCCGCAAACGCGGAAGAGAAAGCGACGGAGAGAGTAAGAACGACGACGGCGAAGCGCATTCTGTGTGAAAGAGTGCAAAGGGAGGAGGGCACGAACTGAACAAGGGGGAAAAAGAGACTTTATATAAAGTTTTGATAATGAACATGGCAACAAAATAGACAAGAGAACAAAGGCATCATGTCAATTCAGACAGAATATTGTCCTATTTTTAGCGCTCGTTTTACATGCTAATTGATTCCGGACATTGTATTACGTGTTTCGGAATTTACCGAGAAACTATCAAGTACTTCAGCCACTTGAACCTTATGTCATCACCACTAGCCAAACACAACCAAAGTCAGCGCGACATCTGCAGTTCCAGTTAGACGAGCTCGTCACTATACATCCTCAAGACATGGTATGTTACCTTCTTGCTCTACCCTCCGAATGGCTCATTTGAACCTTTGCTAGGCCAGGACAAACACCGGCAAAGTATGTCCTATCATAACGTTCACTCGTGATAGATCTTTATATTCTCCTAGACTGGCGGCAAGCGCTCCGCTCTTCAAGATGTTGTAACTCGTGAATACACTATCCATCTGCACAAGCTCGTGCATGGCCGCTCCTTCAAAAAGCGTGCCCCTTGGGCCGTAAAATCTGTCGTCGATTTCGCCCGCAAGTCGATGGGCACTACCGATGTTCGGTTGGACCCCAAGCTCAACCAGGCATTGTGGGCTCGGGGTGTCAAGTCCGTTCCCCACCGGATAAGAGTAAAACTTGAGCGTATGTGCTGCATGTTCAAACTAATCGTAATACCGACAATCATTTTTTTTACAGGCAAGCGCAATGATGAGGAGGGCGCAAAGGAGAAACTTTACACGTATGCCAGCCATGTTGTTGTTACCTCATTCAAGGTGTGCATTTTCTCTCAGCTATTTCTCCCGACCTCAACAACCCTCTTTTCACCTAGGGTCTCCAAACTGCTGTTGTAGACGCAGAGTAAGGGCTGTCGTTGGAAGGTCCTGTGTAGTTTTTTTCATATATTTCATGCCGCCATGCACATCACACCCAGCACTATGCTCTACATCAAAACTCGCGCATCATGATGCTGTCCCTGAATGAAACATCTTAAGCTAGCATTCTTGCCCACCCAGCTAGGATCCCGCGTTGGCACAACCTGAGGTGAGCAGACAGGTGATTCACAATGATCGGTGGTGGAACTACTCCTGCGAAAATGTGATGTCCGTTGGGGGCGCGGACTAAGGACCGATTTGGGGCCACACCAGACGATACATCCCGAAGATGTGCGGCCACCTGAATTTTAGAGAGAGCAGAAGTGAACTTGAGCACTTGCTTCAAAGTTATACGGACTCGATGAAGAACCTTCATGGCTGGTGATCTTCTGGGGTGCGGGAATCCTTCAAATGCTTCTGTACAACGTATGTCAGCCTTGTTCCAGTGTGCATCCTCGTTTATGTCAATTAGATGCCTGCAGGTTGAAAAGTAATCCTTAGGTTGAATAAAGATAAGCGTGACTTCAGCGAAGCGGCGTGGATCCTGGGGAGCGTTATTGCTGATCATGATCACGATCTAATGGTCCTCTCCTCACAAACGGTCCCCTTCCAGGATACACAGCATCGCTGACCGTCTAACTCTTTGGGCAATCGAGACTGGTCTTGCACATGGGTGAGAAAGCTTCACTCATGAAGATTTGACTATATGGAGCTGATATTCTCAGTATGTCTGTTGCTTACTTATTGTCTTCGTGAGTTCTTTGAATGACGATTGTCGTGAACACTACTAACGGGGCAGTCCGCCGTAGCTATAGAACACATACCATAGTAGCACGAGGATCCTCCAGGACCACGCTGACAGAGGCTGAAGGATAGCCCATCCACAAGAGTTGCAATACGCCTGTATTTGGGATGGCGGCTTGACTGTCGTACGATGCACAAATGCTCGTGCCATGTACAGCATCAGTCCCAACACGATCACCGATGCAGATGTCGCAAACAGCGATTAGAATCAGTTTGGATAAATAGACATTACGTGTGTAGCACGCAGTCATAAACAGTGCGTGAACTCCATATCAACCTAAGACAGACACAAGCACCCTATCTGCGTGCCCTGGGACTACAGAATTTCGGGGATGCGTCTAGTAATGGATGGAGAACTCATGACTCGTGATATTGGAACCATCAACGAGGTTCTGTCCAAGTATTCCACAACTAACATCAGCTACGTCCTCGGAAAACGTTCGCCGTTACGGTTTACCCCAGTGACAACTGGCCTAGCGACTATTGTGCTCTAGTAGGTGACGAGGTCATGCAGGCAGCGGGCTTATGGAAAGCCTATCGATTTTCCATATGCATATGGTCGGTGAGTGCAAATCCCGCATCCCTGAAAATGTGGAATTTGGGTGAATAAATCATCATAGATCGAAGTTCACCAGAGGCTCGCGGGGTGCATCCGGCACATTATTTGAGGCCTTCAATAAAATTTGTGACGAAGCGTGGGATCTGCTTCACGATTGGCAAGCACATTCAGATTGCTTGCAAGCCCCCTATACACTGCCTGAGTATAAAAGCCAGCGTACTCAAGCTAGTTTTTATTCAAAAAACACAACCAAGTTTCAGCCATGAAATTCACTTCACTCACCACCATGATCATCTCTGCCGCCGCCATGGCTGGCGTAGCCATTGCATCCGAGGATTTGACGGTGTCACCCTTGAACCTACCCTGCCAAACAACTGGTGAGCACTTTCGTTGCCTACGTGCAGACATTGGAGCACATGCTGATGGCTATCCACCGATGAAGTGGGATGCTCAAACATCAGAGGTTTCAACAACGGCAACGATTTCGGGTTTTACTGTCTCAATAACAAAATCTATAAGTATACGGCTTGCACGGGCGGAACTAGATGCCATGTCACCAGTGGGACTACGTTCAAGTGTTCTTGAGCACTGAGCCTTAAGGCTCGCTCAATTCCGCAGTACCTCGGTGGGCCTATCTTTTTCGTTGTCTCCCGAATCTGAGTGCTGATGTGATTGCTTTCACCAGTGCATGGACCAATGAGCCTGATGCGTGCAAGAGGGTGTAAAGGAGTAAGGCATGAAAATCTAGAGTTAATCGAATCCGGTCATAATGAAGACGATAGGATTTGTAACAAGTTTGTTACGGTCAAATTGAGGTGAAATATGCGTTTTCCACGCATTCTGAAGCTGTACTCGCTCTCGATGGGTACCATGTCCTGGAAAGAAACGGAATGCAAGGATGTGAGATAGAGAAGCATGCTCTCAAGTTGTGTCCTCGCTGAAAACGGCAGGATCGGCGGGAAGTCTGAATCGGAGCTTGAAAATCGCAGCCAGAGTCAGACGTCTGCCAGTGCAAACTTGAAACTAGGACTACCGTGCAACAACCGTGCAAGACTGAAGTGCATCCTTAGTCGCGTACCGACTCGCCGAGTGCGTCCAAGGTCCGCGTGTGAAGAGGTAACATTTCACGGCTATGTGAAATCAGTAATAAGAAATCTAGGGAACCTTCGTACTCATCTTTTTACAGGTGTCCGTTCACTTTCACTAAGCTCCGAGCCTGAGCCCGTCTGATGTAGAGAGGCGTCTTGAACCTCTTCAAGTCATCAAAGCCTCTTAAAGGCTGATCAAACTCTCTTCAAATAAACCATGGCTGACTGCCTCTATGTCTCGTGATCTTGTCTACAAAACATGACGATCTGTAGCTAAAGCTCACCAGATCCTGGGTAAATTGTCGTATCTTTAGATGCGGCTCGCTCTTGGAATTGTCGCTCAGATCATTTGTATTTTTCCGCTGTCACTGGACTCTGATAGGCTCCCGCCTTCTCCCGCCCGGCCACGTTTTCACAAGCTATAAGTCTTGTCCGTAAATTAGGTTGGAAGTCTATTAACTTACTTAAGAAATGAGCCATTCAATGGGGCTGTCCAACAAGTACAGGTCCAATCTCTTCACGGCCTTTCAGTCGATCTCTCGGCATCAGCAAAAGCCATCCTTTCCTTTGAACCTCCAGACCATCCGTGCCAAAGTACCTCTCACTCTCGAAGCTCCAGTCATTGTTCGCACGCACACAGTTTCCCAAGCCATCGCAGTACTCCCTAACCTGCGAGTCAATGAGCTCTTCCCATTTCGGAATGGCTGCCATGGCCTCCAAGAACTTCGTCTCGAGTTTTGCATGGCAATCCGCCACCCATAATATAGCACCGTTGACATCCGTATCAAGTTCGTGCATGACAATTGTCACTATATTGTGACCCTCATCTCCGCGCGCTTGCTCCACATTGTAGGATGCGATATCCTTTGGCCATGCAATTTTATGAGTGTTATTGGCACTATGTCCGTAGGAAGATCACTGACATTATTGAGAAAGATCATGTCAATGGATGCCATCTCCATATCTTGAACCACCGGGTGAGAAATTACTTCATCTGGGATATCAAGACCCAGCTCCAAAAGTGCGAACCCAGACCTTGCTCCGACCGACTTGCGGCGCACGTCAAAGTAACTTTGGATATCACGAATATGATGTCCGCTTCGGTCAATAGCCTGCTGGACTACGCCCTCTAGAAATTCATCGAATGCTGCGATGAACCGCTTCTGCGACTGGCCGCTAGCATTGCGTATGGTGCGTTCCCAGAATCTGTCGGCGTGGTAAGTCTCAACATCACACATCAGATAGCAAACCACCCACTGGCGAGCGATTTCTCCACCGACCCATTCTGCTTTGGGACGCGGCTCATGAGGGTGACGCAGAGCATCCATGACGGCGTCCTTTTGTTTGCGGGCCTCACCCTCTTCTGATATATCTGTGTATTCATCTATGAAAAACAAAAGATTGGTGAAATCGCAAGCGCTGCGAACGTGCTCTGTGCGAACTCCTCAGTAAATCTTCAGCTGGTATATTTCTAGGGCTGACCTTCTTTCGCGATGGGGTGGGCTAAACAACTTAGAAGACCTAAAAAAAGACCTGTGAATATACCGAAAAAAATATTATGAACCGTGTCTTACTGCAATCGCAGCGGTTGAAGGCATCTTGGGCTTTGGGGCTGAAGGCTTTAAAGCTTTCAAGCCAAGCAGATGATTCGGCACGGACTTTGGGATAGTAGTGGTTGAGACGACGGGGAAACGGCCATCTTGCGAGTAGGTCGGGTATGAAAAATTTCTCCAGGGGTTGATCATAACCATCGCCAGCATTGACGTGCACTACTTCTAAAGCAGTCCTCGCCATGCTGAAGGAACTCTGGCTGGCATCCATACATGCGCTGACTGGATTTTATATTCACCACGATACTTCCGTCGTATTCTCCGTCTCAAAATCGTCCTCGTTACGACATTATTTCTTCCGAGTCAGTTTTTTCCGACTAAAATCGAAGTGGACATATTTCTCCGTTCGATTTAGTAGGGCTAGCTGACGCGGCACCTTAGTCAAGTGTTACATTCGCACTCAATTTGTTAACTGCATGGCTTTTCCACTTGAAAGACAACTAAATTTGAGGGATCGCAAAAGGCTTACCAGCGCAAAGTGAATATATCGACTCGATCTCGTTCCTCGGCCAGTCGACAAGTTGCCGTAGCAACTTTGTAACAGTAAGTTACAGCAGCTTGCATATGAAACTGGTTACTGCAGTACGAGTTGGTGTCGCCGCGAAGCGAACTGGTCACAGTCTGAAGCGAAGCGGAAGTACACATGATGCAACTCGGTAGACTTCGATGCAATAGGAAAAGGGTCACGTGACTATCAGAGTGGCGGTCATGACACTGACTGATGAGTCGTTGTAGTTGAGGACATTGGGTCATGCTGAGGGTCTCGCTGAGGGTCGCGCCGAGGGTCTCGTTGAGGGTCGTGCCGAAGGTCTCGTTGAGGGTTGCACCAAGGGTCACGCTGAATATCAGGCGGAAATTGATCATTTGCATGAACAGTTGCGAAGTCTCAGGCTAGGGTACTAACTACTATGGTGTATACAACCAAGCCTTTGTATCACTCGGGGGAGTGATGGTGCGTATTGGAGCTCGTATTCCGCGCAGTCTCAACCACGTTATCCGGAGTGATTCGAACATCTCTTCTTCCCTACTCGATCTTGTGACGAAGAGTTAGAACTTAGCGGTAGGCACTGCAGAGTGCAACCGAAATGGCAAACTACCGCATGAATGAGAAAGGCTGGTATGTGCCGGCAAAGACACGCCAACTAACCATGCCAAGTCGCCGATGAGGTATACCTTGACGGTCGTGAATTCCAGGTCTGCTGGTAATGGCGCGCTGCCGAGATCCGGTTTGGCACTAACGAACATTTTACGATGTCTCTTTCAGATTTTACGTCGTGGATGCCGCTTGTCAAACTCTCGCAGGCCAGACGGCGTGCCCTGGAGCCGTCAAAGCCTTTTTTCGTAAGCCCGTGCAGCTGGTCGTGTTGGCAGAACTGAAATTGTGACGCGTCTCGGAGATTTCCACTGTCGCATTACAGCAAGCAAGTCAAGGGGGGGATGTTGCAAACTCTTGCGTGGAGGCCTAACGTTATGATTTGTCCTGTATGATCTGAATATAATCATTCGTCTCAATAAATGAATGAGCCGTCGCTGTGCTCTCGATTCATTTGGACTGGAATATAGTCCTTCGCAAGGGACCTATCTCAGGAGGTCTTTTGTCGCGTGAATGGCACTACGATTCGTTGCTACAAATTCAATTAGCAAATGATGCAATGTAACGATACAGACTGGCTGGTTGTCAATCGTTGACATTTCCCCCATCCGGGTCCATTGAACTTCTGAATGAATTCCTCCCTGATGCCATACTCTTGCGTACTATGAAGCCTTCGGTCAAAGTCCTATTCAAAAGGCATCTTGAAGTAACAAATCATCTGCAGGAACTGGTGGCGCTGGGCCTGGTGCCCGGGGTGCAGGTGCCAGAGGAATTCCAGACATCTCAACAGACGCGCGTAAGCGATGATGAAACAAGGGCATGTTTTAGACGCCAACCCGTTCAAACTGAGCTTGAAACCATGCATGACTGCGCTGGCAGGGGCAATGCGTCGTGCAGCACGTCACACCTCTACATCCACTAAATCTGATACCCTAGGGCCTATACCATCCTCTAAGTAATACCACGACACTATTATCATGAACGCGAGACGAGCTCCTCCGCCAGGTGCGTTTCGCAACAGCAGCGAAGGGGGTGCACAGAGCGCTTACTATGTTATATCCTTGCAGGAGCGCCTCCGCCTTATGCATTCGTAAATCGCGTCTATGGCAGAAGTCTGCGTCCCGTTGTTCTTGCGTGTATGTTCTAGTCTCGTTTATATTCTACTATGCTCATCGTCGTTATGAAGTTTCGGTAATGGGGACCATATGGGCTTTGGCATGGTAAGTCTCGTCAGTTTGAGGTCAACGTGACACACATTAACCGTCGTGGTCTTTCTAGGACTGTAGGTAACTGGTTTGTCCTCCGTCGATCCATTCTTGAGCTTGTCTGCAGATTACATCTTTCAAAGAACTACAAGTCGATCAGAATGGTCAGTCGTCTTCTCGTTTCAGTACATATATACACGAGCTCACACCCTGTGGCGTAGGCGCTTATCATAAACTTGCTCCACTGGCTATAGTCCAAGGCGTCCTCTATTCCGTCGCACTCGGGATCGAGCTATTCGGCATTTACAGCTTGTTGACTGTGAGTTGTTTGTGCAATGCAACGACGACGTCGCCAGTGCTAACACCAACGTGGTAGCAACGTGCGTGGATGGTTAGGATGTATGCGTTTTTAACCTGTATTGCGGGTCTTCTTGTTGTTGGCGTCGGCTTGATGCGCTGTGTCACTCATTTCACTTACAAGGTGAGCTTACTTATTTGCTCGTTTTTGAAAGTTTTGACTCATGTGTGCGTAGGGTGAGCTCATAAATGAATGTATAAATGTTTCGATGGATGGAAATGTGGACACTGTCAGTGCTTTTACATAGCTTGTCGTGACGCGTTGCTTATTTCTAAGTAGGCATTCGGAATATGGGGCTCTGACCCAGGGCCGATGGACCTTGCTGACGCTACGTCTTGTGAGTGTCGGGGCATGGCTCTTTCATACCGAATCTTACCTTACTGCAGATTGCAATGATGAGTGGAACCATGACTCGTGGAGCGAGATCGTGGCTACCGTATTCGAAATCAGTGCGTATTTACACCTGTTGATCCTACAGTGGAGCTAACGAATTTGAAGTTCTTTGCCTATTGTTCACATCTGCCGCCTTTGCTTATTACCGTCAAGTGGTTGATCCTATGAGCCCTGCGAATGCCTCGAGGGCACCCTCGAACCAGGCGAGACTGGACCTTTTCCCGGCACACTACAACCGACCTTATGATCCTGAATACCAACCAGCCTATGCTCCACCGCTTGGGCCGCCACCTTCAGACGCTAAACCTCCTGACTACTCTTACGAGGGCGGAGAGTATTTGGGACATGGCTTTGAGAAGGATGACAAGAAAGAAGACGATCCTTTTGCAGACTATGAAGGACCTAGTGTTCCCCGACCACTACACTTTGCCGAGGACCGAGGATAGGGATATGAGAGTGTTGGATGGATCTGTTTATGGAACATTCTTCTGATATCTTACAATATAAGGTTATATGTTCTGGTCTCGATGCATTCTCCTATGTAACACCACTTGAAGGACATTGACTGTGCCTAAGACTTACACCACACTGAGCATTAAGAACTGCATACTGACCTCCTCGGTCTGAATTTTGGTGCGCCGGTTCTACATAGATGCGATAGACGAAGTGAAAATGCATGAATATCAATAGCCATAAAACGACCACTCCAAAGGGGCCAAAGTATTTACTTGCGGCCTCCTGCCTTCTGTTGGCTTTTGATGACCTTCTTGACTATCTTTGCCTCCTCGACAAGGAATGCTCGTAGAATGCTGTTCGCGCCCCAGAGTTAAATCAGCAGTAGGCCGCGAGGTAATGAAGAGACGCACCGCGACTTGACACAGTCTCCGCATCGCGAACCACCATAAGCCCTGCACACTGTCTTCTGGCGCTTTGAGATCGTTGCGTATTGGCGGGGGCGGAGAGCAGGGACCTATACCCACACGATATTCAAGATCCACCCAAGGATCGAGCAAAACCGAAAAGACGTACACCAGGAAGACCAATACCGCAATCACCGCATTTAGGCTGAGTGGCAAGTTTCTTGAGGTGGTGGTATACGAGTTTTCCACCTGGCGTCTTTACGATGCGTCTGCGGCTTGAGGTGGTGTTGTAGGGTTGACGTTTACGGAGGGTGACGCGTTGAGCCATTTGGGGAGCTGTGGGGATGGGGTTTCGTTAGTGATTTCTGTCAAGGCTTTCCTCTGTTCTGCCGTGTCTCCTTCCTCCTGTACTCACATGATTTTGAGCCTGCGCAAAGTCTACATTAGTGTTATTTGGGTCATACGATGATGGGACGCACCTTGAGCAGAGGGTCTTGAGGTCGTTTGGGCCGCTTCAATACACCAATCGCCGACCGAGGGTTGTGGCTGATTGGTAATATACAGTACTTCGGCAAAGTCCGGTGAGGCCCGGGTATGTGAGCGCTTGTCAGTTATCCTGTTTTCGAGTAGTGACAGCTAGTGTCAGACTGTCAGTGCCCTTCAGCAGGTCTAGCTATGTTCCCTGCTCCTCTTTGAAATTCCCGCGAAGCTCAAGACCGTAGTACACATCTGCTGGTTCAATTTTACTGACCAATGGACAGTATCTTCGGGCCCACTAGGCTTTGAGTTGTTGCGACCCATCACTACTCATTGAAATGCCCGCAAAGACAGTAGTTTCATTCATACGTTCTTCCAAGACGCATTTTTACTGAGCAGTCGCTTTGAGACCAACTCATACAACAACTCGTTGAGTTGTGGTCACAGCGACTGCTCATTGCTTTGGCTTGGTACCTGACGCGATTTCGATCTTTAGGAACCGCTCAGGGCGAATTTCCGAAGGCTTTGTTCTGCATCAAGTCTCATACCTATCGGCTATTTTCTTGGATGACTCGGAGTAGACCCTTCGGGTCTCTCCATAGCAGAATTGACTGGTAGGTGGGCATTCAATGTGGTCTTTGTTTCTTACGTCTCCTGTTTGCACAGAATGATGGCCTCACCCGTGTTGACGTGACTGTGTTCCATGCACGTTCAGTACTCAAGCTGTGCTCTCGTACGTTTTACTTTTCGGGATCAAGGATTCGTGGTATGTACATCATGTACATGGTGGACACGCATTATAAAGCAACACGTACGGTGACCTCTTCCAGTTTGACTCCCTCGACTTCTCTCACGACGGTTTTCGGTGAGTACACATTTCCTTCCTCTCGACTCATATTGATCTCGTCTCCTAATGTCCTATTAGAGTACATCAATATTTTTCGATTGCTCAAAGAGCCAGCTCCACTCCACGATGCATGGATAATACCTGTGTTGCGCATTTCTACTGAGTAATCAGACTTAGCTATAGTAGAGCTGTGGTTCCCGCGACTAGTGTCGAATATGTACAGTAGTTCGATGCGTGAAGTTATGCGAAACCGTCTATATATGAACTTTGATATGACACTGGCGCTTGTGTAGTATGCGGTAGCACATAAGAAACTAGTGCAAAGGACCTCGGTAGATATCAAGTGTGTAATCATGATCATAAACCTTGTCGTCTGTTTGGAATGTCATCTGAAGAAAAAGGGAATCGCCAGTCGAGTCTTTCTCCTGGGTTAACTGCCGCAACATGCTGGTAACCGCGTCTCCTTGATGGTAGTCGAACAGGCGGCTACAGGTTTTCTGATAATACCTTAGCCGTGAAAAGCGGCACTTGAGTGTAGCGAGTTCATCGTTTCGAGGGGAGGATTGGGTGTTGGATTGAAGTGACGATTTACCGCGTGAAAGATCAGCCTCCAGGCTGAACATCCGATGCGGATCTGAAAACCTAAACCAAAACGGTGCGGGTGGCTTCCTATTAATGACAGAAACAACAACAGCGCAAATGGGATTGGGGTCGTCATGATCGGTAGTGACTGCGCCTGGAAACTCGACGAGTTGCAATGTCGCAGTAGCGTCAATGATCTTCCCCAAAATTCTGGTGGACGGTTGTTCAGCAGCGTCTATCGCTGCTCCAACCTTGGCGAACCACTTTCTCTTTTTAGCCCAGATCCAAATGTCTCGATGGAGAGTCGCTGTCGCTGTCAGTTGTGCATTTTGCTCGAGGAGATATGCGACAATATCACTCAGATGATTGTCAAGAGCAATGTGGAGTACTGTTCTGGCTGTCCAGTCCTGCACAGAAAGATCACCAATAAGCGTTTTTACGACTGGTAGCCATTGGTTTGTATCAGTTCTTGGCCCAAATTGCGATAGCAAAGTGTGGATAAGGGTGGACCCGTCGACAGTTAAAGAGACATCCGCGCCGCGTTGACATAGTTTGTTAATGATTTCAGGAGACCGCTGCGTGGACACGACGGCCGTGTGCAGAATGTCATCAGGCAGGTTGACCTCCGGTCGTGACAGCAACAGGTCCACAGCCACTTTGCTCCCAATCGCAGCTGCCCACGAAACTGGAGTATAGGAGCCTGGAGGAAAATCCTGCTTATGGTACAAAGAAGTTTGGACGGAAGACGGCTTGTTGAGGTCGATGCCCAGTGTCAGGAAAACTCTGAGAAAGACGGTGTTCGAGGATATGGCAAAAATCAAGGGAGAACCGAAACCACAGGCAACATCCATGTCCAGGAGATCGTTTTGCTCCTTGACGAGGGTTTCCACCATCCATGGATTTCCGAACCGAATGGGGATGAATAAAAGTGAGAGGGAAGTGACGCTCGACTGCCCGCCGTCGGTTAATGGTTGAAGTAGACTTCGAGCAGGGAATGTTTCTCCGTGTTGTGAAGAAACTCAAAGTGTAACCGCCGCAGGGCAGCCATAACGCAAGAATCCTCATCCTCGACATGACGAAGGTGCGTTAAAGCTTTAACCGCATAGCTCAGCAATGGATGGTCTTTGCTACCACCGGAAACGTGAGCTGCAGTAAAACCTGTGGTTATACAAACACCGTCAGTTTCATAACTCTTAAATGAAACATATAGTATCTCACCTTTCGCACACCCCTCGTGAATAGAGTCACATAAGACATACGTGATCAAAAGCTCGCAGATACGCGCATGCATATCTGAGACTGATTTCAGGATGTTATTAGCAGGACGATGACTGATCAGGTATTCCTGGTTGCGTAACGCATCAGCGAACCAGTAGGATGAAGGTCGACAAATCATACTTTGGCGCTATAATGAGATAGAGCAACGATGCCAGTTGTCTCGTCATAGGTCACAAAACTTCCGCACGCGACCACGATATCCATAGGGTCCATCACGCCAAGGTCCATATTGAGATCCGGCTGTCCAACTTCGATCATTATCGCTTCATTGAGCTGGTCAAGGGTCAACGGGGTAAATGCGCCAGCCAGCCAACGCAAGCAACTCTGTGCAATTTGGTCATAACCTCGCCCTTTTTGTTGGATGTCGCGAATGATCCGATCATAAGTTTCGTCCAGTCCAGCCGGAAGATCGTCGAGGGCGTTCTTGATGTCGATATCTCTTGCGCAACGCCGGATTTCGTCCAGTTGACACTGAACCCAGCGAAACCTGCATGTGATCATACAACCATGAATTGTGGAGGAGTGAGTGAAGGCTGCTTTACTTACATGCCCTTGGCCTTCTCTAACAATTTCTCTACAACTATCGTTTTAAGCGTGTCAGGTAGGCGCGACAAACGCTTATGAGTCTTCAGCTGTTCAGTGATGTGCACGCATATATCTGCTTTCATCTGTTCTGCGCTGTCCTTCAACGACATGGTGGAGAGATCATGGAAGGCGTCTTGAATGTCTTTCTCACTTCTACCGGTGACGAAAAGTCGTAGTCGAGCATCTTCAGCAAGGTCTACAAGGTGTTCTACCAAATCAGGGTATTCCTTGCATTCATCCAAGGCGTCAATCACGAGGACTGGTCGGTCAACCAGCTTAGACACTTCAACGAGAATTTTTCGCAGAAATCCCAGATCTGTAGGAAAACGCTCTGCGTTTCGCTGTTGCTGTCCTAGCTCTCGCAGGGAAACGAAATCCGCTTCTGCGTTCCGGTCTTGCTGCTTCGGCTCGCGTATCTTGGTGATCCAGTCGTCTTTAGATTGCCGGAGAAGCTGAACAACCAAGGAACGCAACACCGCAGCTGCGATTGTCGTCTGCTCATCTTGGAAATTGCAATAGAAATACGCGAGCGTCTGGGGTTCGGCTTGCTCGCCGCCTTGAATTTCGTCAATAACGGCGGAACTGAATGTTTAAAAGTCAATCGATGCTCTCCAAAAGCACTCCAAACGTGTCGAAACTCACGCAAGGATGGTCTTTCCGCTCCCAGCTGTTTTGAATGTCAGTAGTCTTCAATTAATGGTGAATGTAACAAAACTTACGCTGGCCGTTCAACCATAGGAATGCATGATCAGATGAATTCCAGGTCTTGTACTGCTCGGCCTGGAAAATCCAACGACCGGTGGCGGCGTTGCGCTGGCGACGGGAGATATCGTGCTTTTCAGCACAAGGTGCTGGGCTCATCCATTGAAGGAACTTCTGACGTTCCTCGGCTACGCATCGTTTCAACTGGGTGAGGAGGTACCTGGCACTCGTCATCTCACCTTTCACATGTGCCTCTTGCATCACTTTTAATTCCTGGACTCCTCGACCGACTTCCTGGACTCCTAGATCGACTTTCTTGATGCCTCGATCGACTTCCTGGACTCCTCAATCAACTTCATGGACTCCTCGACCGACTTCCTGGATTCCTAAATCGACTTTCTTGATGCCTCGATCGACTTCCTTGAGCGTGATCCTTACGCTGCATTAGAATTAGCGATCATAACAAGCGAGTCAGCTCACCATGTATCAATTGCTAGAATGTTTGTAATCTCGCCGCAATATTGTTTCAACTTATCGGCGATTGCTCCTGCTTCCTTTCCCTTGAATGGCCATGTCAATCTAGTCATCGTCTTCATCTTCCTGCTTTCCTGTTCGTTTGGTAGGATCTTCTTCAAGTCCACCTGTAATTTTGCGACTGGTCCATCATCAGCTATCAAAATCGAAAATGCGCGACGGAGATTGTCTGGAAGAGAGCCATATTTCTCAATGTCCACCACAGTGGTCAGGACTCCGCCGATTGAGCTGAGCTCATTAAGCAGGCTCCGGCAAGACAAGTCGGCGTTGCGCACGGAAGCAACATATCCTAACAAAAGAGCTGAAGCTTGCCCTATCATTTGAACGAGCTGAAGAACGGTGAGACTGCTGGTGATGGGATCCATCTGGAGTCAGGACAGTGGAGAATGTAATCCTGGGCCTTTGCAGCGCCATGACTTTATTTAAATCTAAGGAAGTGCGCCGCATCAGTCCATTTGCAACGTTGAGACCATGCAGCTACCCATCGATGATTGATAAGAACTGATATGAAGACACATGGCAGCCAAATGAGAGCTTCCGGATCGAATCAAGTTGCTGCGCTGCCTTTTGCCACAGTTGCAGGATCGGTGTGAAAGAGAAGTACTGGCTGTGATGCATGTGATGCTTGAAACATTTTCGCCCTGGTAGCAAAGTTCGGAATCTGCTCGTTGTGATTATGAAGAAAACACTATGAGACGTGACTTCATACTCGATGGACGTTGGTATGCGTTATAGTACAGTTGAAATGCTCATAATGCATATGCTAACAATGCATAAGTCTCATAATGCATGGACTTTGTTGGATCCCGACGGCGTTCCCATGTAATTGACCGCATAATGCATATTGCATAATGCATAACCTTCATCAGTAAATCCCAAATTTCTCCACAGACATCAACATTTTCGACAGTTTCCCACAGTTCCCACAGTTTCCCACAGTAGCCCACAGCGCGACAGAGCTCACAGCAAATCTCTCCCAGAGGCATCGATAGTTCCCCACAGTCACCCACAGAAGGACAGAGCTCACAGGATGTACAGCTGCTCACAGCATTCATCCGTAAAATACTTAGAAAATACTACGCAGAGTCCCAGCTCGTCACATGATGCAAGCCACATGGCACTTTTTCCTCGAGTGGTGATGTCACTCGAGGAAAAAGTGCCATGTGGCACAGCGCTGTGCTTAGAAAATAGAAGTCACAATTCGAAGCATATGGATCTGCGTCGCGAAGTCAAATGTCAAGACAAAATAAAATTTCATATCCATTGTATTTACTGCTACTAGGTACTAGTACGGCTAAATACAAGGTTTCTATTTGATACAACTCAAAAGAAAGTTACTTGTCATTAGTCCAACTGGATGGTTACTGGATGGCAGGATACAAATGAGTCTATGATATGAAGGTGTTAGTTGGTAGTACCGTGTACATGGTAGGCATACTTACCATGAAAATTGTGAGGCGCTGGGTAGTGAGAAAGACCATGTTTCTTGAATGTGATGCGCATATGACCCAGTCCTACATCCGCCTTGTCAAGCTTCCGCTTAGAAAGGGCCGACTTGTGTTTTGAAAGGTTTGCCATGGCCTCGTGTTCTCGGACGACACAATCAGCAAGTGTTTTCTCCGCAATATATATATCGCGTCGGGCCCTTGCGAGGTCCATGATGAGGTTGGCTTCGAGTTCGTCGACATCATTGATGGTCTGTACACACATTAACAAGCATTGCCTAGTAAGATAACGGTCACTTACCATTGAGCCAATAGCATTGGCCACATCATACAAATCAGCGATACCACTGCCAGAGTCACCCAGAACATGGCTGGTTTGCCACTTATTGGTGTATTGCGGGCACATAGGAGTCATATGTGACGCTGATGGTACTACATCACTAGAGATATTTAGATGGATTGGTGCGTGGCTGGACTTGGACATGAGTGTTTAAGTTGGAAAAACTAATAATGGGTATTGATTCCGAGCATTCCTCTTCTGAAACTCAGAATTCTCACATGCATACACATGTTGTCATTCCAGTGTCCTTCGTGCGGCAAAGGCAGTTTCAAGGACCACGTCGCTGTTGCTCGTCACATGAGCCAACCTCGCTCTGGCTGCAGTGCATGGCTGCAGGATATGGTACGCATGCGCTCAGAATCTGATGACTTCTGTATGGATGATGAACCGAACACCAATATGGACAATGGTCCGAATATTCCTGACACCGAGTCTGGTGGTTTTGGAGATTGGGATGAGATGTCTCGAGGGAGCGGCAGTGAGAGCCAGGCTCATGACGAGGAAACACCAACTCACGACTCAAAAGTTATCGACTCATATCCTGACTGCGCCCAATCATACGGCAGGGGCTACACATTTCTTGATTTATTCAATTCTGACGAGAACAGCAAACACCGTGCAACAAATCTGTATTATCCATTCAGCAGCTGGAAAGACTGGGAAGTTGGATCATGGCTACTTCGCTCAGGATTGAGCATGGGGAAGATAAACAGTTTTCTTTCACTCGAGATGGTGAGTAATAAAATTTTGAGAATTTTTACAATTTTTGAAAGTGTCTGGTTCAGATAAAGACCCTTCCATTGTCGTTCCGTTCGGCCAAGGAACTACGCGGCAGAGCGGAAATGTTGCCCAGCGGTCCGCGTTGGATGTCACAAATAATACCCACAGCATATCCCACGAAATCACCCGTTGTGTTGTATTGGCGTGATCCCCTGGATTGTATCTCAAGCCTTCTCAACAATCCTGCCTTTCATGATCAGCTGGACTTTACACCTCGCAGGGTGTATACCACTGCGCAGCGGCTGTGCCGCGTGTATTCAGAGTGGATGACTGGTGATGATGCATGGAATATGCAGGTACGCATGGTTTCATTTGTGCGAGTCATCATACTTATCGTTTTTTTGGATAGTCAACCTTACCAAGAGGTGCAACACTCCTTGGGACCATCTTATCATCCGACAAAACAAACATATCGACCATGACAGGCGACAGAGTCGCACATCCCCTTCTTATCAGCCTTGCTAACATACGCATGTCCACGCGACTCAAGTCATCTTCGAACGCATTTGTGCTTACTGCTCTACTCCCCGTCCCAAAATTTATTTACAAGAAAAAACGCATGCGGGGTGTACTCGAGGATCGCCTCATTCACGACTGCTTGAATATCGTTCTGCGTCCACTCAAGCATGCTGCTCGTGAAGGGGTCATGCTGTCAGACCCTGTCGGACACAGTCGCTACTGTTTTACGCCACTTGCAAGTTACATTGTTGACACCCCAGAGGCCATGATGCTGGCTGCTGTTGGCGGGAAAACCTCCCCGGTCACTATGGCCATGTATAAACAGTTTGGAGACCCTTTCCGTCATGAGCCTCGCACACGAGCAACTACACTCTCCCAGCTGACCATCGCACGAAGTAAGGTCGATCCCAACGACATCGAGGGATTTTTTCGCGAGGCGCAGAAGTTTCGTTTGAACGGCGTGAATGTCCCATTCTGGCTGGATTGGCTCCTCAGCGATCCATCACATTTTCTCACTCCTGAATTCCTTCACCTCATTCACCGCGAGTTCTATGACCACGATGCGAAGTGGCTTATTTGCGCAGTTGGTGATACAGAGATTGATTTTCGGTTCTCTGTGTTGCAGGCCATCACTGGATTCCGTCATTTTCGTGGTGGGATATCGAAGCTTAAACAGGTTACAGGACGCACTCAACGCGACATCCAGCGCTCAATCATTGCAGTCAGCGCAGATGCAGTACCTAGTGCTGTTATGACTGCCATACGTGCTCTGATGGACTTTCGGTACCTCGTACAGTCACCCGTAATTGACGACATCCAACTCACCCGCATTTCCACGGCCCTCGAAGAATTCCATGCCAACAAAGATGCAATTTTAGATGGTGGATTTCGTCGTGGTCAGCGTGGCAGGGTCATCGAGAACTGGTACATCCCAAAGCTCGAACTCATGCAGTCCATAGTTCCGAGCATAAGGAACACTGGAGTTCCTCTGCAATGGACCGCCGACACCACAGAGCACGCGCATATAACAGAAATAAAGGATCCTGCTCGCTCGAGCAATAACAATAACTACGACCCCCAGATTTGTCGCCATCTTGACCGTGCTGATAAATGCCGCCGCTTTGACCTCGCTATGAGTCTGCTCGACAATATGCCAGACTCAAAGCAGCAGGGTTCAGATGATGATGACGATGCTGACGACGATGCTGATTTCAAAGCAGATCACGATCACGATATCCCAGCAGACCTTCTGGCAACAATCAAATACCCTGGATATTCACATCCAATCACCAATTACTTCGAAATCGCCAAGGTCCTCCAGCACAGGGAAACGGGAACAGTCCCCGTGCCATTGCGCTCGTTTGTTGTCGAACGCACAGCATTTCACCTTGCTTATGACCCTTCCATCAGAAACTTATCTGTTGACGATGCTGCCATTCAGTTTGGCCTTCCTGACTTACGACCAGCCATTGCCGACTTTCTTCGTCAGGAGGCTACTCACGGGAGGGATCACATCCATACTATTGGGGGGACTAGAAGAGCTGGACCCACCACTCCACTTCCTTTCGACAAACTACAAGTCTGGTTTAAGCTTCGGCTGCAAGACACCGATTTCCACGATACTAGCATCATACGGCCTGCACAGACCCTCAATTGTGCGCCCCCTTCTGATCCCTGGACCTCTGGCCGTTATGACACGGTCATCATCAACAATGATGCGAGATGCTTATGGCCTACAGATGGTCTTCGTGGTACGTTATTCTCATGTCGTGCTGAATATTTATTTATCATCAAGTCATAGGTCATACTATCGGCCAAATCAGGCTTATCATGCGTCCTATTGGAAAGAGTGGAGCAAATTGGTCATGGAAGGACCGCTTTCTGGTATACGTGCATCGCTTTGATATTGTTCCAAAAGGCTCTGGTACCAATGATCGCGAGCCAAGTACGCAGCTCCACTTGCTCAAACGCGCGAAGCGTTCCAATGGTACTCCGGTGGGTGATATCATACCTGTGACCCAGCTCAGAGCACCTGTCAACCTTGTCCCTCGCTTTGGTGCAAGTGCGGACAACCGCCTTACCCCGTATAATAGCATGGAACATGCTTCGCAGTTTTGGCTCAACAGGTATTGGGACAAGAATATATATTTTCCTCTTTCCATGTAGCTTTGACATAGTAGGGTTACCTTTTTTTTACTGTCATATGCAATGTTCGTATCAATTGAGTCTCTAGCCTATGGTTATTCTCGTCTGTTTTATTCTTAGAGCATACCAAACTTTGATGGGCGCTATGTGGCGCGGTAAGCTCGTCGTTTGTCTCACTCTTATCGTGCCAAAAAAATGGCATGCTTTTTCAGGACGGTTGACAACGGGATCAAACTGTCATCGTTGCTGTCTATCCCCGATGTCAACGACGTCCCTACCATGAACAAAATCATGTCCGATGAGCTTAATCGGCTCGTCACTCACGAGGATGCACCAAAGGCCTCACAACCGCTAGGACACCTACTTTCCCAAATATTCTCATCTTTCACAATTACTCTTCCTGATGCGTGCGACCTTAAAATACCTTGGGGAAAAATCCTTCATCGCGACCAACGCATCAACGAGAAATTCAGCGGAACATCACCCGGTACTCTAGTGCCACTGTATGACACTGAAGCAAAGACTTGGAACTGGGCTCTTCCAGTTGACCCCCCTGAAAATGGCAGTAAACCTCCAGCTCAGGTTGAGTTGGAGGGCAATGTCACACAGCAAGCCACTTATGAAGAGATTGTGGCAGCATTTCTCAATGCTCTGGCTGCCTGCTTGGCGAAGTCACGGCCTGAACTAGACAAAATGCGCTACGCAACCAGCACATGGAGTGCAGCCAGTGCACAGAAGCCGTTGCCCGGCAGCAACATCAAGCGCAAGCCGGATCTTGTTCTATCTGATGACATATCGGCGAAGTGGGGAAACATCAGGGTATCAGCTGAAATCACACATAGTCAATACCAGCCCGCAATGCGACTTGGGAAGGTCGCGGATACCCATGCCTATCTTATGATGAGTGAACAGCCCTGGAGGCGCTTCGCTCTCATATTATCATTCACAGACAAATATCGCCACCTTAGAGTCTTGATGTATGACCACTCTGGTGGTGCTGTATCCCCTTGCTTCAACATTTACACACAACCTCACACACTTTTACACATCATCGCCGCTATCAAGTTTGGGAATTTGGAGTGTGTCGGTTACGACTCAACGGTTACCTTCTCGAGGACTGTTTCACCACCCCGATCCAAAGATATCTGTGGCTATCGTCCCATCAGAAACGCTCCTGCCCGACGGAGTACGACAGACGATGCCATTGCCGCATCCACCTCGGATTCCCTTCCATTCCCTGAGGATCCCGATGGAGTGTCGTCCAGCGATGCTCTTGAATCAGTCAATCACTCCTCTAGCGACTCTGCTCTTGACTCAACCGAAGAGAATCCGAGCGGCTCTGCTATACATGACTCAATGGACGAAGAGAATTCCCCTCCCCCTCCCCCCCCTCCCAGTACACCCCGCTGCAACCCGCAGTGCCCCCCTTCTTAGCCTCGTATCCCAAGCACCCCAGGCTGAGATGACTGAGAGCATCTATTCGGTTACCCCTCTCCCTTCCCAATTCCCTTATTCCCCTCAATCACCTGAACCTTGTGGCAAGATCCGTGTAGGGGAGACCATCTACACCATCAAGAGAATACTTTTTGCGAGCCGGGGCCTCGTTGGTCGTGGAACCGTTTGCTATCTGGTCACCTTAGACGATGAAGACTTCATAATCAAAGACCATTGGGTTCTGGGCAAGGACAAACACGTAGTCCTGAACGAGATCAAGATGCTCGAATTGATGGATAACGTCCCCGGTGTTCCAAAGCTGGTGGACCATTGGGTCGTTGAGCGGTCAGATGGCGAACCCGACATTACCAACAAATATCGGCTAAAGGAACGCCGGAGTACCCGAGGCACTAGTCGTACTCATGTGCGTCTTGTCTTGAAGCCATGTGGTCGCCCCCTTCACATGTTCCGGACACTCAAGGAGTTTGTGCGAGCACTAAGGGATATTGTCAAGAGTAAGCATCCAGTCTATGGTGCAGGTGTCTTAGACTGACGCTCGCTGATATTAGTCCAACAAACTGCAGTGGAGGAACGTCGGATTTTGCACCGGGACTGTAGCCTTAACAACGCGATGATCCTAGATGAACTTGATATTAGTGAAGGGTTTCTCATTGACTGGGAGTTTGCAGTTCGCATTACTGCAGATCACAAATATCCCATTGGCGGTACAGTAAGTACACCTTATTGATTAAGTATTCAGTTTTATTGATTCATTTGCCAGGGGACAGTCCCGTTCATGTCACGCGGGCTTCTCAACCAGGTCGCAATCCTGCAGCAGCAGGTGACCGCGGAATCAAAGAAGGCTCCCAAATCGGTCAAAAACTCGAAAACCCCGAAATCATCCTCCAATTCTGAGGCGCTACCAATATCATACGTCGTTCAAAGTTACGCAGATGACCTGGAGTCCCTGTTTTTTGTCTTCGCTTGGGTTTGCATCAAGTTCAGTGGGCCCAACGGCATGGTGCGCCAGGAGCGCGTGCCTAATTCCTTACTGAATCGATGGACAAGCCTTGATCTGGCATCCTGTGCCGCCTTCAAGATTACCTTTTTTGCGAATCCAGCAGATGAAAAGCGTCTCACAGATGAATTCCACCCATACTTCAAGGACCTGATCCCCCTTGCGACAGAGTGGCGTAGAGTTCTGGTGGACAACATGATCCACCCCGTTACCTTCAAATCCATTCTTGGTTTACTCAACTCCCATCTCGACAAGCTTCCCGACGATGAGGAGCTCGCATCTACTATGACCATGCTCAAGAATGATGCTGTCGCTCTTGCGGATCGTGTCAAGGGAAAACGGATTGCTTCAGCGTCTTTCTCTGCAGTACAGCCTAAGCGGCAGAAGTCCGATCATGATGTCTCCATACCCGACACAGATCATGTCGGGGGTAAACGGATCGCTTCAGAGCATTCCTCTGCGGTAGCACCCAAGCGGCAGAAGTCTCATCATAGTGACACCGAGTCTGATTCGGCATCAGGCAGTGATGGATGACAAGGAGGGAAAGGTGTATACTAGTAGATGTATTCGTCATTGACGGTGTTTGGATATGTATACTTGCTAACTGTGTACTGTGTTACTCCTACTAGTACTAATAGTTTTCTTTATCCTCGACAATCGACAGTTTCTTCTACGTACTACTGACTCAAAATCTATGATGTACTGACTCAAGTATGACTCATCAATGTTTTTGCTTATGTGATCAAAATTCGAGTTTTCCGAAACTCGACCACCAGATGCCATCGATATCATGATCAATGACGTTCAATTTGACTCAGGTGCGAAACTTCATACCAATTTTCTTAACTGACATGTGTTTCTAGTACGTTTCCTGGCACCACTGCTTTACTTGGACTCGGAGACATTCGCAAATTAAAAATGTGCGGCACTCTATGAGAATGATATAAAATCCTTGTGAGTTGGGTATAATTCGTTACCGTTGCCTCTTCCTGTGTTCTTTATTGCAGTCATGCCTCCCCGTGCCATTGCCAGTCCCAAGAAGAAAAGGTCCAAACGCAAAGGATCTGATGCTTCGAAGGCCGGCTTGCCAAAGAAGTCTCGGGCTGCAGACACTGCCGAAGTACCCAGCACGGTACCTCTTGTGTCCCTTGGATTGACTGGAGCAGAAGTGGAAGACAGTGTTCCCCGTCGTTCTGGCCGCTCCAACGCGGGAACTGGAGGTAGGAACGCCCAGCTGGAGAAGATCGGATTAGCACTACAAGCTAAACCTCGAACTCATGAATGCAAGGGTATGACGTCCCTTGGTCCCGATGTTCCAGTCAATCCTCAAGCCCCAGAGCTACGTCATAAAGGTCGAAAGAAGGCTTCTAAGGTAAGTGTCTGATTGATATTGTTACTCATGTTGATTGTCCCATAGGCGGTTCCTCCACCATACAGCTCACTTGTTAGCGATGCTCCAGATGCCTTAGCCATGGATATCATTTCCACAGGGCCCAGCTTGACATTACAGCAACCTGGTAAAAGGTTTGGATTTGCTGCTCCAAGCGCCACTGAAACTGTTCATCCCGGTACTGGGGCATCAGATAACCCATATGTTGCCGTTGGGATGAAGGTCGCTGAGCAGCGTGCTCGTAATGCTATTTCTGAGCAGCGAGCTCGGGATGCTGTCGCTGAGCAGCGAGCTCGGGATGCTGTCGCTGAGCAGCGAGCTCGGGACGCTGTCGCTGAGCAACGAGCTCGGGAAGCTGTCGCCGAGCAACGAGCTCGGGAAGCTGCCGCCGAGCAACGAGCTCGGGATGCTGTCGCTAAACAGTACACCCAGAACACCGTCCCTGAAAAGCCAATGGTACTGCCAAGGTCCGTCTTTTTGGAGAAAAACTTGGACCCAGCTCTGCGCCAGCAGGATGGCGCTGTTAGGGCTCAATGTCGTCTAGGATCCGAGGAGGACAGTGACTCCAAAGGCGGCAGCAGTAGTGACAGCGACAACAGCGACAACAGCGAAGACAATGACGACAAATATCCTGACGGTGAGGCTGATGGAGAGGACGATGAAGAGGAGGGGGAGACCGATGATACAGTGAAGAGCTCACAGGAGTTTGGTTGGGGGGAGGCTGGCCAGCGCCAGAAAGAACATCCCGGTAAACGTTTTCATGGCACAATTTCCCATTGCTAATTCAATATTATAGGATTTCTAGAGGACGCACTACCTTCGCAACTTCCAGTCGCTCGCCCCCTCACGCCTGAATTTCAATTCCAGTATTCACGCGATGAAGATGATGTGGTCGCCCAGACGAGCCTTGATAAAACCTCTGTAAGTTTTCTTGTCTAGCTGAGACTGACTCAATCCATATTGTTCGTCCAGCAGAATGAAAGCTCACAGGTATGATCATGTCACTCAATTGTGCCACGCTTACATGCCTTTCTTTCAAGGGCCCTCTGGACATCTCACCAGGCCTACAGCGGCAACAGTCCCAACACATTGAGGTGAGATTGGGGATCATCTTCATTGGTGCTTACAATTGAGTAGACCATTGCCTCGAAGCCCGACGATGTATTGCGGCACCACCATAAGAAAAACGGAACACCCCGTCTTCCTGACCCTGAATCCCTCAAACTGCTGAATCAAGTGACGGAGTGTAGCATTCAGCCATCGAGAGCCAAACGGTCCAAGTCATCGAGTGGTGGGCCAACACCCGATCAACTATCTTGGTATGGGCCGCGCTGGAAACATTTTCTGGAGGATGCCAAAGTAGAATGTCGTGCGCAACATGCCCTGGAGAATCCGTTTCCAACTTTGGTAAAAAATCTCCCAGGAACAATCACTGAAGTTCTTATTTCAGTGTTGGTTGTGTGGGATAAGAACGGTAAACAATTTGAAGCCGGTGAGTGCTTATTCATTCTCATTTGTTCTCAGACTAATCTGTCATCGCAGGGGTTTGGCCTGAGCAAAAGTTCAACATGACTCGCTTGGTGCGTGTACAATTCATTCTGCGCCGACTATCTCATTGACTGTCCATAGCTGTATGATGATATGTCAACTTGGCGATCCGAACTAAAGAAAACTGCCATAAGCATTGCGCCAGTATCATACTCGCTCATTCCCCCACTGTCGGTCCCCATACAAGAACGCGCTGCTTGGATCGAACACGCCGCCGCCACACTAATCAAACAATCATTATTCTTACGGTTTGGGGTGGATGAACAGGTACGTGATTTTGCGCTAATTACAACAGTACTGACACGAGATTGCCAGGGGAGAACACGAAATTTCGCTCATCCCGCCCTTCGGGATGCTGTCATCACATTCTTTTACACAGGTCCATATCGAATCGCACTGAGGATGCCAGAGATCTTCCGCACGGAGTTGCCACTCTCATGTTTGGCGTTGGTTTCTGCAGCAGTAAATTTTCTTCTTTAGCAACATTGTAATTCTAATTTTTTGTCTCTAGTTTAATTGTGTCCTCGACGGTCTTGCGAAAAACGGACATGGAAAGTCGTACCCGAACTTTTCAACCAAGGACTACAGCCCTATCTACAACCGGATGCTTAACTTGCTCAAAGAAATTCTTGATGACGCGCATCATGGGCCTAGGCTGTCAGCTCAACTGCGAGAATGGGCTGCAGCAGGATGGTAAGGAGATTGACTTTCTCCCAAAATGTTTACACTAACTTCATTCATACAGGGCCGCGGCTACGAATCTCGAAGGAGTTGTTGAGGCGAAGCATGACCACCTGCAAATTTTCCTCGACTGAAGCACCCTAGCCCCGCACTGAGCATTTATTGTTTTAGGCATTATATCATTGTATTCCCAATCGCGATCTAGTACCGTTTGCCATAGTCATGTGATTCAATATATTCATTTTGTTTTCTGTCTAGCATGTGTAAGCAGTCCAGTGAACAATATCTGCGCAGCGCTGATTCTCTGGGCGCTCTGTGAGTGTCTGTACATACATGGACAGTGATTTTGTTTGGCAATTTAAATAAATTTTGTAGTTACTGGGTGATCTGTGGGTGTCTGTACAGAGACTCACAGGGTGGTCTGTGGGTGTCTGTACAGAGATTCACAGAGCAAGGTGCTACTGTGATGAACTGACTAACAGGGACCAAGCTGCGGAGCTTGCACGCTGTACAGTGCTGTACAGCGCTGTACACTGCCAAGTAGTTTACTGATGTTTGCATAGCCAATATGCATTATGAGGTACCAAATTGATAGGACGGGACAATAGGTACAACAATGTATTGCATAAATTTATTGTTCTGCTTCAGTGGTATTGTCTCGTTCGACTATGTATAGAAGCTAGCAAGTAATCACGACAGTACGATACCACACAACAATATTTGTCCTGCTTTTGGAGGTGGTGACTCATCCATTGCAGACACGGTCCGCCACGAAATTGCCATTGTAAATGGTGAAGTTATCGAAGTTGATTCTGATGACGACGACGACGACGACGAAGCGGATCCATCAATCACTCGTCAAAATATTCTCGATTTGTGCCAGCAGCTTGAAGTTGGATGCATGCAATATGGTGATCCTCAATTTTCACTTGATTTATCATCACAACTTCTTAAGTTTCGCGCGAACCTACGACGCGAAGAACTACTTAATGCTAGACAAACTTCTTTAGAACGATTCTTCTCGGTATAATACATGTACTTCTGTAGGACTACTATGGACGATTTTCTGTCACACTTTTGGCGGAGGTCACATGCGTCACAATAGTGTGACACATATGCTATTGCATATGTCTCATAATGCATAACGTTTTGGCGGTCCCAACGGTATGCATTATGAGCATTTCAACTGTAGTCTTCAATGCCGAACGTGTTCAAGTTTCACATCATTCCCACCAGCACTATTAGCGCTACAGAGAAAATAAACAGCATGGATGACACCAAGGAGCATACACATCATCTGCATTCATGCTCGACCATGAATTTGAGCTGAAGGACAAAGTGCAAAACGGCGAGCACGTCCATCCACGGACGACGGTCGTTCATGTTCAAAGCTGAGTTTGAATTCGTCGTACGTTGACCTGTGACTTCGACCAGACTTTGAGGGGCATTCGAGGCTATGAAGTCAATTCCTGCGACGTTTTGACTTCAATCTGGTGGTTGTGCCACATACGTCAGTAATGAGTGATGCTTAGTTAAGTGGTACTCCTATCGACCTATATAATCAAACCAAGGTACTCCTTGATCACACATTCTGCATACTATCTCGTATCGTTCGACCTTCACCGGAAAAATGGATTTAAAAATGATACTAATCTTCTGTGATGGGAGGGACGGTGACCTGTCGCAATGTACCGCCCAGCCTACCGGAGGGGACGTGGATGCAGGTCGCGAGAATACCGGTCAGAAATTTATGCCCATCCTTCCTGTCGGGAAGCTAATTTTTTGCATTAAACACATTCATCAGGAAAACCCTCCCGCCCTAATTCCAACTAATTGCTGGTAATTCTGGTAATTCCTGATAATTGGTGAAATTCCCGATAATTAGCTGTTTTAGAAAATTAGATGGATTATGTTACCCCTTGATAATCCATTGATAATTCTCGATAATCAGAAGGTATTGTGAACAATTTCTGTGCTATTGTCTTTACATTTGGGTAGATATATCTGAGTTTGCTGGCTCAGATCATACAATCACACTGAATGTTACACGAAAAAATAGTCTTTTGATTAAAGAAGGGTATCTAATAGGTAGTATATGTTCGCAACCATAATACCGTCATATGAAACTATCAACAATGAGATATCTATCGAGAACGAGCCAGCGACTACTCCGAGTCGTCATCCATCCCATCAATGTCGAGGAGTTCGAGAGCTGCAGCTTGCTCTGCAGTTTTACCAGTATGAGTGTACCTCAAATGCCTGCAACATTGAATCAATATGCGAAGAACAACTCAGACAAAAGACCGGAAAATCTCACTGTACAGCCTCGTAGATGTCGGCCATCATGCGATGGAATTTTCTCGGCGCTGTATCCCTCATATTTTCCAAGAACTGAACATGAAAAAAGTAAGTCTCGCTAAACTGATTACCTGAAAAGCTGAACTTCGCCGGTGAACCCATTGACTTCCACAACAGTGCTGCATACACCTTGAAAGAGAGTCAGGACAGGAATAAATGGAAAAGAAGAGAAATACCGCAGTTGCCACGAGAGCCACTATGGGGATGGGAACCTCCGGACGGTTGGCTTTGTTCTTCGCGATCTCGATAAAGCGTTGTGCAAAACGGACACCAACAGACTGCGTGCCGTTAAAAACACGGCCGTTAATTAGGGCTATTAAGAACTCGCCCTGATAGGGCTTGTTCGATATGGGCTTAGGAACATTTTGAACCTAGTAGTACAAAAATGTGAGCAAAAACGATGGTGAATAATACTAGTATCAACTTGCATCAAACTTCAATGCGTAGATATAGGCATGCTGCACCAGAAGACTTTTGGCCTTGTCGGTGTCTATGTGCCCCAGACGAAAGTAACCGGAGACGCCTGCTAATGCATCGTCTTTCAGTTCGCGGCGCAGGATTGGGATGCGAGCATCTACCTATTTTCCCAGCGGGCCATTTATAGATTAGCACTGATGGACTCAGATTATCGCAGCAAAGACTCACCAGGGCAGCCAGCAGCGTGGTATAGTTCTCGTCCAAGCGCAGACGCTTTTCGATCTCATGCAGACCCAATTCTCTAGCAACGGTTAGCAGCGACTCGTGTGAAAGCTGGTTTTTGTCGACCAGTTCTGGGAACCCGTCAACGAAAACAAGGTGGCATTTTGCTTCCAAAATCGCCCGTTTGACGACTCTCTTCGTATCCTGGTTCTGATCAAGGAGCTTCACATTCCCCGACTCGGTTATCACTAGGTGAGCCTTAGTACTTTTGGCCACAGGAGGTCCAGGCGTCCTTGTAGTGCTTCCTGCCAGTGAGTTGTCTGAATCGTCACTGGATTCAGAGTCTGAGACCGCCACATCATCGGCCCATGTAGGGATCTGAACATTACTGATTGTATTAGTAGCTCCAACAAATGCTAAGGTAAGTTCTGACCTCTGCTGCGTGTTTGTGATCACTGCGCGGTCGATTTTGAATTTTCACGTGATGCTGTTTGATACTGTTGTCGACGATACTGACTTGGAGGTAACGCCTTTGACTCTGGGACCTCAGTTGAAGAGCATACTTGCGATCGATTCTGGCGTCTCGTTATCTTCTTCTTCATCAATGTCCGAACCATCCGAATTCAAGTCGTTCAGATGATCGGAGTCGACCCCACGATCTTCAATAGCATCGTTGTCGTTGTCCTCGTTTTGATGAGATTTGGCTGGGGCGGCACTTCGGGCTACATTCAAATTCAACCAGCTTGTAAGTTTTTTTGTTCTGCTAACAAACTGCTAACAAACGTTTCTTATGCGCTGTGAGGTCTCCATCAATGGACTCGGTATCCTCTTCATCCGAGTCTCTTACTAGGGTACGTGACCGCTCTAATCACAATCAATTGCTAACATCTAGGTACAGTATCAAATCCACACTTACTTTTGCTGGATGGCTTCACGCGTGGTGCCACAGTGGTGGTCTTCTTTTTCGCCTGACTGGTTGGCGCTGCAGGCTTCTTCTTCTGCATAGCAAGATCCACTGGCACTTGAGGAACGGTCAGGTTTTTTGGTCCACCTTTCGCTTTGTCCACATTCCAGACTACAATCCAAACTTTGGTGAGTGTCGCACGTTATGAGAATTGATTGCATGCTCACCAGCGTTTTCCAACGCTTTTCTCTTAGCCTCGCGCGGCGCTGTCAACGCACATGATAAGAGCCTCTTGCGCCATAATATATTCACTTACCGCGGGCGCTACTAGTAAGTGCAGACATCTTGTTGTTTTGTTACTACTGAATGATACTGAATGATGGTACTAGTGACCTTCAAAGACGGCACAGATATTTACCTGAACACGAAGGAATGTGGGTGTGAGGAGGTACGTTCTAAGTTCCTTTGTTACTACTGAATGATAATGAATGCCGGATACTAGTGACCTTAAAAGACGGGATAGATATTAACTTGAGGACGAAGGAATGTGGGTGTGAGGAGGTACGTTCTAAGTTCCTGGTTGAGGAATATATGGGGAGCTAATTTTCTAGTTTACAGTCCGCCCATTGCAACTACTGGCAAGCACACTAGTGTCGTCCCTGAGGACACTATTGAATACCTGCACTAGGCGTCTCTTTATTCGGTACCATCACTCCTTGCACTGCCATTTACGACCGCGTTTGCTCCGCGATTCAAATATGCAAACCTGCCCAGCATGTGGGCGCGATGGCCTTACTTTCACTGGTCTTAGCCAACATCTGGCGAAGAGTCGAGACCCCCGCTGTCAAGCGCTCTATCGATCACGTCAACCAGTCAACTCCACATCCGCTGAAGACCACCATATGGAAGACTGAGGATGAACTGGTTGAACCACCCGTCTTTGAAGGTGACGACTTCGAGGGCGAGAACTATGGCGAGGTAGACTATGAGATGGAGTGGCAGTGATGACGTATCCGAGTCTGAGTATGCTGATAGCGACTCAGATGATGGCGGCATATCCATGGAACCAGAGTGGGAGCCTCCTGTCCCTGATCTTGTGGGAGAACAGCCGCAGGTCCAGGAAGATGAAGTTGCCGAAGAAGATCCTGGCCGTGATGATCGCCTGCGAGTTCAAGAGCAGTGCGCAAGGACAGCATGGTTTCATAGCTGTGCCATATCCAGATTCACGAGCAGGCCAAGAGATAAGGCACCATGCTGACGACGATGCCGCCAATGCCAGATATGGAGCGCAGTTCGATGATGGAAATAACCCGTATTTCCCTTTCTGCTCCCAGATTGACTGGGAGATCGCAAGGTGGTCGAAACTTCGCGGACCTACTTCCACGGCATTTACAGACCTGCTAGCAATCAATGGAGTGAATTTTTCGCCATTTGCCTATATTATAAGTGTCTAATTGTGAATTCTACTAGGTTAGAGAGTCTTTGGGGCTCTCCTTCAAAAACGCGAAGGAGCTAAACGCGATTATCGACAACGAGTTGCCAACGGGACACCCGAAGTTCAAGTGTGAACAGATTGTCGTTGCTCGCGAGGCTTTTCGATGTGTATCACCGTGATGTTATTGAGTGCATTGAGGCACTCTACGGGGATCCCGACTTTGCAGATTATCTCGCTTTCACTCCAGAGCGGCATTATGCCGACGAAGATCAAACCACGCGCTTGTTCCACGACATGTACACTGGGAAGTGGTGGTGGGATACTCAGGTACGAAGGATTATCTGCATTCGTCGGATTTCATACTTATATTTGTCTTAGAAAAAACTTGATCAACACTGCCTCGGGGGCACAATCATACCAATCATCATTTCATCCGATAAAACCCAAGTCACCATGTTTCGCAATAAGGCCGCCTACCCCGTTTACCTGACAATTGGAAACATACCGAAGGAAATCCATCATAAACCTTCCCACAGTGCACACATCCTCCTTGGGTATCTGCCCACCACCCGCCTCGAACACATCCCTAATAAAGCTTCTCGCCGTCGCACTATCTCCAACCTATATCATGCATGCATGTCTCGCATACTGGGCCCACTCGAAAGGGCAGGATTGGATGGTGTTAAGATGCGCAGTGGTGATGGCGCTCTTTGCTGCTGTCACCCTTTGTTTGCCTCCTTCGTTGGCGACTACCCAGAGCAGCTCCTTGCTACTGGCGTGAAGTTTATGGAGTGCCCCAAATGCGATATTGATGCCGACGACATGGGGAGCAACACAGCAGCCTTTCACTTGCGCAATCTGGGCTCAGTGCTAGATGCGCTCGCTGCTCTTGATCAAGGAAGTCTTGCATTTGTCTGTGCATGTGCCACTGTAGGCATCAAGCCCATTGTTCACCCGTTCTGGGAGGATCTCCCCTTTGCGAACATCTTTCGCACTGTCACCCCTGATGTACTGCATCAGCTGTACCAGGGACTAGTGAAACATCTTGTCCAGTGGCTTTCGGAAGCATGCGGAGCGGTAGAAATCGATGCTCGATGTCGACGTCTCCCTCTGAACCACAACATCCGACTATTTACAAAAGGTATCACTACCTTGTCACGTCTGAGTGGCAAGGAACATGCCCAAAATTGCCAATTTCTACTGGGAATCATCATTGACATTCGCTTACCAAATAATTTGAATGCAGGTCGCCTCTTACGAGCAGTGCGGGGACTACTGGATTTCTTGTACCTCGCACAGTATCCTTGCCACAGCTCCGAAACTCTAGAACTATTACACGCGGCACTAGACACTTTCCACGACAACAAGGGTATTTTTGTGGACCTTGGTATCCGCAACAATTTCAATTTACCGAAGCTCCACGCCGCTCGCCATTACCCCCTCATGATCATGCTGTTCGGTACAACAGATAATTACAATACTGAGTACACTGAACGCCTCCACATCGACATCGCGAAGGACGCTTACCGTGCGACAAACCACAAGGACGAATTCATTCAAATGACCATCTGGTTAGAATGAAAGGAAAAGATATTTCGCCACGACAAGTATATTCACTGGCGGATTTCTGGTGGACGCGAGTCTGTCCCTCATCGTCCATGTCCTCCTGATATGAGCTTTCGTCGTGAGCAAGTCATGATGAAACATCCTAGTGCAAAGGCTGTTAGCTTGCAGAAACTCATCAACGATTACGGCGCGACCTATTTCCGCGAGGCGTTGGCACGCTACATTGCTCGACTCAACTGCTCCCCTCACCATGTTCCACAAGGTCAAGAACTTGACGACTTGGCAATCGATATTCATTTTCCTTTCCGCACACTACCTGTTTTCCACAAGATTAAGTGGCTGTCATTGGATACTCGTGGCCATGGTGATGCATCTGTCACGCTGGACAGTATACATGCTAAACCACAGCATCACTCTGGTTCTCGTCTGGTGGCTCAGCGATCTGATACAGCATTGGTGGATCGGATGACAGGTGCTCCAGGGTTGAAAGGTATGTGTTTTGATCAATTCCTACTGTATGCGTTACTGATAACTGGTATGCAGATTTACGGGTGGGCCAAGTTCGTGCAATCTTTGCTTTGCCACCCACATCAATACTGATGCTATTTTCACCTACTGTCCAAGTACCCAGTCATCTTGCATACATCGAGTGGTTCACGCTGTTCCCCCCAGCACCTGACCGGAACCATGGTTTCTACAAGCTCTCTTGGGCGCTAGCACGCGGTGGAGAGCGTTTGGCTTCCATTGTGCCCATTGCCAATATTTTGTGCAGCACTCACCTTGTCCCAAGATTTGGCGCTGTTGCGCCACGTGAGTGGACGAGTGGTACTGTCCTAGACGACTGCGAGAGTTTCTGGTTGAACTTGTACTTGGACAGACATACCTTTGCGAAGTTCAAATAATTGGACTGACGGTACTACCTAGTACCAGTAGCACGTAAGTTTCTCATAACAACTTTCACCGCACGAAGTTGCACTCATCTGTGACCTTCGCTGCTCTCGTCCTTCTCCAGTGATTGAAAGCACGCTTCCCCGAATAACCCCCATCGTCTTCTAACTCTCAAGTCAAGCTCCCGCATTTCATCGCATATGCCCTCCACCGCACGAAGTTGCACTCATCTGTTACCTTCGCTGCTCTCGTCCTCCTCCAGCGATTGAAAGCACGCTTCCCCACTGCTCGGGGATCTTCGGGACACCACCTGTTCATGTCTGCATTCATGCTACCACGTCCAGGCCCAAGAACAGTTCCGCACTATGGTCACAAGCAGCCTTTACCCCCCCCCATCCAGGCCCAAGAACGATTCCGCACTATCACATCCAAGAACGGTTCCACACTATCACGTCCAGGCCCGACATCCTCACCTTCTTCGCTGCATCTGACAGCATTGTTAATGAAAACCTCGTTGAACATTTCTCCAATGAGGTCTAGGCTGCTGAGGCCCAGTGCTTCTACGGCTTCCAAATCATGATGGAGAGAATATTCACTCCTCGACCTACTCACTCCTCATCAACACCTACATCAAAGATTCTAATCAGCGCGAATACCTCTGACGCCATGGAGACTATTCCCTGTGTCAAGCTCAAGATTCGCTGCCGTCGAAGGCATCTTCTTCTCGTGTTCCTTTGCGTCTATCTTCTTTTGCGTCTATCTTCTTTTGCGTCTATATTCTGGCTCAAGAAATGCGATCTCGTGGCTGGTTTTACGTTCTCCAACGAGCTCATCAGCTGTGATGTCAGGGTATGCACACCGACTTTGTGTGCTCGCTCTTTAGCCACCTCAAGTGTCGCCCGCACCCTGACACTGTCAAGTGCATCATTACTCAGGCTGCTACCATCGAGCAGAAGTCCCTGATGGGTCCGTCATTTCAATCACCATACCTTTATCTGACTGTCTTTCCAGACACCTCTCCCTGTTGGCCTCATTGGGATGAACACCAAGCTCATGTGCCAGTACATCAAGTTCATCGCAGACCACTTGCTGGTATCACTGGGTAACGACAAGGTGTTCAATTCCGCCGACTTGGGCTTGTCAAGTCATCCTACGATACTAGAGTGTGTATGTGAACTAGTGACTGTGTGTTTCATATGTGTATACAATAGTTAAACAGATCCAGCACTATAGGCTCCCTTGATATATGCCCTTCTATATAGTATCAGCTGCTGTATATGATAATCCAGGCATAGCAATCTAACGGCTTTATTTTTGGACATTGCTTGAAGTTAGAAGATAATGCCTTGTGTATTATCACGAATTTTCTATGACTCTTGGATCTTTAGACTATTAGAAGGTAATCTCAACAATTAGGCTAATTAGACCAATTAGATCAATTATCATAAATTTGGATAATACAGGTGTTTTAGACAAATTTAGGGCGGGAGGGTTTTCCTGATGGCCATCAAGTTCTTCGCCCATGCCATCTTATCCCTCGCGTTGGTCGAGAGTCGGACGTGCGCGAAGACTTTTATCTCAACAGGTACATAGATCTGGAATTGTTTGACCGCTTGTCTGTATAGCTATGCTACCATTACTATTAACTATAGGGTGCAATATTGACTATGAGTTGTTGGGAAGATTACATAGCTACTATTGGCGTCACGGCTCGCTACATTGTGATATTTAGTGCAATGGATGGTCTATAGGTGCTCTATTGTACTACCAAGGCTACGTAGTGCTATATACTGTTGCAGCGTGCAACTCGCGTCCGACCTTTTTCCTGATGATGGGTCATCAAGCAGCCTGAATTCCACCAGGGACATATCCCTTCCCTATCCGTCTCCTTTGACAAAGAGGAGAATACACGTTCTCAACGTGCGAAGAGACGCCCCGTATGAGGGAACCTTCGTGGTCGCTCCTCGCGTCACAGATGCTCCAGCAAGAATACAATGTGCTATGCTAGGTCACTTTCGCATGGCCTTTTTTGAGGGTTGCCTGGGTCTGCTGGATCGACAAATATTGTCAGTGGTAGCCTTTTTGGATGGTCTTCCAGATCCCCCAGATTTTCCTCTTTTCTTCCCTTTCTGCACAACAACGACAACATCCTCCTCCTCCTCCTCCTCCTCCTCCTCCTCCTCCTCCTCCTCCTCCTCCTCCTCCTCCTCCTCCTCCTCACCACACTGTTCCTTATCTTCCATATCATCCTTACCACCACTGTCCTTTTCGATCTCCACCAGTTTCAACAGCTTCTGGTTGTACTCCTCCAGCTCTCGCTTTCTCTCCTCCAGCTTTCTCATGTCCTCCTGCAGCATCGCCATTTTCTTCTTCTCTTCCTCCACCTCCCACGACTCCTTGTCAACCTTCCTTGTCAACTCATCTGCCTCCATTTCCGTCCCCTCATCCTCTTTCTCTTCCCTGGTTGAAATTGTCCGAATGGCAGTATCAGCTCTGTGTTCTTCACCACCAGCAGCCTCAGCAATGGCAGCATGTTGTCCTTCCTTCGCCTTGAGCATCCGCATAACCCCACCTCTGGCTGTATTGATTGCCTCTATGACGAGGTCGTGGGTCTTGATACTCAAAATAGAGGTGCCAAGGTAAGAGGGGGTGTTCAGGGTAGCTTCGTCCTCCTCATATTCGATAACTCGCTTGCATTCTCTTGGCAGCATCCCAAGACCTAGGCTGACCTTCATGGCTGATTCCAAGCCAGAGATCTTTGCAGAGAGGACTATCTCCAAGAACTTGTTCAACTCACGCTCGTCTGAGTGCACACTAGTGTTGCCACAAGTTCGGCTTAATGCCGGCTTTAGCCGTAGTCGGACCTGTAAATAACCGAGCTAGCACGTGACTTCGTTTATATAATTTACGGTCCGACTCGACTCGATAAACTGTAGTTCAGTCAATTTAAGGGGTTAAAGCCAGTTTAAAATTCAAATATATTTTTAAATTGAAGTTAAAAATAAATTAGAAATAAATTTAGACTAATCAAAAATGAAGTACGTGAAGCCGAAAAGGGAAGGCATCTCGTCAACTCCCCAACACACTGATCAGTCTGATCTACAATCAAATTAGCACTGATGTCTCCCCAAGATGCAGTGAGTGGTTTACTTGTTAGTGTTTGTTCCAAGACTAAAGCAGATCAGCAAATGTGCAGCGCTTCTCGCCCACGAGAACTGCACAAGGGGAGTGTGGCTAAGAAACGCCGCACATCAGGTCGAAGAGCTGGAAGGGGAATGCCGTGGAGATTGAGGTGGCGGCGTTGGATGTCGAGGGTGTTTTGTCGCGAAGGGCGGGTGGAGGCGTCTGATTCTCGATCGCAAAGGGCGGGAGTGTACAAAGGGTATGGGGGTAATGGCAGGTGGTAGTAGGGGGTAGGAGAGATGCAGACAGAAGGCGGTAGCGGAGAGTTCCTCGTAGTTCGGTATCGGAGTAGGTCATGGCGAGAATCTCATCCCATAATATCTGCAAGCGTACTCGCAACTTCTTCCTCGGCTGCTGTGGGTGCATACGAGCCGCGTGTCGGATTGCCATAGCGAAATCGTCCTTGAGCTGCTCCAGATCTGTGAAAGTGATGCGCAGGAAGCGAACGTGACGGGGCTTTGAGTATTGGTGTGAAAAATGCGGGGCTGGTGGTAGACGTGGACAGGGACAGTGGCAGCGACGACAGATGCGACTCCAAAGCTGGTGAGGAATGTGAATGTGACTCTGGAGAAGATGGTGGGGCATATGAATCAGACCTTGACGAGGACGAAGAAGGCGCCGTCGACTGAGGTGGAGACAATACAGGGGAAGACGACCGATTTCCCAACGATGCCTGTGCCAACGAGGAAGAAGACGACCCTTGACTCCCCACAAACCGCCCACCCTCAAAACACACCCCAAACTGGCCCAACATCCTCCCAGGTTTACTAGCTCTCCATAAGTCCCTCAAGGCACTCAGGAACCTCATCACAAGCTCATCGCTTAGAAACACCTCCACACTTGTTCTTAGCGTCTCGTCTTGAGAGCAAGGTTGTTCTGCAGTTTGGGGACACCCTTGAGCCTGGGTTTCAGCACCCGACTGAGCCCTTGTCCGTAGAAACTCCCGCGCACAATCCAATGACACCCATATCCCCGCCACAGCAGAATTCGGATGATCAAACCGCACAGCGCTTGGTGGAAGAGCCGGGGGCGCACAAGGTGAAAAAGCAGCAAGCAGAGGCATAAGGTTCACAAAATCTGTGTCCAGCCTTCTCAAAAGCGTCCGCGTCGTGTGTGCAAGGGGTGGGCATAGGGGCAGCGTAGTTTGATACACCAGTATTCCTAGTAATTCAATTCAGTGCATGATGTATGCGAAAGGCAAAGAAGAAATGGGATGTACCTTCGACTTGCGTAGCACTAATGGGTGGATTGCAAGGCATGCATGTGTGGACGACTACTACTTGGTCTTTGTGTTTGGGGAGAGGCTCGGGATCCGCCATTTGGCAATCTGGACTTGATGTGGTGTCTGGTGCTGGTGACGCGAACTGTGCCCAACGAGTTCCCTGTTCCCATTCTAGCTCGAGCTCGGCAATGTGGACACTGTCAGGGCCAAGCAGTTCTGCAACTTACCAGTCAAGTACACTGTTCTTGCGCTCCAGTGACAGTTTTTTCGCGTGCATGACCCGAGAAGGGGAACCGTTGACTGGTGAAAACGCATCGGATGTATGCGCCCTTGGTGACACAGACGAAAAATGAAATGTGCTCGAACACGGGGACGCTGGAGTGGGTGTGAGTGGCGACATAGGAGGGAGCAGTAATGTGACCCACGGTGCAACCGTCTTGACATTGAGAATGAGGGGTCAAAATGTGACTGTGTGTGTTACCTTAAGTGCATCTTGAAGCGCGCGGTCCCAGTCGAATTTTCGCGCCATCACAAACGAGCGATTCACATAAGAGCTGTAGCTATTTCCATTAGCGTTGATCTCTTCTGTTAAGAGCTTGTCAGCGGTAGGCAAGTCCCCGTTTATGCATGCGTCAGGATGAGGAGTTGGCAAGCACCCATAGAGCTGTGTATGCCCTGCCGTGGTCGCGAAACTTGCCGAAGGGCGAACATGATACCGCTGTTGCAGCTCGGTGAGTTTCAAATGAATGCTACCTCATTTGAGTGCGATTAGGGGATCTAGTGGTGCCCAGTTAGCTCTGCAATTCCTAATAATTATGTGCACCTCACCAGCACGCGGTGATGCGGCATCAGCTAGTGCCCGTTGGGGCTTCGTTGGTGGTGGTGGTTGTGGGTGCTCGCCTACTCTCGTCAGGTTATCCGCCAGCACTAAGGAAGAACGCACTGGATCCGATACGAGCAAGCAGGCTTGCAGCACCTAAGAACGCATATGCAAGGAACTGTGCGTGCAGAAGGGTTTTTCAGGAACTGGGGCCAAAGGCAGTTGACTTAGGAGGGCTCCTGTGCGAGAATGTATATGTGAGTAAGGCATTGAAAGTAAATAGAGGATGAAAGCAGGGTCAAGCAGGTCGGCATCATGAAATCGCTGAGAAAGCTGAGAGGAAACATAAATCCATAGTCAAAAAGTCAGTTCGATGACAAAAGCAGCAGCGGCATGCGTAAGACGACAGGAATCGTAAAAGTAGCAGTAAACATGAGCAGGCAAGAATTAGGTGACGGCAAGAGATATGTCAGGAACATCATCTGGAACATCATCACATTCGTCCTCTGCGATGACTCTGAGAAGGACCTCATAATCGTGACTGCCAGACGTAGTTCCGCTTCCGGCGGATACTAGTAGATCGTCGGAGCCACATATCAAGAGATCTTCACGGCCCACGCCCGTGACGCACATCAAGTGATACTCCATGTCGTTCTGGGACGCTGCCCAGCCCTTGGTAAAGTGAAGTCGGTCCTTTTTCAGCGTGAATTTCACGATCTGTAGGACTTCCATCAAGTACGGGCTGAGACGATTGCGCTTCTTTGTATAAGTGTCACTGCTGGAGGAGAATACGCGCTCGCACGGAACGGAGGAGGCTTGGATTGGCAGAAAGTCCATTGCGAGTTTGTAGATTGTCGGAAACATGGGTTTCGAAACCTAGCCCACCATTGATGCCTCGTCATCAATTAAACATATTACAGAAACAAGGGATCTTACCGTCCAAAAAGATAGTATATCTGTACCCGCGGGGCTAAGAACACTGGTGCTATAAGCATTGAACTCATCTTCGACCAATTGGGGGCCACCCTGGCGATGCGGCAGTATATTTATCTCAGGAAGTCCGTAGATTGTCGAGCCTAATGTTGCAGGACGTGGCTGACGAATCAACTGATTGGATGGTGCGGAGACATTTGTCGTCCTCTGGTTCTGCATCTGTGGGACATATCAGCCCACATTTTGCTGTTATTACCGTTGGGCAGACATACCAGTTTGAGAATGTAGTCTTTTGCCTCTTTGATTCGTGGGGCTTCCCAATTATCGTTCATCCATGACATGCGTCTGGTGGGATCCACGACTGTGCGCAACAATGAGAATTTACCTTTACAAAAACATGCAAGACTTACACATCGCAACAGCATACGCTCCCGTGAGGGACATTCGGTCATCGTACTTAGCTGCCCAAGTTAAACCTATGTCAACCAAAGGGGCACAATGCGGAACAAGGTCCACCACAAGCTTCCACCTTTGGATCAACCCTTCGAAGGCCGGAATGGTGTTGCCCAGTAGAGGACTGGTTTCGCCGGACATGCATTGTTGAGCGTGGTGCGGTGCCTAATGTAGAACAGTAAATACGATATTGAATTAAGATGAATTAAAACGTACCTCTAGAATAACCTCGAGATCCTGCAGGACTTGCCAATTCATGGGGCTCAGTTTATGGTGGACTATGGTGCGTTGAGCGGGAAGATCAATCCAATGGTCGATAGCCTAGGCAAGCATTAGGTGATGCGAAAATTTTAGGGAGACAAAATGTTACCTGTCGCAGGATTCTCAAACGATTGAGCATGACGTACGTTGAATCCCAACGAGTAGGCTCGTCACATAGCAACTCGACAAGTGGAAGGGCCATACGCTCATTGTTGTCGTTTACAAACCATCCCTCTGCATTGCCAGAAATGATGGCAGCTCGAAAGCTATCGCGGCGCTGGCCTGATGCACGGATTGCACGGACGATGGTTCTGGCCCGATCAATCACTTTACTTTGCAGTGTCTCGATATACTCCACCTTCTTGAAAGTGTAAGGGCCAGCTACAAACGTGTCATCCAAACACAAAAGGTCTACAGTAGAGTATTCATCAAGAATGTGTTGGACACATATGTTCACTATGTGAGGGAAACCGGAATTCGGTGATTGATCGCGTCGAATTCGATCCCATCTTTCCGCAATAAATGTGAGAGTTCGTCCATCACGGTCCTGTTGTTACTGGCATTGTCCAATGTGAAGTGTCCGACCTAAACGAAGTCAGAGCATGCGATTATGTACAACGAGACACTGACATTGTGTTTTACTTCAGCACGATCAATCAGCTTCAACATGGTTGAACCGAGTACCTTCCCAGTATGACTACCAGGGATATGATGAAAGGCAATGAGAGCGGCCTTCAGAATCAGTCTCGAGTTCCCGATTTCTTTCGCGATCCAATGAGCGGTCATAGCAAGGAAGGGACGAAGCTTGGCATCAGCCCAGAGATCAGAGGTGAACGAAATTCGTCCTTGGGCGGTCTACAAGATATCAAAAACTATATGCAAATGATAGCTGTACACTTACAGCGAGGTCAAGTTTAATTACTGTAAAGTATTCATGCCAAGTGTCAATGATCAGTTGCCGGAACTTTGAACGATGGGGGATATCGGACTCCTTTAGGTCTTGCCGCAAGAGGCAGAGCAGCCGGCGGAACTCGGGACACTCGACAACACTAATCGGCTAGAGATAGTCATTAATGAGAGTACACAAATGGTAGACAGTACGCACCTGATCGTCAGCCACGATAAACCTCACAATGTGCTTATGCATCTCCTCGATGGAGAAGCTTGCCAAGTCTGAAACTTCTGACCTTCCGACAATCAGCTGCAAACTACCATCGCCGCGACTGGGGGGAGGGCCAAGCGTCTCGATTGTGCAAGTGGGAACTTTGAGTCGTTCCAGCATCTCAGCGAAGGTCCAGCCTTCATTAAGGCGAGTCCCTACAGCATGTATGCCGATTGGCCATTGCTGCTTCTCGGACTCCTGGAGATAAAGTTCGATATGAACCTTGTATATATGGGCACGGAGAGGACTGTTGCTCGTGGATGGACCATAAACCGCAAGGGGACAGGATGAGTCGGCCTTATGGTAATCCCTGGTAAAGGGGGTGAGAAAGAGCAGAAAGACTCTCAAATGTCACTCACTCGCACGGCACACAAATTCGCTCGCCAGTATCTGAGTTCTTCCTGAAGAAAAACAGGATATCAGCAGTAGTCTTGAGGCCTCGTTTTCTCGTGGCCAAGGGATTTGTGGCGAGAGTGCTAGTCGCGGTATGTAGTGGACTCAGGTTTGCATTCGTGTCGGCTATGATTTCAGGCGGGTTGGCATCATCTTCACTGCCGCCGCTGACGTTATCTATGTCGATATACTCGCCATCATCTGGATGAGCTGCGTTGTCCGCCCGGAATCGGTGAGGAAGTTGTCGTTGTCTCCTAGGGCGGTGAAGAGTAGTAGCGATTGCAGCTGCTGCAGTGGTAGTTGCAGCAGGAACAGGTGTGGCAGGTCCGGAAGGAGTAGCCGCATGAGCGACATGTATGGAAGGTGCAGGAGGAACAGGTAAGGAAGGCGCAGGAGTAACAGGAACGGGTGCAGCAGGAGCGATAGGTATGGAAGGCGCAAGAGCGACAAGTACGGGAGCAGGAGTCTCCTCAACCTGGGGGATATTAGTGTTTTTGCGACGACGGCCGCCACGACGTTGCATGTTAGTAGTGTTGGATGCTGGAGATGCAACGACAGACTCACCTATCTTTATATACTTTCATTCTGGGGAGACCCAGGAAAATACCGATGTGCACGATGGCACGGAATCAAGGTGTATTAGGTGTAATCTCCATGTGGAGAACGCGAGTAGATACATTAAGATGATATTGAGGGTGATTCCTGCTGAGGAGTGGGAGTCTGGGAGAGATCGGATGATTGAATGATAGTGTTGGTTGCGATTCTTGACTCAGGGAATGATCAAGATAAAGTTGAAGTTCAAACAAGCGTGGGTGATAACATTGAAAGGGCATCTATCTCAGTATCGTGGCATGTGGGAGTTAATACGGGAATTATGCAGCATGCGCACAGACCATGTACAATATACACATATGTAGATATACTCTCACATGAGTCACATCATATCAAAAAACACGCGCACTGCGCAGATAAGTAGTACTGAAAAAAAGAAGAATAAGAAGTAGACTATAGAACTCTTTTCTTCATTCGACGCGAGACAGGAGTAGGTGCAGGCATTACGGTACCATTGCGTGGACGTAACCTTGCAAACGATGAGTTCATAAATCAATATGTAAAGATAAACGAAACTACTTACACATGAGTTGATTTACGAACAGGCGTCTTCGGCTGACATAGGGGCACCAATTCTGAGACTTGAGAACGTTGAGGGGAGGGTGCAGTGTGACAATCAAAATCCAGGGAGTGCATAGCTGGTGCGGGCCCTGCAGTGCGAAGATCGTGAAGGAAAGAACGAAGATGGTCATAATCGGGATCCTCTGAAAATGAGAGAGAGCACGAGTAGACGAGAATATTTGCAAATGCAGCAGGAATTCCACCACATAAATCAGCAATGCTGGTATCGCCTTTGCGCTCGAGTATGACGGAGCTGGACAGCCTCTCATGGTCACTATTTAACCATGGAAGGGAGCCGCACAAGAAATATATTAGCATGTAAGCAAGTGATTCGAGATCGTCACGACGACCCGGCTCCAATCCCAAGTGATTGTTGATTGAAGCAAAGGCGGGGGTGCCTGTGAGATGTCGACCTCGGCGAAATGGGATGTGGGATTTGGTTGCATTGTTCCAGTACTTCTTCGCGATACCGAAATCGATGATATAGGTAGTTTGTCTTGAATGGTCCACTAAGATGTTATGCGGTTTGATATCCCCATGAACAATGTCATGTGAGTGAATATACTCGAGACGCGACAGCTGGAAAATAGATTAGTATCTGCAGTAGCGAACAACAAATTGATAAACGGTACCAGCTGGTCTCCTAAATTAACAACAGTTTGAAGGCTAAATTTGTGGTTGCATGCAATGAAGAGATCGTATAGTGACGGCCCGAGGAGGTCGAGAGCCAAGGCATAATGTGTTGACTCCCTGCCAAACCAAAGGGCGCGGGGAATCCCAACTCCACCTTCAAGTTGCTTGAGAATCTCATGCTCATGCTCCACAGAAGATGGTTTGTTGGTGACTGGCTCGAGTTTGATAGCAACAATGTCATCATTGAGGAAGTTCTGCGCACGGTACACAACAGCTAGTAACATTAATGTATGTTGAAAACCTGAATTTGAATCAATATCATATGAACGCACCATATGAACCGGACCCCAAAATATCTTCCAGCCTAAATCTACCATCAATGCGATTCGGGGCCTTCATGCTGAATATTGCAGCAAGGGATTGAACAATGAAATTGAATGAATGGACAACGAGTCAACGACGCACAGAAAGAAGATAGTTCAACTTCCACGTGACTGAAGCCGACTGCAACCAGCTTGAACCAGCTCGAGTCGATGTTGCTGGAGTCATGGCTTGTAGCCGATTCACACAGCTAACAAGTCAAACCAAGCTGGACAAAGTGGTTCAGCTTACGGGGATAGCCGAACTACAGGTGTAGCTGGTAAAAGCCGAACCCGGGCTGGGCCGAGCCGAGTGGTGACATAACTAGGCGAAACACAAAGCTTCAAGTCTGTTTTAGTACCATCGTCTTGCCCATCAGCTTCCTTCCTGCAAGCACGATCCATGACAAGCTCGATTTCATAGCCATTCCTGCAGTCAGTGGCGGAGAAGCAGAAATTCAAGTCGTGTGGCAATAACTGTAGGAGGTCAATGTTGATGAGAAGACCGTTTAACTAACCAGAGAAAACTTGCTTGCGCAGAACTCGCACACTGCCTTGGGCCTGGGGTGGAAGCATATGGAAATAAACCGTCGCGTGTTAGATCAGCTCGATACTCCATGCAATTACAGTGCATGATCAGCACGTGCAATATCGTTGCATAGCGTCTCGAGCGGACACTAGCAGTCTCGAAGACAATCAAGAAAGTTAGTAAATCGAGGAACTCACCTTTCCACAGGACCTTTCTTTCTCCTCTTGTCCAGAATGAGTCTTTGTCACTGATTTGTTGGCGTTTTAAACCGGGGTGGGCTTACTCGCACTGATAACCTCGCCTCCCCAAGTTGAGCTTCTTGGAGAGGAAGCAGACTCGTAACGACGCCACACCCGGACACGGCGGGCACTGAGGGGCGAACGGGATGGAACATTAGCAACACCTGCAACCACAACCCAGCCAGGAGATTGAGCTACCCAGTGGGCGTCCTCGGTTTCAAAGTAGGGCCCACGTTCTACGCCCCAAGTCATCCACTAGGTCCCAACCGTGGGCGACAGCGACCACCGGTGCCCTGAAGATGACGCGATGTCAGGAGAAAGCCAGAACATAAAAGTAGAACATACCCTCTCATCTCGCGCCCGAACTTACGGAGCTACGAGAGCATCGAGTTTATGTAGGCCGGGGTGCCTAAGCCACGGTGCAGGTCAGTGCAACCGACCACGGAGATGCTGAGGAGGTTAGCAGGGCGGAGAGAAGTTGATGACCCGAGAGCTCCCCACCAAAGTCGCCGCCATCCAAACCTCGAGTGCAACCAAAGCAGCTACAGAAACGCCAGTCAAGGCTGGATCCGAATGAAATCAACAGCGTCGCCGCCTCACTAACTCGGCCTGGGGACTTGAGTCTGCGAACGTAAATGCGAAAGATATGGTGGTGGCCTAGGGTTGGCCTAGGTCTGACTCAACACCTTGCCCTGTCTCTTTCAAACATTCTTCGGAACAAATATATTGAATACATATTACACGAAATATGTGCCAAGGCCCATCTTTCCTTGAAATTCACTCTGTACCGCCAAATAAATGAGTATCACGACGAAACTGGCAAATCAAGAAAAACAGACGGTTCTCCTGCTCCCTTCGGAGCACCAGACCACCGTTGACTTCATCGAGCATCTCCCGTGCTATACGCCACTGCCTGTCGATATTTTCACGCGCTCCTGGAAAGCGATTGAGGTCATGCCGGTTGCTGCATCAGAGTCAGCCACGAGCCGAGCGTGATATTCTCGAACGCTAAGGATGAGGCGTGGTCCGAGCACAAAGAACTGTATGACTTCCAAAATCTGAAAAAGAACAGGAAGAATCTCACTGTCCAGGGAAAATGGGTCCTACAGAAATGATGAACCACGGTCACATGCAGGGTCAGTAAAAGATTAACATACCGTGAAGAGCGTTGGAGACAAATCATATATGACGTTAAAGCAGGACACAGCAACATAACTAGCACGTTCAAACATTCAGTGGAAAAGGGAACCATATTCACAATATGAGCTCACCTCGCAAAGTAAAGCACGTGGGATTTGATCAACACCGTGAAACAGTCTCCTATAATCCCTCCTGCCGAATGTTGTCGCAGTTCACGAAAGTGTTTTACAGCAATCCAGACTGCGAGACACAGCGCGAGGACCTCCCAGACAACGCCGAGAATCCAAGTAATGGAACCCAGAAGGAAGATATTGTCCGCATAGCCAATAGTGCACGTATATGTGCCAGAGAGAATGTGTCCCTCTGGTATTCATCAATGAGCGCCATGCACGGTTTTCTTTCACAGTTAAGTGTACCCCCTGAAGCATCCCTCGTTGCCATTACCGTGACCACTACGTCGAAAATGTTGACAGCCAAGCACACGACGACGAGAAATATCAGGATCCTTCTGGATCGTTGATACATGGCATGTAACCGAGTGATCATGATGACTGCAACATGTTTTGTTCGAGTCAATATCATAGGTCTTGCAACTGCACAACTCACCACACAGCATTGGAAATGCTATAACATTCGTCCAATTCTGTACGAGATACAGAATCCGGCCTGAGAAATCCGGTGAGTGATGGGCCTTGGGTGGATCACACACCACAAAGACACTCACATCTGTAGCAGTCATGATAGTAAACGAAGAAGCTGGTCAAGAATGACACTCACTCCTAGTACAGGGTGTCGCGGTTAATTGAATGGGAATATCAGACATCTGTGCAGAAGACTCACTGCATCTGTCAACAAAATAGTCGGAACACTGCCTGTATGCCACTGATCAGAAGAAACAAACACTGTGAATGCGAGAAGACATACCCAGTATGTTTATGCTGATTGTGAGAGACGGCAGATTAGCACGACACCAAAGGTCTAGCCTTCCGAACATACACAATATAAAAAACGCCAAGATAGCGCAACTAGGATATCTTCAAGTTAGCACAAATTCACAACAGGCAAGATACATACAGTCAGATAGAGAACGGTCATCAGGGACCAACGTTGCCTCTGTCGCAAATCAGTTTTGTTCTTCTGACGTGGAACTGTGCTCACCCAGATCAGTTCGACCTACAAACAAATCTTAGTGAGATGGTTGCTCCGGTCATAGCATCAACATACCTCTTGTCCGAACGTAAGGGCTGGAATACTTGTGAGAAATCAGCAATTCTCTAATGTTATCATGCTCACCCCAATCATATACCACTCCAACACCAGCGGCAACTGGAAAACCACAATGAAGGTCAGATCGAGACATGAGCGCTGAAATCTGACTGCTCTTCACGAACCCATAAAATAGCTGCCAATACGCCAAGAGTTGATGAGTGGCCAATAACTAGGGTCGTCTGAGACTAGTGTCATACTGTTAGAGGATGGATGTGAGGGAGCGGGAAACTTGGTGGACATACGACGATGATGTTTGTGCTAGATATACTACATCTGCTTGGATGTCCGAAATGAGATCGAGAGATGATCGATGATCTCCGCTGGATCCTGACATCATGAAGTGATGCATCGGGCCTTCAATAAAACGCCGGTGATGGGCGACACTTGGTTCTAGTACTAATCAAGTTGGTCATGAAACATTCGTGAACACCGTAAAAGATGAAAGGACGTAAAGAACTGTTCGTGACCTTGTTTCCGACGCCATTCTCAAAATGTGTCCATCATGACAAAGCAATCAAGTACTTCTCGCATCATGTGCTGCCAGTGGCCATGGTGGGCGCAAAGGAAATTTGCCAAAGAACATCAGGATTCGATGAAACGGTGGCTTCGCAAGAAGTTGATCACCGTGATTGACCTAATGCGTTGAATAATCTTGCGATTGTACTCGCCTGGCGCTTTGATCACCGAGGCGATGATCAAGACTCGCCGAGGCAATCGAGCTTCTCAAGAAAGCGCTGTTTTTAGCCCAGTCGGTCACAAGCACCAATGGACTGTCTATCAGACAGGGCACAAGGTATCATGCAGCGTTATAATACAATACATAGATGTAGCATAACCTGAGCTAATGAAGAATGATAATCAGTCCTAGTGCTTTTGAAAATCCGTGATGGTACCCATACCAGCATGATTAATCTTGCTTGTCCCTTCCTCCCCGACTGCTCTCCCCATCTCTCTCCCTGTCTCTACGTCGATCGCGGTCGTCGTAGTCGCGGACCCTGTCACGATGTTTATTGACATCGCGATCTCGGTCCCGTCTGTCCACATCCCTGTCCCTGTCGCTGTTCCTTCTACTATCGTCTCTTTTTCTTCTGTCATCTCTGTCTCTTGCTCCCCGATCGTCACGGTCGTCGTCTCGTCGCCTATCGCGATCATTTGCTCTCCTAGACCCGTCATAATCATTGTCCCTCCTTCTATCACGGTCGTCATCCTTTCTTCTCTCACGATCATCCCTCCTACTGCTCTCCCCTCCGCTCCTTCTCTCAGGTGACCGCGAAGCCCTCCGCGAAACAGTCGCACTCCCATTCCTGCTTTCTTCCCTACTGCTCTCCTGCCTCACGAGCGGGATGTACCGCTTCTCGTCCCCTCTCCGTTTCTTCTTCTTACTACCGTCATCCAATACCTCTTGTTCCTTTGCTCCAATTCCCAAGAGCGCAGGCCGTGATTTCGGCAGGTAAGGCTCCACCAGCGCATTCTTTTTGGCTCGTTCTGAGCTTGTGACAGCCCCACCGTCCACCCAGCCCATGCCGCGCAGCATAGCGGCTCCAAACGCAGTAATGGGCACACGCGCATAGTCATCAGCAGAAGCCACATCCGGAAGCGAAGCCACATCTTGCTGGAGGGCATCGGTTTCGCTCGGGGGCACGGGAATAGTATCGATCTGGGGCGCCGAGTCCATATCCCCAGCCAGCAGCGCACGAAGGGCTTTTTGATCTTCCGTCTCTGCTACAATTTCCATTTTGACGTGTTCATCTACCGTCATGGTTGTTTCTCCGTCGGTAGACGTCGTGCTTGTGTCGACCCTGACTTCCTTGTTGCCGAACTGAATACCTGAGAGCTGGGGGCCGGAGTTGATGGTGTCGCGCGTGCCAAGACCTCCAACACTCCCGTCTGCACCTGTGCTCGCTTTTGCAGAGTCAGGGACGAACCGTGCAGAACCTGCACGACGTTTCCGTGCTGCCTCCCGCCAGTCAGGATTTGGCTTCGAAGGAATGACAAGCGGGCCCGTAGGAGCTTTAGTCTTGGCCTTTTTGCCATTTACGCTAGATGATGCAAATAAAACATGGGCCTTTTGTGAGCTGTAGAAATGTTGGAAAGAGCGGAAGGAGACGCACCGCTGTGCACCAAATTTATTGAAAGATGTGATAAGCTCATCCTCGAGACGGTCGTCTTCATCGTCGCTGGAGTCTGGCTCTTCTTTACGCCCACCATCGGCAAACACGATCCCGCTCTCTTCGTCTTCGTCGGAATCCTCTCGAGAGCTGAAAGTACGAGGAGAACCTGTGAGTGGGGTGCCAGAGGCAGAGCTGGCGGCACTAGAAAGATGACGAGGGAGCGCTGAGAGTTTGAATTTGTCGCTAGCCTTGTCGTCGTCGGTTGCTGGGGGTTTGCGGACAGTGAAGGACAGTTTGGACATCGTCGTGCGGGATACAGCAAGTGTTTGTTGACCGGTCATGAATATCAGGGCTTAGTCATCACCTGACTCCTCTAACCGTTTGTCGCGTACATATCTCATTTTAATTTTACTTTCGTAGATGGACTTGGGTGGTTACAATGCCAGACACATTCTACCAGTAAATTCAGGCTCTCCGTGAAATCCGTGCTCAAAGGTACTTAATGGTTGACACGGAAGGGGTTAAAAGTACACTCGCGTAGAATCAAACACTCGCGCATACCCCTAGTCAACACCGTCGTGGTCCCGTTCCTCAGCATCACTATCAGATCCATCACTGTCAGCCGTAGCCCCGCCACCTCCCCAAAATCTATTCAGCAGATTCCTCACAACCCGTATGGGCATGGGCTGAAACCCTCCCCATCAGCACCTTCGAACAGGACATAAAAAACAACTCACAGCAATGTACTCATCCTCGTCTTCATCTTCCTCATCTCCCTCGCTTTCATCCTCAACTGCCAACGCTGGCGCCGCTTCCACTTCACCTCTCGGAGGCATAGGGTCGAAGTCCAGCAGATCATCATCACCCTCCAACGGCAATCCGCCTGGCATACCCCCACCTGGTACACCACCCTCCCCATCCATCGCAAGGCCAAGCATCATATCGTCCAACGCTTCATCCGGCATATCCGCCATCATCTGGACAAACTGCACCACGCCACCAGGCAACTGCCCCGCCAGTCCAGGATTCGCATCGAACAGCGCTTCGATTTGCGCCCTGATGCCTGCATCTGGGATGAGCCTCTCCAACGCCCGCGCGTCCCGTCGACGAGGACGCACGCTGAAGATCTCTTCCGCGCCTGCAAAGAAAGCGTCGTTGTATTCAGAGGATGCTGTCAGTGGTGGGAGCGGATCGCATGCGAGCTGTTTCGCTAGCAAGACAGAGCGTGGGATGAAGGGGGTGAGGTTCCGGAAGCTTTGCTCAAGAACAATAATGTGTCGATAGACAGAGTAGCGGAGCGTTGTCGAGGCGTACATTTGGAGGAACCGCTCACGAGTCGGATTGAAGCGTTGGGCGTTGAGCGACGTTCGGATTTCATTAGCGGTGCTTTCGAACCATTTTACATGTGCAGCGGATTTCCAGAGAGGTGCGGATTTTTGAGCATAAAGATGAGATAGGAGGTGGAGAACGCTTTGAGCAGGTGATAGCCCACTTTGAAGTCGTCAGTCATCGAATATACGATGGATCAAGTCAACTCACATTCCGTCGGTGTGTATCCGGAATGCTCTGTGCCCGCGCAGCTCTGGAGACAGTGAAATATCACACTTGTCAGCCAGCAGTGGTACCACCTCTGGGAAGGCTAGCATAGCCTGCTTCAGTGCGTCCATACTGCTGCACATGCTCTACCACTTCACGATCAATATACCGCTGACAGCACGATCAAACAACACACCTGCCCCCCACCTGCCTTTTCCCTCGCAAAAAGCGCCAGGGCTCTCGCATACGCCCATCCAGGCAGCACACTCGGATTCAAATGATCCTCGAATGCTGTCTTTGTTCCAGCGAACTCGGAGTATATGTCCAAGAGCCATTGTCCCATCCCTGATTTGATGGAAACGAAGTCCAGATGGAACAAGACACCGTGCGGGTCTGTCCATGGCTCGAGGGAGTATAGAAGGCGTCCAAACTCGAACGCGGTGCGTATGCATCCGCGACGCTGGAGATCACTGTGGGTTGATTAGTCTTCGAGGACAGATGTGTACATGAGAGAGAGACATACGTGACCTGCCGATGCAACGCAAGGAAGAATGGACGATTCTCGACGCAATTGAAGTCGAGGCGGTTGAGCCCGTTCGCGAAGCTGAACGCCCCTAAGAAAGCGCGTTCATATGCAAAGAGCGCTCGATCCACGTATTCAACAGCTTGACTGTATTCTGATATGACTTAATAACGAGGACATGAATGGAAAGCACTGCTGACCTTCTCTATGGCGATATACCTCTGCTAGCTGTAGCAGTGTATCGCCATGCCATGGGAGTTTCTGCAAAACTCTCCAAAGCGCTTCAGGATCTAGTCGCAGGGGTGACTATGAGTGCCACGAGAAGGAGTACAACATGAAAACACTACCTCCTGACATCACGGCCTGCATAAAGGTCTTTGTGACACCCTTGTACCTCTTACTGTACTCAACAGTCCACCACTTGTCCCCTGCGGCTGGGCTATTTCGATCTGCGACCTTCTTTTGTACCTCCTCGTCGGTCAATGGGCGAGAAGAGAGGCCTTCACGTTGCTTGATCATGCTCCATGAAGGATGCGGCCGTGTGAGTTGTGAACGCTGAGTTTGTGCTGAAGCAATACCCCTCCGTTTTTTTGAGCCACCAGAGGAGGAATTTTCGGAAGACTTTGCAGCTATGACAGCTCTTGCGCCAAAAAACTTGCGCATCTCCGCTTCTGCATCGAGGTTGGACACTGAGACGGATAGAAGGGATGCAAGGGATGCGTTGCGAGTGGTCGAGGACGAGGAAGTTGCCACGCTTTGAAGTTCTGGGTATCTTTGCATTGATGAGCATCGTGAACGGTACACTAGATGTTTGGACACACTTCTGGGAAAGCTCTGCGAGCGCCGTGTCTAGATCATCCAGATCGCCTTTCTTCTTCTCTTTTCCCTTGCCTTTCTTTGCGGATTTAGGCTGCTGGGGCTTCGGTACCTCGGCGGGTTTACTCTGCTGAGGGCTTGTCGGTGCATCCGATGCTGTTGGTTTCTTCTTCTTCTTCTTTGCCTGTGTTCGAATGAGTCAGTCGATCTCGAATAGTGGTAATATCGTACTTAACGCACCTTCTTTGCCTTTGTGGGCTTGGATGTTTCGTCATCGCTCTCAGGTACATCATGGTCACTTTCTGCAGTAAAAAGCTGGGTCCCTCGTTATGATCTCAACACAGATTTGTTGCGGGGTTGAACTTACCGCTGCAAACCCCGAGGGCGCTATCGGTCCAGGTGCTGGTTCCTCCTCGCTGTCTGCGTCAGCGGCCGCAGCAGGTTGGTTTGCGAGCGCAAGAAGCTCTTCCTGCTCGCGTTGCTGTCGCTTGTTAATTCGGGCGGGCATGTGTACGTTGTGGTCAATAAAAGCTATAGTTATCTTTTGTTATCTAATCTTCCGCCGTTTCTCCCTGGCAAGCCCAGATGATCAACCGCATGATTTTGTTTCCGCCGCGGCGTGTGCCGTGACATTACTACGTATACAGCCTAGTGAGCCGTAGTGACTCTAGTCTAGTCCCCTACTAATTCCGGGTTAGCCAGCTCATCCTTTCTCTTTCCTGCAGACTGCTGCAGGACGTTCGCTTCCTTTGTTTTCGACATTCATTTTTGCTGTCGCTGTCGTTGTTGGTGACATCGACAAACTGAAACATACTCCGGCCGATTTGCTGCCAATCCAACTCTTATTAATCCCAAGGCTACTGTGAGGTCGTATGACCCCTTCAAACATGGAACCACAGGCCCCAGCACTACTCAGCACACCGCGGATGTTGAGTCTTCTAGGCTCTATCCTCGTATCTCTCAGTTCAGGGACAAACTATGTGCGTAATTTGTTGTGATATATGTCTGTGGCGTTGAAAGTAGTCTGCTCCCACCAGATATACTCTGGTAAGTGGTACATATGTGCTACGATAAGATCCTTGGTATGATATCCTATCACAGCATACTCTCCGCAGTTGGGCGCGCGTTTGTTTCTCTCCCACACCCAGTTGAACGTCATTGGCCTCGCAGGGAATGGTGCGCTAATTGTTCAATAAAAACTCGACAAAATCCTGAACTTCATCTTCAGTGGGCGTATATCTCAGCGGCCCAGCCTGGGGTCGGGTAGTCGATTCCAGGGGTCCTCGCATTCCGCTCATCACAGCCTCTGTCTGTCTCCTCGTCGGATATCTCGGCATTAAGCGCATCTACGATGGTGGTGTCGGAACAGCATCATCATTCATGCATGTTGTCGCCCTCATTGCCTGCACCTTCATGACAGGCTTGGCTGGAAATGCGGGCCTTGCTGTTGCTATGAACACTACAGCTAAGAGCTTTCCTGAAGCCTCGGTTTGTTTTCCGTACTGTGATATGTGTATTCGTAAGTCACGCTGATGCTATGGTTTGTGTAGCGCGGGACCACAACAGGTCTCGTTCTGTCTGGTTTCGGCTTATCCGCATTTTTCTTCGCGGCTATTGCCAGTGTCGCATTCCCCGGAGATATCTCTGCCCTTCTCCTTATCCTGGGCCTCGGCGCCGCCACGCCCATGCTTCTTGGTCTTGTTATAGTCCGTCAAATACCATTACCTCCCGCAAGCACCACACTCGGTATCGAAGGGGGCCTACATGGACGCGAGGAATACCAGTCTATTCCTAGCGGCGATGCCGCTCTATTTATTCGTGAGAATGACAGCAATACCTCCCTTCTCGATCCCACGGAACACGTACACGAGGCATCAAACTACCACGTCCCCGAATCATCGACCGCGGTGGAACTTGTGCCAGACCGGATTGCATCCAGAGGGTCAAGTATCAAGAGGGATGCGAGCCGCGCAAAGTCCGTGCACGATGGCCCCAATATCTATGGGAAGCAACTGTGGCTTACCTCGGACTTTTATCTTATTTTCGTTATAATGTCACTTCGTGAGTTGAATTTTTCTGTTTTTGATATATTGTGACCGATATTTGCATGGATTAGTGAGTGGAACTGGGCTTATGTGTAGGTCTTTCTGGTCCTCGTCAATGACATGCCCTCACTCGAAGTTCTGCAGACATCAACAATGTTGGCTCCATATCTCAAGCATTATATGCCAAAGGGAATCCCAACTACGACGAGTTAGAAGCCTCGCGATGGCAAGCAGCACAAGTCTCAACTCTCAGTATCTGCAACTTCGCAGGACGTATTCTTATTGGTATATTCCTTTATCATTCTACCTCACCATCTTCGCTTATTCAACACACCAGGATTGATCGCGGACTTGACCCGAATTCGCCTACGTCTCCCTCGTGCATACTGTTTTTGCATCGTTTCAACACTCTTTGTCATATCTCAATTAACTGCCATCAACGTTAACGACGTCGCGCATCTTTGGAAAGCGACCGCGATACTTGGGCTTGCATACGGTAGTCTGTTCGGCATTGCCCCCACGATCGTCATCGACTGGTTTGGACTATGTGAGTATTGGACATGAGTCACACCAAAAGGGACTGACATGAATCGTTTCAGCACATCTCTCGGAGAATTGGGGGTATGTCTCACTCAGTCCACTTGTGGGAGCGAATATCTTCTCGCTCATGTTTGGGCGCAACCTCGATTCACACGCCTCGAACGATGACAGCGAGACGCACTCTCCTTTGTCTTTGAAGCGTGGCGGTCTCCCAAGCGAACACCAATGTTTTGATGGACGCAACTGCTATGTCTCGAGTTTGTATGTAACGGCGACAGCGTGTTTGATTGCACTTGGGTTGAGCGTGTGGGCGGGAATGAGGGACCAGAGAAAGGCAATGGAGGCAAAGAGGGAGGTTGTATGGGATGCTGATGAGTAGATGGAGAGTTAGGCAGATACCCGGTGAAATATATATTTATCGTAGACTTGCTAGAAACGCGAAATTGCGGTCCACACCACAAAAGATGTGCAACGGGCGCTGAGTAGGCGAGGCTGCATGCATATTCCCCGTGCCTGCCACTTGCAATGTTCGAACGTTCATGGATCAGCAGTGTCGTTATATTTACTTGCAACATAGATAGGTATACTTAGTTACGCAATGAATAGATAGGTGCAATGCGAGGTAAGTCATAACGAAAATACAGTGTGATGCTACAAATTTTGTACAGATTCTATGCAAAGTCCCAGTATTACAGATGTGGATGCAGGTAGCGACAATAAGATTAATCAAAACCATAGCCCATCCAATGGACGTGTCATCAAAAGGAGAATGGAGAGAGACACGACAGCAACAATCAGTGCTATACGAAAGTTAGAGACGAACAAATTGGGGGCCTGAGCAGCTGGTACCGACAAGGGAAGCAACGAGTGAGGTGTGAGCGGTGATGAAATAGATTTAATAGCCTGCTGTGGCTGTATCACCCGCATTTCGACATCAGGGGCCAGCAGCTTCGTGCTACATTCTCTGCGTGGACTTCCTGGGAGTAGTTGAGGGGGCCTCGTAACAGAGTTTGTATATAGAGTTCCCGATTGCAAGCGAGGATGTGTGTGCTGACAGGCTGGCGATGGTGCATCGGTTTCATCTGCGGCAAACTCTTTCTCATCTCCGAATTGTTCTGCATGTCCATGCTGTAGCAGTGATTCACCGTTCATGCTTCTCATCGACACCGGAGCAGAACGTGTTGATATGTCAGCACTGTGTCCCAGTGCTTCTGGGAATAAATGAGGCTGTGAGACTGCGGAGTTCATCGACATTCGTGAAAGCGGTGAAGGGGGTGACGGAGGCACCGGCAAAGAGCGGTGAATGCTTGAAGTAGTAGTGGGAGTGGCGCTCCTGATTGTGCCAATTACGGGTTCGATACCGGGGTTGTCGTCCGAACAGACACGTTGTGCACGATTCAGCAGGTCTTGTCCTTCCATTACATCCGCAGGATTTCTCCTCAGCTGGAAACGGTATAGCAAAGCGAGTCCGAGCTTCAGCAGCGCCAAGGAATGGTCTGGGTGCCCCGATTGTCGTAGCTCCAGCGCCTCCTGATACAGCAAGATAGGGGTGTTGATGGCATTATCACTTTCTTCAATGTGTGGGTGACAAGCAAGAGCATCCGCTAAATTTGTTAATGCCGCTGCACGGTCAGGGTGATCACGGCCACAATAATCAAGCGTGATGCGCAGCTGTTCCGTGGCTGCGTGATAGTCTGAGATGCAACGAGTGCGGCGATAGCATGCGAGGAGATTCTGACCGATTTCTGTCATTTGTCCGAGACGTTGTGACTCGTCGGATTCGGGCTGGCTGGGATGTCAATCTGATAAGCTGCGCAAGGTGATAACACTTACGGAGTGGCGTTGGCCGAACTGAGTCGCATCGGGTTCGTCTTCAAGGCCGCGGTCAACCTTTACTAGGAGAGAGGGTGATTGACCCCCATCGGGGGAGAATAAGATGGCTGAAAATTATTTCATTTGAGTGAAAAGTATCACAAAGAAACTAGCTGCCAACTTACGTAGAAGTTGGTCGCTGTGATGTAAGAGTTCTCCTACTGGGAGCTCAGCTTCGCGCATCAACTCGCCGCGCCCAAGCATACGTTCAAATTCGAAGGCTGCAAAGATTCTCAAAGATACCATTGCTGAACTATCTGCGGGGCTAATATGCAGCTTCAGTATCGTCATGGAACGCCGTCTACTTGAGCACTTACAGTACAAAAATCTGATCCCATTGCACGACATTGGTTGACGGTACTTCCGCTTTGACGGCTGTTCTCCAAACCGTTCCGTCGATCTCGACAGCGGCATAATAACCGGCTGGAATGCGACGAACACCTGTCGCAGGAGCTGTCACACGAATCGCTACATCCCAGAATGAGTCAATCTAGTGTCTTGATAATGTGGACCAAAAGATTTACAAGAAATCGTCAATCGCTTGTCCTGAGGCGTTTGGCGCCATGATTCTAGCTGAGAATGATGGGACATATACAAAAGAGGGGAAGCTGCAGGCCAGGGAAGGGGCCCTGAACTATAAATCTGGACCGGTGGCATAGCGGTGCTCCTGCGCTGAAACCTGTGCTAGCGTTATTGATGAGCGTCTGTGGATTTGATTATGAAGTCGAGCCTCGTGTGGACAATGGATTCGGGAATGGAACGTGGTCGCATAGCATTCTGGAGGTACCAACCGAACTGATCCGTAAAGTATCGGTCCCGATTCAAAGCCGGCAACCGAATTCACCGATCCACAGTACCGCTAGAAGTTGTTGTAGCTCTTCCAGAACAGATAAAGGTCGTTCCAGTATTGTTCCAGTATGAAAAACCTCATGCCGCGATCGTGTTTCAATATGGTTCAGGAAGTGATAGTAATAGGCATGTCAGGAGACATGCTGCTGGAATCCCGAGCATTCAGCAGTCAAATGAAGGTCTGGACTGATCCATGCTGCTATATTTCACAGACTCCCACTGATGCGATAATGTCGTATGGCATCAGATCAGGTAAGGTGAAGCGGATGCGAACCATAAAATTGAGCAGACAGGCTTATGACGTCGTACGAAAGGTGATTTGGAAAGAAAAATCTCAGGCCACATACCGTAGGCGCACTTGCGGTCTGCTGAGAGAGCCACGAGGTATACGGTCAAACTATCTTCATCAAGTGCAAATGCAAATGCGAATTGCACTCGAGCCAACAGTTTCGCTGGCTGTGAACGGTGTCATAGCTCATCGTGCGGGCTGAATGATTTTGAAGATCACTTGAACCCACTTGATGACCTGGTGCTGTGCCGCATCGCCCTGCATAAGTCGTTGCATTAGCTGAAATGAGTTGCAGGAAAGAAAGTGGCACGAAAATGCTTTTCCATGACAGCAACAGCAGCTCACACACAAAGCCAACTTTAAAGCCTCCAAGCTCGACTGGTGTTCTGGTATTCAGAGGGTCACATCAGTCAGTAGACCAGAGCTGATGTGGGTTGGGCAGCCGGGCTACTAGGCCGCTAGCGGAGTTCGGAGTTTGTTTCCACGTGGTCCCTGGGACTGAGGTTTCGTCCACGTCTCTTACTCAACGGACTTGTCTATTGCCTGTCCATTGGATTCTTGGGTCGTGAGTGCTTTCCTCTTCTTGATCTCGTCACAGAGGCTCCATTTCGCTTGACTTTTGTCTACTATGATCCAGAGCAACCAGCGCGTCTGTCGCTACGCGTTAACGGACAACCATGTCTATACAAATGGATAGGATGCACACTCTGGCCTCCCGGCCCCCTCCAATTGTCCCTGCGTCCACATATTTACCGATGTCCGCAAATGTAGTTTCTCGCGGTTCGGAGAAGCCTCCTTCGACCGAGCAACCTTCCAATGATGAGAAGCAAAGTCAGATGGAACTGTCACTGAAACGTTCTATAACGCTTGTTATATGGTACAAGGTCTGTGTTACTTTGAAATGATTACGCTGGTGACTAGACTAGTTGACAGCCGGCGTGCGATCCCATTCGCCTAAACCACGAAATCTCCACTTTTCCGTTGTTTCAGTTGTCGCATTTTCCATCCGTGGTTTCAGACCTGGAACTCACACCCGCTTCATACGTTGATACTTATAATCATGCAACAGGGAATTGGGAGCAACATATGATTACCACTGTCCGTGCAATCGAGACAGACCAACGTCTCCTATATAAGCTCCGTAAAAGTCTTTTAAGTGGGCTTGTAGACGAGGAATGCCGAGGACTCGCAGAAGAGTTGGTACTACAGTCGAAGAAGAAGCAACCCGTATCTCCTACAATTGTCACACAAAACGGCACCAAGAGGCCTGCCTCTGAGCATTCAGAGGGCCCTCCTGCAAAAAGACCCTACCCACCGGAAGGGTACCCACACCCGATGTATATACCGCCCATGGGATATATGTACCCACAGGTCCCGCTTGGACATCCAATGAGTGCACCGCCAATTGCTGGCCCATCACACGCAAACAGTCCTGAGGGCGAGGCATCCTCGCCCATGCCACATCCATACTCAGGTCCTCCCGCAACCCCGATGAGCGGCCGGCCACCAAACAGCCCAGGGCAGTATCCAGTTGTGTCGCCTTCGTCAGCCACTCGAACAGGGTCAGGACCATTCCCGCAGCACCCCCACCCTCCACTCAAAAGGTGGCCTAACGATTATACTGTTTCTGAAATTGCTGCCGGCTTCCGGCAGATGGATGGTCTTATTGCCCAAACGCCTAACGCGACTCAACGCACGGCATTCGAACGCGTTTTTGGATGCCGGTATGTTAAGTCAACCGTGTGCCGGCACCGTGGGGTGTATCGCAAAGCTGATGCAGCAGTCCGGAGTATGTTTGAGGGTATGGGAACGGATGAACGTGCCGTGTGGGGTGAGTTTGTGAGGCGCGTGGAGGGTCGGCCATCAGGAAAGCAGGGGCAAGGAGAAGAACCTGTTCTCCAGGGTGATCTTCATGAAGGAAGCTCGCAGCCAGGTCATGTTCAGCAGGAAGAATGCGGAGAGGCGAATACAGTCCCACTTATGGATTCGCTGGTGCAGTCACCGCATATGACTGTTCCCTCGCCACCGCCTGGCATGCCACGGATCAATGGTGCGCGTCCTACACGATATACTTTAATGGAGCTTATCAATTCATAGGGCATGTTCCTGTTTATGATCCGAGTCTAGCAGATAAAGATGCTGGCTTGTCTGGAACATGAGGTCCTAGTTTTGTACCCCCTTTTCGCGATTCACGGACTCCGTGCGGTATTTGTAGGACTTCCTCCTTTAATTCACAATCTAGGGTTCAGGGTATGATATATTTGCTGATAGTGTGACCTGCGACGGTCCCATGATTGATCTGCGCCCAAGGTTATAAGGCAACTGAGTATTCCTCGAGCTTCATCAGAAGCCTCGAGTTCAACCCACCCCTATCAGTATTATCAGACCCAAGCGACTCATCAGTTGAATGAATCTGACGAGCTTTGCATTTGACTGGAAGTTTTTACATGGGCAACTGACTGAACTTGCTTGAGTCTCAGCTCAATGGCTTGAGTCAATATATAGTGGTGCAGCTGATTGATATTGGTCACGTGTTTGTGCGCCAGTGCAGGGCGTTTTCGAAACGTAACCAACTTTCGTCATTAATCATCTTAGGCTTCTCGGTTTAACATCTGTATATAAATTATAAAGATCGCTCCGGCTCTCATTTTCACTACCGGTCTTTCTCTCTTTTTGACGACTATCACGTTGCACAGATACCAGCTTTCGTTGACTTTTCAGTTTCTCATTCTGTCGAGATAAATTCGATACTGTATGGCTGAAGACTTAATTCCCAACAAGAGGATCTTCAAAGATCCAGTTCATGACTATGGTAGGCAATCCAGTTCAGTTGATTTTTTCATGGCAATCTTATTTGTGGCCGCGACTCCGTATGTCCAATAGTGGAGTACGATCCGTGGATTTGCAGCTTCATAGACACGTGAGTTGCCATTGCTAGGCTTCTTACTGATGAAATGAACTGGATACCTTCTCCTAGACCTCACTTTCAACGGTTGAGATATGTAAAACAACTAGGACTCTCATACCATGTGTACCCAGGAGCATCTCACAATAGATTTGAGCATTGTCTCGGTACGAGCAATGTCATTTCTTTAGATTATTCGGCTAATGGGCTCAAACAGGCGTTGGCCATTTGGCCAGGATGATGACTCAACATCTTCAGAAGATTCAACCGTCCTTGGGGATCACGGATGACCATATACGATGCGTCGAGCTTGCTGGTTTGTGTCACGACCTTGGTCATGGGCCTTGGTCCCATGTCTGGGATGGCCATTTTATCCCAAAGGCACTGTAGGTTTGTTATTTCTTTGCTTCTCCGAAAGACCTGACGACCCCATCCTAGTCCTAATCACCCAAAATGGAGTCACGAGCAAGCGTCGGAAATGATGTTCGATGACATGGTGAAGAAGTACAGCCTTGAAATCTCACCTGAGGATGTAGAGACTGTGAAGGCACTTATTTCTGGCAGGAAGGAGCGATGCAAGTGCGTATAATTACCTACTTAGCCTAACAGTTTCTGATGCGACCCAATGGCTGCCTCAGGCTTGGAACGACTATGCCGTTTTTGTTTGAGATCGTTGCCAACGATGTCAATGGCATTGACGTCGACAAGTACATCTTTACTCTTTCCACATCTTGCATCATCTCATTTGGAGTTCAAGGTTCGACTACATCGCTCGTGACTCCCACTTTGTCGGCGAAAAACGCAACATTGCTACAGCAAGGTAGTCGTCAGACCATCCAAGCCTTAGGTGTTCACTGAGTGCTTGACGATTATCTAGATTAATTCATTCCGCTCGCGTAATCGACGGTCAAATATGCTATGACATCAAGGATTCAAACACAGTCTATGAGTTATTCTCGACTCGTTTTTCGTTGCACAAAAATATCTATAATCACAAAACTAGTATGTAGCATTTTGCATACATCCACTTTTATTCTGATGTTGGATATAGCTCGTGCGATCGAATACATGATGATGGACGTACTTCTCATTGCACAGAAGCACATGAAGTTTGCGGAATACATCGACGTGCCTGAAAAGTATCTCCATCTCACGGATGAACTCTTCCACCGCATCCACATGACCGAATCAGACGTGAGTCTATGCAATTACTTATCTTATTCGTCTCATTTTGTAACTGCATCAGGAACTCGCACCAGCACGCAATATCATTGACCGCATCCAGACCCGTGACCTCTACCGCCAGGTAGACTACAAGATCATCGACTGGGATGACAAGGAATTTTGTCAGGCACAGATCACGCCTGGGAGTATCGTCCATGCTGCTAAGCATGCCAACCTTCCTGGTGTTGAAGAGAACCTTGTCGCTGAGCTCACTGTTGACCACGTCATCGTGGATGTGAGCAAGATGCACTACGGCAGAGGAGTGGACAATCCCATCTATCAGGTCAAATTCTACAGCAAGCATAATCCAAATGGTGAGTACTAGTTATTATAATACGACAACCGTACTGACCCGTCCCTCAGTGTGCCGGCGGGCTGAGTCAGGAGATGTCTCGCTTTTGATGCCCGAGAAGTTTTGCGAGCTCCTCCTGAGAGTTTATACAAAAGAAGAACGATTCATAGGTCTTGTACAAGCCGCATACCGGCATGTGCTCAGGTCCTTTCCTATGCCGGGTGGGACAGCGGAAACAGCCACCATAGTACCAACACCTCCCGCTACTGAGGCGCCTTCTACCCCAACAGCACTTACGTCTGCCCTCGGTCTTGGTGTACCTCAGAGCCGTACTTCAAGACCTTTTGGACGCACACCCAGCTTCTCCGACAACCAATTCACCACACTTCCTCCCAATTGTCAGAGTCGCTCACCAACGAGGATGACATCACGAAGCTCGAAGAGGACCAGGGAAGCAAGTGTCGAGCTAGACATCGACAATCCTCCTCCGATAAGGAAGAGTATGCGTTTGGCGTCAGCGTCTGGGTTGACAAAGTGATCGGACATCCTACCATAGTCCTGATGGGCTCGGCTGTTCTCCGGTTTCCTGTTGCAGTGTCAGACTCTTGCCTTCGACGTATTCCCGTTCCTTATTCAGCCTGTATCCATTCATGATTCTTTGAAAGGGAGGATTCGCTTACCATACACATTTTATAACACTTCGCACTCTATACCAGTAACATAACATATATACTTGCTTGGCACCCTTGCGACACCCCGGCGGGTCAAACGGTTACAAGCTCCTTGGGTGTTTGGTTCCTGGCGTTCCGTAGATGCTTCAGACATCCAAAGGTTTGCAGAGTTTGATTTCAGTGTATCACGCAAACCGGATCCATTGTTGTGTATGGCGCGATTTATCATTAAAGTGGACTTCGAGGCGTCATACTAGCGCCAGCTCAGCTAGGGAAATAACCTATAAGAGTACACCACGCAGCGTGCAGCTGATGTTGTGCTCACCATTCTTCTCTCCTCTTTGCTGGACATCCGCAAAAATTACGAGCCTGGGTGCGAAGGCAACCGACACTACTGTCTTTGGTATGCGATTTTCAGAGTGATACGTATACCATTCCAATGACTCGACCATTAGTCGATTTCATGATGGGAGGAACTGCAGCTGCTATATCGAAGACCGTAGCTGCTCCCATTGAACGCGTCAAACTTCTTATACAGAACCAAGGAGCTATGGTTGCCTCTGGAAGGCTTGACCGACTTTACAAGGGCGTCACTGACTGCTTCAAACGGACCGTCTCACAAGAAGGTGTCATTAGCTGTGCACTGTGAATCTCACAGTTCAATCAACCTTTCTCAAATTAGAACAGTGCGAGGATTAATGCGACGAACGTGCTCAGATACTTCCCCACCCAAGCCCTGAATTTTACATTTAAAGACACCTTCAAGCAGTTTTTTGGGTTCGAAAAATCAAAAGGATTCAGTTTATGGGTTCTTGGTATGTCGTGTGTTCCTTTTGCATTACTGATGGCCAGAATGAAGTGCCAGGAAACGTTGCCAGTGGAGCAGCCGCTGGAGTATCTTCCTCTGTCTTTGTGTATTCACTTGATTAGTACGTATCTGGTATTGTGGAACGTGAACAGGCATTGACAACCGCAACGGCTGTGACGCAGCGCCCGTACACGCTTATCAGCTGATGGACAGAGCTCCGCCAAAGGGGGACAACGTCAATTTTGTGGTTTGATCGACGTGTACAAACAGACCCTCCGTTCCGACGGAATTGTCGGCCTGTACAGAGGATTCGTGCCTGGTGTTGTTAGCGTGTGCGTGTATCGAGGTCTCTAGTGCGTTATTCTTGCGCCCGAATTTCGTGTTGATGATGCGGTGCAGATTCGGGGGATATGATTCCATCAGGGATACCTTGCTGGTAGGGCATCTGCGCGGTAACTTTGCGGCCTCCTTTGCTGTAGGTTGGATCTGCACAACAGTGAGTCGTACAGCCTACAACGAACAAGGGCGCACAGAACATACGTCGCTCAGGGAGCAGCGATGACTGCGTAACCACTTGACACCATTAGGAGACGAATGATGATGACCTCTGGTGAAAAGGTAAGCCAACATACAAAGCACTTCTTGACATACTAAGGAGTGTAGGTACAATATAAGTCCTGCATTGCCGCTGGAAGGCAGATTGTGGCTAAAGAGGGTGCAAGGTCCTTGTTCGGTGAGTCGAATGGGTGCTGAGGTGGTCCATGTTGACTGTCTTTCACGCCCATTGAATAAAAGCGGGGGCAGGTGCAAATATCCTTCATGGCGTAGCTGGCGCGGGTGTGTTATCGTTGTACGACAAGTATGATTGTCCCGCACCAGTTGATATCCCTTGCTGACTCCAAACACGACCACAGATTCCAGGAACTTGCTTAGGAAAAGGTATATCAGGCTGGATCTGGTTGAAAATGTACTGGAGAACTTGCGATGCCGTGGGATTACGTTCGTAGAAGAGTCGCCGTGCATGAAAATACCGCTATCAGCGGGCCCTCGTAGTAAAACACGAGAGGTACAACTAATGTTCCACGTTAAATTCCCGTTGTATTCAACCACAAAACTGTATCTCGTGGCCACGAGTTCTAGTCAAGTCCAAATCCCAACGAGTACCGATTATTTGATGCGGGCTTGAGTCGCTCTGAAGCAAAGAGTAGATGTGCGCTAGAAGTTGGACTGGTGACCAGCCTGTCTAATTTGAGAAAGAAGACGAGCGGATGGGCAATGAACGGGAACTCGCGGTTTTTTGTGACTTGTGCCGTCAAAGTATCCTCCAGCAACACATTCTTGGGACGATATGAGATGACGCACAGACGGAAATGAACAGGAATTTTACCTCCAAAAAAGTGTCATCGGGTACTGCCCACTTTGAGATTTTCTTATCTTTACCTCCGCTGAGGATGTGCTTGCCATCCATGGAGAAGGTAACACAAAACATACTACCGGACGGTGGAGTGTTTGAATATGGCAATAGGTTATCGATCCGAGAGTCACCATAGGCGATCATGACTGTCATCAGAAGAGGAGGCGACAAAGGTGCCTGTCGAGCTCATGGCAATGTTGTAGATATAGTCAGCATGATGGCCCTTCCAGGACTCACCGGCCTGCTTCCAGGTCAATCACGGTATCCCACTCCCGTATGGTGTGATCTCGTATAGTGCTCGCTGAGAGAAGCCGTGTGCCATCGAGCATCCGCGCGAGTGAGCTGTTCCATGCTCCATTGAACACAGAATGAGCCTCGAAGTTCGTGATGCTTGACTGGATTCTATCTGTATATTTTTCATTGTTGCGATGGCAAGATGTTCACCAGTCAGGGAATGCCATACACATCATGGGACTGATCTGGACTGATGCACGGCAATTGATTTGATTTTCTTGCACCTGTCATGTTTTTGTGTTCCAGAGCTTTGTTGTAGCATCTCAAAACGTATTTTGTCCCCCGAGCCCGTCATCATACGGGCCGTATTAATATGGCATCTATCAGGGAACACTGCGACTGCGAAGACCAAACTTGCATGACTTTCAAATGTTCGACTGGGTGTGGTGATTAGAACGATATGCTCCGCTGCTTCGGCCATTCAATTGGATGTTGATGTTCTTCTGGCAGTTGACGTTGACGTTGACTTTTGGAGGTACGTGTACGGTACCGTGGCGTTTGTGCTGCTTCCCATGTCGAGTATGCCGTATCGTTAGACGCCCAGGATACAAGAACGTTGTACAATATTTGACCATCTCAAATATTCTACATATAATATTATGCGGTTCACTTTCAACAATATTAATTTAACTCTGTGTTGGTTACTTCATGGTCGCCTCGAATTCTGTCCAAGATATGGAAGTGAGCTGGGATCAAACATCGTTACTATCCACGACTCCCACGTTAACGTTAGTGGGGAGGGCTCTTGTCAAACGCAAACGGATTCCCATCTTACAAAACGCATTCTATCTCCGCGATAAATAACCGTAGCACAACTTTGAATCTCCTTGAAGCCGAATGTTCGTGCTCTTCACTCCTGTCTCTGAGTAATCGATAGCTGTCGCCAACCTTGCCGTTTCAAAAGAGCAGTTTAGCGAGCATGTACTTGCCCGGCACTCGTCATGAACTGGCGATTATGACATGAAGGCATGCCGTTTACATGTACACACTGTGTACATCTGAAATGCCGTCACCATATCTTCGAGACTTCGAGGTGTACGCCTCATGGCCCGGGTACGCTCATTACCCACTGGATTAGAGCGCTCGCCACACTAGTGGTTATAAACCTACTCCCATTGCTCAGTCCCGGCACCATTTACCTTCATCCATGGATCCTTCAGAGATACAAAAGAAAATCAATCGCTTTCGAATCCTCATCATAGGAAGAGCCAATGCGGGAAAAACAACTATCCTAAAGAGGGTTTGCAACACCAACGAGAACCCCAAAATATTCAATAGCGCTGGTAGAAAGGTGCGTATCGTGATGCTAGTACAACAATACTGATAGTGATGACTGTCCTATCGACATCAGATCGATGCCACTGTTCTGAACGCATCCAGAGAGGTAACGTGTACTGTCATCAGCTAGCAACATGAACTGACGTGTTCTTAGCGTGGAGAACACAATATCGAAAACGAAATGGTGTTTCAAAATAACCCGAGATTCATCTTTCACGATTCACGCGGTTTCGAAGCAGGCGGCGAGTCTGAGTACGACAAGGTGAACACATTCATCATGCGCCGCTCGAAGAAGGGAGATATCAGGGATCGAATTCACACAATATGGTAATCCTTCAAGTTGGCGACATGCACTAGCTCACTTCTTTGACATAGGTACTGCATCCCAATGGATGAGGAAAGCAGGTCTTTCACCCAAGCCGAACTCAGGTTTTTCTCCCACTGTGACACCGGGAGTAGTAAGCTTTCACATCCGCCTGTTGTTCGACTGATTCGCAACTTTGATCCTCAGTCCCAGTGATCGTAATATTCACGAAATTCGACGCCCTTTACGACGACGAATTCGCACGGCTAATAATGGAAGGAAAATCGAGGACAGACGCCAAAGCACTGGCCTCGAAGCACGCCGAGGAAAAGTTTGCAAACGGGACGCAATTGAAGTTCCTATACCACTCCAAGGACATCCGACGGCCGCCAAAATGTCATGTATGCCTCCCTGGTAAGCTGTGGATAGTTAAATTGCAATACATGATGACCATTGATCCATTAGACATGGACAAGGACGACGCAGACTGTGGCCCACTCATCAAACTCACGGCTGGAACTCTGGACAGCGAAGTCCTTCAGCAATTGTTTGTCTCAACTCAACAAACGAACTTGGAGCTCTGCATAGAATATGCAGTAGAACGGTAACTGCCCATAATCTCATTTGCCTGCCGAAAATGTTATTAACTGTTGTCCAGCACACTCGCAGGACTTGTTGGCTCTAATAAGAAAATCTCTTCTGAAGATGCAATAGCGAGATTGTGTAACTGGTTTCCACATATTCAGGTAAGATTATAGGAATCTTTGTAGGTTTCTCTCATTTATGTTGGGCATTTGCTTACAGGCAGTATGTTTGTTGATCCTCGTTTGAGCTCGAGCCATGCTGATCCAATTCGTTGCCCACCGTTCGCAGTTGGTGAGTGTCTTGATCCTCGTTCGAGCTCGAGCTATGCTGATCCCAGTCATTGCCCACCGTTCGCAGTATGTGAGTGTCTTTATCCTCATTCGAGCTTGAGCCATGCTGATCGACGCCATTGCTCGTTGACAGAGAGTGAGTGCAGTGATCCTCGTTCAAGCTCGAGCCATGCTGATCCAATTCGTTGCCCACCATTCGCAGTTGGTGAGTGTCTTGATCCTCGTTCGATCTCGAGCCATGCTGATCCAAGTCATTGCCCACCGTTTGCAGCCTGTGAGTGTCTTGATCCTCGTTCAAGCTCGAACCATGCTGATCGAAGTTGTTGCTCACCGTTTGCAGCCTGTGAGTGTCTTGATCCTCGTTCGAGCTCGAGCCATGCTGATCCAAGTCGTTGCCCACCGTTCGCAGACTGTGAGTGTCTTGATCCTCGTTCGATCTCGAGCCATGCTGATCCAAATCGTTGCCCACCGTTTGCAGATTGTGAGTGTCTTGATCCTCATTCGAGCTTGAGCCATGCTGATCGATGCCATTGCTCATTGACAGAGAGTGAGCGCAGTGATCCTCGTTCAAGCTCGAGCCATGCTGATCCAAGTTGTTACCCACCGTTCGCAGGAGGTGAGTGTCTTGATCCTCGTTCGAGCTCGAGCCATGCTGATCCAAGTCGTTGCCCACCGTTCGCAGATTGTGAGTGTCTTGATCCTCATTCGAGATCGAGCCATGCTGATCCAAGTCGTTGTCCGCCGTTCGCAGATTGTGAGTGTCTTGATCCTCGTTCGAGCTCGAGCCAGGCTGATCCAAGTCGTTGCCCACCGTTCGCAGGGTGTGAGTGTCTTGATCCTCGTTCGAGCTCGGGCCATGCTGATCCAAGTCGTTGCCCGCCGTTCGCAGCCTGTGAGTGTCTTGATCCTCGTTCGATCTCGAGCCATGTTGATCCAAGTCGTTGCCCACCGTTCGCAGATTGTGAGTGTCTTGATCCTCGTTCGAGCTCGAGCCATGCTGATCCAAGTCGTTGCCCGCCGTTTGCAGATTGTGAGTGTCTTGATCCTCATTCGAGCTTGAGCCATGCTGATCGACGCCATTGCTCGTTGACAGAGAGTGAGCGCAGTGATCCTCGTTCGAGCTTCAGCCATGCTGATCCAAGTCGTTGCCCACCGTTCGCAGCCTGTGAGTGTCTTGATCCTCGTTCGATCTCGAGCCATGCTGATCCAAGTCGTTGCCCACCGTTTGCAGATTGTGAGTGTCTTGATCCTCATTCGAGCTTGAGCCATGCTGATCCAAGTCGTTTCCCACCGTTCGCAGGCTGTGGGTGTCTTGATCCTCGTTCGAGCTCGAGCCATGCTGATCCAAGTCGTTGCCCACCGTTCGCAGTTGGTGAGTGTCTTGATCCTCGTTCGAGCTCGAGCCATGCTGATCCAAGTCGTTGCCCGCCGTTCGCAGACTGTGAGTGTCTTGATCCTCGTTCGAGCTCAAGCCATGCTGATCCAAGTCGTTGCCCACCGTTCGCAGCCTGTGAGTGTCTTGATCCTCGTTCGAGATCGAGCCATGCTGATCCAAGTCGTTGCCCGCCGTTCGCAGCCTGTGAGTGTCTTGATCCTCGTTCGAGCTCGAGCCATACTGATCCAAGTCGTTGCCCACCGTTCGCAGGAGGTGAGTGTTGGTGTTGTTGATCCTCCTTCGACCTCGGGCAATGCTGATCGACGTCATTGCCCATCCATTGACAGCGAGTGAGTGGGGTGACCCTTTGTCGAGTTCGAGCTTGCTGACTGAAGAAATTGCTGATCCATTGGCAGAATGTCAGTATATTCATCCTCCAGAGACCTCGAGCTATACTGATCAAAAATTTGCTGATCCATTGATAGCTTGTGAGTGTGTGCATCCTCTGTCGACCTACCACCTAGCTCATTCAAGCGTTTTCAGGATGTGAGTTCATTCTCTGTCGACCTCGAGTCATGCTGACCAAAGTCATTGCTGATTTGTTGACAGGTTGTGAGTGGGTGTTTCGCCTTAGGGGTCTAGCCATGCTTATCACTGACATTGCGCATCCCTTCACAGACTGTGAGTATTTTATCCTCGAGCCTTGCTCACCAATAACATTCCTCATTCATTAACAGAAAGTCAGTGTGTCTATCCTCCGTCGAGCTTGGGCCCCGCTTATCACTTATATTTCGCATCCCTTAACAGAGTGTGAGTGTTTGATCCTCGAACCTTGCTCACGAACGATATCACCGATTCATCAATAGGACGTGAGTTTATTCATCCTCCTTCGACCTTGGGCCATGCTGACTGAAGATATATTCTTTGACAGTATGTGAGTCTATTTATCCTCAGCAGAGGGATACAATTTTCAACTTTCCATCGTGATTTTACCAGCTTTCGCCCGCTCAACGTAAGGAGATGGGGTCTAGGTTACTCTCTGTGGTATGTCCAATTGGTCACAAACGACACACAGTTCGCGTGTTGAAAAATTGCCAGGCCTCTGGCTCATCACAATTGGAGACAATTGTTCAGCTTAGCTCCGGTGAAATTCCAGGCGATGTTGCAATGAACCTACTTATCATTGATCATGTAGCTGCCGTCATCGTTTTTGAACACTCTTTCTACATTTTGGAGCAGCACCGCTATCTTCGAGACTGGCAGGAGTCTCTTCCATATATTCGTGACGCTCTTGACCAGTACATGGCGTCTCCACATGATGCTGCTGTCAGGGAAGCTGTGAGCACTGCCGTCCGTAAATATCAAGAGGCTGTGAGCACTGTCAAAAACAAACCATCTACTTGGAAGGCGAAGCTACCTTTTGAACGCTCTCGGAGGAAGGCGCAGCAACTTTCCGAGAGGAAGGAGTTGATGAAAACAGTTCTTGGAATCACTCTACAGTATCGCCTGCGTATGTATCAACTCTGATGATTGTAACCATCCCGCTGATCTGTTTGTCTTCAGCGAGACCTTGATGGTGGGCAACGCATCACCACGTGGCTGATGTTTAGGGTGGAGTGAAGTATTCAGCGGTGAAAGCGAGTATCTTGAATGGTCTGTCGAGGTAGTTTCAAGAGGTGGACATAGTTGTATGATCATGCAATCTGGTGCTTTTTCTGGTATGGCGCACATGTCTTTGAAGCATATTGGTCTCCCTCAATTGAGACGGTGGAGAGACTTATGGGGCTTGAATATACATCCAAAGTATCCGTGGTCCGATTGCGAGTGCATGAAGGTAGGTATGTCCTGCGTACAAGCTGTCCTCAACCGTCATTTTTTAATCCTGTTTATTGTCTCAAGAGTTATTGCTCTATCTAAGTACTGAGTACTGAGATCCCTCATTGGGTTGTTAAAAGCTTATTTTTCAGCTCCGGATTCACTTCAGCGTGACCGTTAGTATCATTGACACGCCCGTCTGACCTAAAATCCACGACATGCCCATGACAAATGCGGAGTGACGGAGGGGATTCCCTGACCATCAACTATTCCTGCAAAGATCTTCTTCGGGCTTGCTCTGGTGAGGTCGAGCCTCCGGGATAAGCAACATCGCTAATGCACGTCACAGTTGGTGAGGTAATGTAGAACATACTTACTCTTGGAGACCCCAAATGATTTAAAATTAATCTGTTGAGTTACTTCAGTATGCCCCCATGCAAGCCATCGATGTAATTATGAGGTACTTATGAAGTCTGAAAATCATATTTGAACAACTGAACACTCGAAGCGGCGATGCTTGTCAGTGTTTTGGGGATCACCTCCCGTTCGTGCAAGTGTCGAACATGTTTTTAAGTCTCCAAATAACTCTCCAGTGACGCCTTGCGAAGCCTCCTACCTTCGAAACAGCTCCATATTGGCCAGAGTCACCCCTAATAGACGCTATACATCAGCATTGCTGCATGGAGTCCAGAGTTGATCTAACACGCGACGGTCTATTTCCTTATGCCTTCATCCTCACTCACGTGCCTGGTCACTTCATCGTGAAGCACGGGCATTTGCCTGCAAGTGGAAATCGCCCTTGGAAGTATGAAGTATACAACACCCTGTGGATGATATCGTCTCCCCGCCGTCATTTTGGGATCTTGAAGCATATAGATTTGAACGAGCAACGGTTCAGCAACCGCTGTAGGACCGTACCAGTGCTCCTGTCGGCTTTATTGTTGCGACACTAACGAATGGGACCGAATGGAATGAGTGCGAAATCACACTGCGCCGCGACTGTGTAATTTTCAATGTTAGATCATGAGCACAAGAAAGTTCTGTCATTTGGCTCTGTACCACAACGGGAGGTATCAATAACGATATCTTGTACATTTTGTTACTGCAACAGCAAGTAGCCTGGTATCATAGTTCAGTAGCAGGAGGGCAACACACACCACGGTCTTACATCTACACACTCATCTTCATCGCAATTGTTGGGTAAGGATTATATCCCTCGACCACGATATCTTCCGAATCAAACCCGTCAATGTCGTTTATCTCCCTTCTGAATTTGACCTTTGGGAATGATCTTGGCTCGCGTTTAAGTTGTATTTCGAGAGCATCGACATGATCGCGGTAAACATGTGCGTCTCCGAGTTGGATGATGAGCTCATGGGGTTTGGTCCCTGTGACGTGCGCAACCATGTGTGTTAGGAGTGCGTAAGAGGCGATGTTAAAAGGGATGCCTAGTCCGAGGTCGGCAGAGCGCTGGTACATGAGACACGATAGGCGTTTAGGAGCATCAGGTGTGACGGGGAGATGCACGTAGAATTGGCACATCATATGGCATGGTGGAAGGGCCATGAGCGGCATGGCTACGATATACAATTAGCGTGCGTGGGACCATTAAACTGAAGGTAAAATTACCTGCTGGATTCCACGCGCTCAAGATTATTCGTCGATCAGTCGGATCGTCTTTGATCTTCCGAATACATTCCTTCAGCTGATCGACACCCTGACCGGTGTAATCTGTGTCGCAATTGACGTAGTTTGCGCCAAAATGTCTCCATTGAAACCCGTATACGGGGCCAAGATCACCCTCCCGTCTGTGTCCCAGCCCCTGCTTTTGGAGGAATTCGCTACTTCCATTTCCGTCCCATATTTTGATGCCCTTCTGCGAGAGCACTCGGGAGTCTGTGCAGCCTTGGATAAACCAGAGGAGTTCCTCAACTATGGCACGTAGGAATGTACGTTTTGTTGTGAGGAGGGGGAGCGTGTCATCGGCGAGAGAGAAACGGAAAGAGGGGGGTGCAAAGATGGAGAGGGTGCCTGTGCCAGTGCGATCTGGGCGAACTTCGCCTACGTCGATGACACGCCGGACGAGGGAGAGATATTGGTGCTCCTCGTGTAGCGTTGTGGGCTCTGCGCTGCCCATTGTTGAATATGCGTGGTTGGTTATAGGTAACACGCGTGTAGATGGCAAGACGCGTCTTGTTCGCAAGAATAGTCGAAGCCGGCAGCAATTTCCAAAATAGGTAAGCATCATTATCGCAAAGTTACGGTTGTGCTAAATTATCTCAACGACAAAGCAAGGTACGTATTGACGAGGGGTAAGACACAAAAAGCGACAACAAAAGCATAGGGAACAGGCAATTGTTTAAATAATATAGCGATCTGGTGAAGTCCGTAGTTGGGTACACCATTGCGGGCCGACATCGTCATTCTTGAACAATATTGTACCAATGCCACGTCTTGTCTTGCCTTGTCTTCTCTAGTCTCGTCACCAGTCGCCTCAGTGTCTTGCATGAAAGCCGCCACATCACAGGCGGGTGAGCTTCTTGTGCAATGGAATCTGCTGGCAGCGACAAGATGGAGTGATCAGCATCAACTCGGTATGGGTTTCCGTCTCAACTTGGGGTTGACTCAACCCGTGAGACATGCTGTCGCATGAATTAAGAAGATTCTGAACCCCTGTAACAGCAGCATGGCGCTTCGTACGACGCTCCGAGTTAAACGTTAAACGTTAAACGACCGTCGTAGTAATTCAAGCCCAGTGACCATCGATGCGAATTCTTGATCGTTAATACAAGCGCGTGGTCACGTGACTCACCTCACGCTTGTTGGTGAAGAAAAGGAGACTCTTCAACTGCCAATCCGGTCATCCTTCAGCCTAGCTATCGTCACGTCCTGAAGCTACGTTTTGCCTCACAAAGACTGTCATTTTCTGTTCTACTATTAGTCTCTCAATTCGAGCCCTCAGAGCCACAATAAAACACGGGACAGCAATTCCAGCAACATACAAGTTGAACCCACTCGACGCGTGTTTCGATCCCGCGTCAAAGGTCTTATGCGCTCTATAGACAGTCGCATTCTTGAAAAGTGCCCTGATAATGTGGAGACCTACATCCATGACAAGATCTCCGTAGCTTAATTCGACAACCGCTCGAGTCGGCTCGACGATGTTCAACCGACTCATCCAGTTCTTGCTTGAAAGGCACCTTTTCAAGCTCGCTATCTCGGTCTACAAGAGAATGTTCCAAGAGCAGAGTCTCCATCCGTGGGATCAAACCTTTGGCGCCGGAACCTTTGGACCTTCCTTGGTACCATCTTTAGAATCAAAAGGCCGCGAGTTGAGATGATGAAGGGACAGGAAATCAAGAAGAATGTACCATTATCGGTGGCAAAGCGACTTGAACAGGTGCCACTCACTCCTCGACTACCTTATCAACAGCTGCGCTGTAAACGTGCAGGGCATCTACGGAGAGGAATGCGGCAGTGGGAGTATTAACACTTCCGATATCAGAGTGACCGAAGACGGCGATAGTTTACTGATCAGACAGCTGCCAGAGTTGTCATGAGATGTTGAAACGACGAGATCACCGGAGGGGTGAATGACAATGGGATTGGTTCTGGAAACGCACGTTGGCTCGTCCGGGGACTACCGACCTGTGTTCTTCCACACTTGTGTGCATGACAAGCGCTGCTCTGCGTTTCCCCAGGACAGTTACATAAAGCAAGTCTCTCCGGGGACCGGATGTTGGCCCAACCGGATGTGATACCAAGTGTTAACGTTGTTGTAGCCTCACGATCGTATCAATGCCGCCCCTGTGTATGTTTAACTTTGACAGACTTCCATTCATCCATTCGGCATAGCGTGCTTCTTTATCCTTTTACCGGGCGGATGCTTATCTTTTTCATCATACCTATTTTTGCACAACACCGGTATATGTCTATCTTCACCGTTCACAGCGGAGACGAATGTCCGTGTCCCAGAACGTCCTGGGCCTGGCCTTGACTGTATTTTCTCCGTTTTGCTAGACTTACGTGCTTGGTTTACCCCACAGAAGACTCGTCACTCTCCCGAACCCGGGCTTGATCTCGAGCACCAGTCATGATTTCCCCCCTTCTGCTTGCATCCGTGCCCCAATAATGTGGCAGCCTCGAGTGCCGTTCCAGGAGTTTCAGAGCCAATCCACAACTTCGCAATGGTTAGTTTTAGTTGCGAATATGATGGCTTGACGTTCAGTGTTCGTTCCCTTACGGGCATTGATGGTGCGCCCCTGCCTTCTGGCCCTTGAATGAGCTTATTACTGATTTCCATCTCAAGGCGGGTGACGACGAACCGTGCACCACACCCATCAATAGAGCGATAGCACACTGCAATACAGTGGATGGTGTCCTCGGAGGTCCGCCCGGTGACGTGAGAATTTGAGTATGTTTTCTCCGGCGATTCCATCATTGCGGGGCGTTGTTTTATCTCTCTGGGCTCGACAGGTACCGGTATGCACGCTTTCAGGTCGCATTGAAGATACGATCAGCTGTTCTAAATCTGTTGTCATTGATGGGCGTTCATTCGAAGTCAGTCTACCCCTCTATGTCAGGATTCAATGATTGATTAGCAACTCCCCATTCTTTGAGGAACCGAGTAATGTCCAAGAATGGTGAGCGCTGTTACAGCCCACTCCATTATAACAAGGTTGGTTTTCTTGATTTCAATTTTCGCAGCTTTCCAAGTTCATCATATGTGTGTATGATTTTGCTCGTCTTCCAATTGTCGACTGATTTATCAACCGTTTGATCCTCTTGGGCAGAGCTTTTCGTCATTCTTCTTACTAGCAACAACGAAGTCCTTTGCTCGTCGTTAGCTGGTGTGTTGAAATCGCCTCCCGCGGCTGTTGAAGATATTCTGATTCAGTTATTTTGCAGCACAAATATGATGAAATATTTCTCCTTGGTCACCCTCTCGTTCGCCGTGCTCCTCTCGGTGGCTACAGCAACCTATAGTAGCGATGGCGGCCAGGTCGTCACGAACGTCCAAACCTGTTACTGGAGCGGGTCTGCACCATTCTGTGCTGGAGGCTGCGGGTTTGGCTCCAAGGAATGTGCGACGAGCCCTTGTGGTGACGGGGCATGTTGTGTGACTGGGTACAAGAAATATTGTTGCGAGGGCGACAGGTGCTAATACTATGCACCTCAGTAATGAATGGATGGTTTTCACTTTTCTGATGCTAATTGTTTTTCTGGGATAATTGTATGCTATATATTGAACAATGCCATTGAATGTCTGCACCAACAAAAGGAAATTTCATTCGAGTCTGTGTTTTGGGGGGAGGGGGTATGGGGACACTCACTGCGTGAAGACCGAGGGTATAAGTGCTTGAAGTAGGTGTGCTTTAGTGAGGTAAGCTGAGGGACAGTTGCGGACAAGCAAACTCGACAAATCCGGTTTTTTTCCAGGTGAAACTGAGAATTTTCGGCCGAGTAACAGGGGACTGGCCACTCCCCCTGAAAAACAGACTCGAATGAGATGAAATTTCCTTTTGCTGGTGTAAACATTCGATTGCATCGTTCAAAGTATAGTATACAATTGCATTAGAAAAACAGAAAACATCAATTCATTGCTCGCGTTTCTGTGCTGAGGTGTCTAGTATTGGCAGGTGTTGCCGTAGCAGCATAATTTCTTGTACCCAGTCACACAACATGCTCCGTCACCACAAGCGCTCGTTGCACATTCCTTGGCGTCAAAACCGCAGCCTCCAGCACAGAATGGTGCAGACCCACTCCAGTAACAGGATTGGACATTCGTGACGACCTGGCCGCCATCGCTATTGCTACTATAAGTTGCTGTAGCCGGCGAGAGGAGCGCGGCGAACGAGAGGGCAACCACGGACAAAAATTTCATCGTATTCGTGCTGCAAAATAACTGAATCAAAATATCTCCGACAGCCACAGAGGCGATTTCAACCCACCAGCTAACGACAAGCAAAGGACTTCGTTGTTGCTAGTAAGAAGAATAATGAAAAAAAGCTCTGCCCGAGAAGATCAAACAGTTGATAAATCAGTTGACAATTGGAAGACGAGGAAAATCGTACACACATATGATGAACTTGGAAAGCTGCGAAAATTCAAATCAAGAAAACTAACCTTGTTATAATGGAGCGGGCTGTACCAGCGCTCACCCTTCTGAGACTTTACTCGGTTCCTCAAATACTTGGGAGTTGCTAATCAATCATTGAATCCTGACATACAGGGGTAGACCGACTTCGAATGAACGCCCATCAATGACAACAAATTTAGAACAGCTGATCGTATCTTCAATGCGACCTGAAAGCGTGCATACCGGTGCCTGTCGAGCCCAGAGAGATAAAACAACGCCCCGCAATGATGGAATCGCCGGAGAAAACATACTAAAATTCACACGTCACCGGGCGGACCTCCGAGGACACCATCCACTTGAGAGATGGAAATCAGTAATAAGCTCATTCAACGGCCAGAAGGCAGGGGCGCACCATCAGTGCCTGTAAGGGAACGAACACTGAACGTCAAGCTATCCTATTTGCAACCAAAACCAACCATTGCGAAGTTGTCGATTGGCTCTGAAACTCCTGGAACGGCACCCGAGGCCACCATATTCTTGGGGCACGGATGTAAGCAGAAGGGGGGAAATCATGACTGGTGCTCGAGATCAAACCCGGGTTCGTGAGAGTGACGAGTCTTCTGTGGGGTAAACCAAGCATGTAAGTAGCAAAATGGAGAAAATACAGTCAAGGCCAGGCCCATGGGAACGTTACATTCGTTTCGCTGAGAACGAAGAAGATAGAAATACCGCGGTGTTGCCCAAAAATATGAAAAGAACAAAATGTATATTATTAAATAATTTATTTTACTCACATTCACCCTTGCAAGGCAAGGTAAATTTCGTCCTTTAAATCGACTTATTGGGAAGGTCAGGTGTGTTGGTGAAGAAAGGAGACTTTTTCAACTGCCAATCCGGTCATGTTTCAATCCAGCTATCGTCACGTCCTGAAGCTACGTTTCGTCCCACAAAGATCATTTTTCTGTTCTACCACTAGTCCATCATACTCTCTCAATTCGAGCCCTCAGAGCCACAATAAAACACGGGACAGCGATTCCAGCAACATCCAGGTTGAGCCCGCTCGACGCGTGTTTCGATCCCGTGTCAATGGTCTTATGCGCTCTATAGACAGTCGCATTCTTGCAAAGGGCCCTGACGATGTGGAGACCTACATCCATGACAAGATTTCCGTGGCCAAATTTGACAATGTATACCGCTCGACAATGTTCAACCGACTCATCCAGTTCTTGCTTGAAAGGCACCTTTTCAAGCTCGCTATCTCGGTCTACAAGAGAATGCTCCAAGAGCAGTTCTTGCCCAGCCGTGACATTAGCTTGAAAGTGACGGCAATGACCGAAATTCTGGACGACGGCGAAGATACATTCGTCTCTCTCCGCAAGGTTGATCTATCTGCGTCCGGGAATATGGTTAGCGTCATGGTAACAACGTGTATGCGTGCAGGGCAAATGAACGCTGCAGAACATTGGCTCAAGAAGTATGAGAGTGACTGCACGGAGCAGGGCGTTGCCCCTGATCCAGCTCCTTACGCGGGCATACTGGAGACATTGCAGGAAATTCAACCCGAAAACTCTGGAGCTGTTCAGGCCACGCTGTACCGCATGCGCTCAGAGGGTGTTACGCCTGATATATCCGTTTTCAATACGCTTATCCGCTCCAGCCTCACTCGTCGAGAATACACCGAGGCCTTTGGGCTCTATCACGCAATCATGACCAACCGTTCTGCTTCCCTCTTACCCAGCGACCTCACTTTCAAGAAGCTGTTCCATGTATCCAAATTTTTGAGCCAAAAACGTTCACGGAAACACAAGCGCCCGGACAATGCCGTCCCTCCGCGCCAGTTGTTCCGGGATATGGTTCAATGCCATCTTCTGCGCACCGGAAATGCTCCCCGGGTGCACTCCAACGTAGTTTCAGCATCGTGCCTCCATCTTGCACTGCGGACGTTTATGGCTCTCGAGGATTACCCCGCTGCCATCATGACGCTCCGCGCGTTCGACCATTTTGGGTTCAAGCCGAACTTACAGACGTATTTGATTGTCATCACTAGTCTCGTATTGCGAATAAAGCGGGAGCTCGGACATATCTGCGGGGCTGACCAGCACCGCTTCGCAGATTTCGTCATGCACATGAGGCCTCGGGAGCCTCCAGACATTGACGTGCTGGAGCGGAGGATTCGATGTGAAGAACATGTGGTGGAATTATCTGGACCTGCATGCGTTGGCCCTGAAACAGTCACACACCTCCTCACACTGGGGGAGCCAGCTGCTTCGTCCCGGGATGAAACACCTCATGTCGGGCGCACGCGATTACCCACATCTGCCTTTCCCACTGTCGATATGCTCTTAGGAGCTACGGTTCTCTTGCCGTTTCAAGAAATTTCGCTCGCACCGCTCGTGAGACTGTTGAGAAAAATGATCTTTGTAGGCCTTTATAGGAAAGCCGCGCGGGGTAAGAGGGAGGGCTGGGATTGGAGAGGGGCAGTGGGTCCCATATTGTCGAGCGCGAAAGAGGAGATGTGGCGCGATTTTGAGCTTGGTCCGGGGACACGACCAGTAGTGAAGCAAAGGCGGAGAGGGCATGTCGGAGCTACGAGGGGGTCGTTGCCGTCATCGGCCTCGAGGGTTAGAAGGATGGTGAAAAATCAGACGCTTCAGTCGTTGGGACGTAGAACCTCTCGAATCTCAATAGGACAAACATCTAGATGATCATCACGTGATTTAAGTAAAATTCACGATTGATTGGCGCGTCTTGGTTAGGTCAAGTCATACTTATGGACTCAAGTGATTAACTCAGACCCAACGAGCATCATATGCCTCAAAGCAAGTCGGAGCGTCCCCAGAAACGCGCAAAACCTGAGCAAACGTCGCGGAAGGCGTATAAATTTTCGAATGCGATCGATGTCAGACGCGCTCTCCAGAATCAAGACCAGAATGCTCAAATAGAAGGTGCGCATACTTACGATAATCACTGCGAAGAATATTCACCCAGTCCCGCAGCCCTATCTGCATTGCGCTCGACTCTGTCTGTCAAGTCGGGGGAGATTGTTGCTCCTCAAGATGAGAGACTCGCGCTTGTTGTGCAGTGGATGGAGAGTTCGTCAGGTGCTCATGATGTTTTTGAGATATGGGAGGGTACGAACCAGGTGCGTGTATCCTTATTTCTTTCTCTCAGCGTACTGATGTTGCAATGTGCCAGTCATCCAGTCTATCGCTCCTCGTGTCCCTGCTATCCTCGGTCCTTACTCTGCTGTCCTCTCATTTCCCATACCACTCACACGGCATTCCGATTATCAAAACGTTGTTGTCGCCGAAATCGATGCGCAAAATCACATCTTTCATATCTGGCTCCAATGAGCTTATTCTCGTTTCATTGAAACTGTTGTACACCATCTCTCACTTTGGAGGTGGGAGGGAGCGGAAGGCGCTTTTTGAAGCGTTTCCATGGGACATGAAGGTGTGTTGGCCTCCCTACGATAGCTCATCGTCATTCACGATACTTTAGACTTTGGCAAAATTATCGCATATGAGAAGGAAAGGGAAAGGAGACGCAGAGGACGTTTTTGCAAGACCTGGTATGTCTCCGCGATATCTGCTGCCTTGAACTATCTGAATCTCGTCAACCAGATATCCGCACTTACTACGTCTTCTTTATTCTCTCCTTCATCGACTCCGAAACTTCCTCGCTGGTGAAATCGACTTTCCTCGAGCAGCAGAGGGATATATTCCTGTCTATCTTCAAAGGGCTTTCGCAAGATTCGTATCTGGTCGTCCGTAAAGTCCTCGAAGTGTGCTGGGTTGGGCTGTGGTCTGATCCGAAAGTGAAACGGACCGCGAAGATTGGACTGTTCGCTGAAATCACAATTGGACATGTGAGTGATATTTGACCTAAATGTCAAGTAATTGATGTATGGATATTAGCTTTTGAAATTATACGAGCGCGCCGGTGCTGAAAACGCGGATGGTGACCACATCCCGGCGGATCTCGTGCACCATTTTCTCCTTGCTATTTGTACACGACCAGGACTGGGCATTTGCTTCAAAGAAAGAGGATGGTATCCTCGCGATACTGATGCTGATGTCGTCGACGAGCCGAAGAAGGGCGGGAAAATATATAACAAAATCTTGAGTAATATACTGAAGAGCCTGAAGGTGAACGAAGACGCGAGGCAGCAGGAGCTTGCGTTGAAAATCCTGGCGGCGTGTCCAGAGTTGGTTGCTGGGTACGCAGAGTCGTCAATCAAAGATTTCCCGTTAATGATCGCTATTCCAGATACTGGCCTGCTGTAGGACTTACACTGGAACCCCGTCTATCGTCGAAATGGATAGCCAACATCGCGTTCTTTGGGCTTGTCATCTCCCAACCCGTACCAGTTTCATCGTTCCTCATCCCTGGGAATAGCATTTATCAACCCGATCCACCGCCGCTCTCAACAATCCTCGAGAGCATCCTTCCGTCTGTCAGCACCAAGATGCATTTCTCCAAAGGATTGCAGTCTACGTCCCACCTCGTGCAACATTGTACAGCGCTTGCGTTGGCAAGATGCTTGACCAAGCTCTCCTGTGTCTTCCGTGCTTTGCAGGATGTTGAATCTGCACTCGAGGAAGACGAAACTGGTCAGTGGACGCGTCGGCATCGAGAGGTGGAACGAGAGGCTCGGAGAAGGGTGCCGGAGTTCCAGGTAGTGGTGGCGTTCTCGCAAATGAAAGTAGATGCCAGAGAGGTGAAACTGGCTTTGCTTGGGGAAAGTGCTCAGAGATTGCTTTGGTTGTATCATCTGTGTTTCCCTCAGATGGTCGCGGAGGCGAGGTTTGATGTAGGGAAGTTGTTGCAGGGTCTTGTGGATGCGTCGCAGGACACTGTAAGGGAGGCTGGGAGCGTGTGCGGTTTGCATGGCTTGAAGCAGCTGCATGTGCTCCGATTGTTACAAGAAAGTGACCAATTTACTTGGTCTGGAAAGGTTGGTCAGTATTATTCGACGTGTAATGTTAACTTCGAGCGCTAATTAACCTTTTGATTTGGACAGCAAACTCTTCCAATACTTACCTTCATGCTCTTCTGAAGATCTTTTGCGCGACCCCCACAAGAGCAGTTCGGAGTACCCTGCGCTCACTGCTTAGAAAAACGCTCGCTGAAAGCATCCTTTTCCAAGAAGACCCGGACGAGGTGGACCTGTGGCTCGATTCCTTCCCAACAACCTGTCGCGGTGCAGGCTGCGAAGCCCCAGATGGCGCCGCACTAACTGACGAGTCTGACAGTGTTGCCACCTTCCTGGACGACTGCGCACAACGATGTATAAGAACCCCATATCGATACTTGGAGGCTCTTCAGGATCTTCTACCCATGGAGAATTCAGCAGTCGATGCGCCGAGTCCGCTGCTCATGACTGTGCTTGAACAATTTGCTGCCAAACTAGTAGGAAAATTGCTCACCCCATCGGACGCACTCGCCATTACTGGGTTTTTGAGAAGGCTCGTGTTCAAGCTAGCGGGCAAGTCGAGAGACCTGACGTTTCTGCGTATATTCTCTGGGAAAGTGGATGATGCTGCGATACCTGGGAACTTGTTCTCTCAGTATGCTTGTGTCACTGATGCGATCCGGCGTGAAGTGTCGATCATGCACAGGTGTTTCAGTCATTTCCAGGAGCTGCGTAGCCGCTCGGAGCCTAGCCCGAGTTCAGAGGTCGAAGACTTCTTGACAAAAATTGAAGGGGTGCCTTTGCGTGTGTGCAGCGTTTATTTTCATGTCGATGGAAATTGACTACATTGTTCTAGCTGAAAGCTCGAGTGCACGCATTCACAACGCGTACGAACTCGTTGACTGGTTGCGCTTCGTGGAACCTACTCTTCAGCCCCAAGATATCCTCCGGATTGTGGCCGTAGTTGAACGCTTTCATTCTCCTGCTCTCAAGGATTTATTCGAGAACCTTCATCCCGCAGATTCGCTGATGTGGGAAGGCGGTGATCTAAAAACTGCCTTGCGGCAGCTCCTCCAAGTGTATGTAACCTGCCGTCCTTTGATTCCTACATCGTGAATGCTAAATGCTTACACAGGCTTTCATTTGATTGGATGTTCACGCAAAGCTCTGAAGCCGACATCGCAAACAAGCAATGCCGCGAAATAATGCTGGAGTGTCTGTTCCTCAGACCACCAACACGGGTTCAGATTGAGCATGCCGTTTGCCTCGTCGCACATGATATTTGCTCGACGACGGAGCGGGAATCTATTTTGTGCGATCTACTGCTTTTGCTATCTTCGATTATGCACAGGGCAATTCGTGAACTCTCGAAGGAAGATGTCGCTCGGCTAAAGGAGTATGTTTTATTGAGGGCGCCGTCTATTCATGGCCTGTGTATGTCCGAAGATCTTCATGATACCGTGCAAGAAGGTAATGTTCTCAACGCAACTTAGCGCTCTTTCGTTAATTGTTCAAGCAGCTCTGTATGCGTTCCTCGATGTTTCTCTCGACCCCCACAGTGAGGGTGATAGGACAATCGTCTCCTCGATTTGTACATACTGGACGGAGTGTTTTAGGGCATCACTTCAGTCAGGACGATTGCAGACGGTACGATAACTATATGCATCAGGATGCACGTTTCTAATGTTTCTCCAGGGACGTTCCATCACATTGTGGCTACGTTACGCAGACCCAAACAATCTTCTGAACGTCATTGATCAGGCTTGCGATGCCAATAATGCCACCCTTACACCATCTGTGCTGGAGGTTCTGGAGTTTGCCCTCGATACCCTGAAGGGTTCCTTCACATGCGCTAGCTCGAGGATCCCGATTTCGCAGCTGCTGAGGTTACATCGGGTGTTACCTCACTCCGAGGTGCTTGAGGAAATGATCGCTGTTGTGGTGACTTCGCATCTTCCGCCATGTCATGATGGGCGGCCTCCACGAGCGAAGTTATTGGACTTTTCCTTATCACAACGATACCTGCCAACTTCTGGAAGTTCACAACTGGGCATACTGCCCGCTGATTTCGTCTCGAAGCTGTTTCAAAAGGCAGTTTGGACCGAATCTACGTCACGCATCATATCCGGGTTGGTTTATACTCAATCCGATGTTGCGAAGGAGTTTGTCGTGTGGTTCAACTCGGGAGCTTGGATGACCATTCCGCTCGAGCCTCTGCTACCAGCAGTGCATGCTGTTTTGGATTCCCTGGGTGGCGACTCCATCGATTTGTTCCGTGATACCACTATTACGGCGCTCTTTGAGCGTATATTGCCGCAGCGTCGTCGCCCTGAGGGCTTGAGACAGTTGTGCATCCGCTGTATCTGCATCTTACTCGAGGCGGATGCAGCTCGGAAACAACAGCTCGCCGGCCTGCTACAGAAGAACATTCAACGCCTTGCTGTTGAGCAGTTCGCTCTGGAAAGCGTGTCCATCGCCTTCCGCTTGCAATCATTTTCTCCACTGGCCGATCTCGTGACAGAATTAGCCGAGCGCGGACTGCAATGGGCAGTGCGCCACTTCTCTGGCCCCGAAGGTGAAGATGAAGAAGACCGACTGATTCTAGTTCAATTAAGTGCGTCGATTCAATGAGCCTTTTATGTTCCGCGGCTAACTCATATTCACAGCGAAAATTGCCAAGCAAGGATTCAAGGCAAAGACACACTTTGTAGAACCTCTGTTGACTACTATCATTCAGAACCGACTTGCTGATACCGTTGCTGTTGACATTGGTATTGCATTACTGCAGTGCTCGCCCCTCAAGGTAATCCTATCTTGTCATCTTGTGCAGCTTCAGGCTCAGTATGAATGTCTTTAGCCCGTTGTTGTGAATCGAACTTTGCAGAACATACTTCAACACCCTCAGTTCTTTAAACTATGTGGTTTTGAAGAGTCGTCTCAAAGAGATCTCATCATCCGTTTTATCGCTGCCCTATTCCGACTCCATCCCACGAACACATGTCAGCCTTCACATCTTGTTCCACTCGTGCGCATATATGGCGGGACCATCTCTGCCGCGGATCGCAATCTGCTGAGCATTTTCCGTTTATACGAGGCCGAAAAATTGACGCCTATATCATCTATCCTCGCCAAATGGTCGCCTTCTCCTGGTATATCTATTTCAAATCAGCTTGAGGCAGTACAAAACATGGATCCTATACGCATGTTGAGAACCTGCCATGTGTTCCCGATATGGAGACGTATGTCAGACGAACAGGAAGACGAGACGGTTGGCCTGGATGAGCAGGTTTACGATCCATTATTCGTGACTTTGCTCGTTGCCCAAATGCTTGCACATCATCCTCCAGCTTCGTCACTTGAATGGGTCCAGACATTCCGATCGAACGTTTTCAGTCTGCTTATCCGCTGTTTGTCTGCAAAAGACGACAAGATTCGTGAAGCCTCGCTCGGCTTGTTGGCAAGGGTGTGGAAATCGGTGGAGGTATGTGTGCTATATCGTTATTCGTTATTACAAGGCGTCAGAATGCTCACTCCTTATTAGCTTTCGGAGATGCAAGAAAAGCAGCACGCGCTGTACATCTTTAACCTCCTGAAGAACCTTATCAAGCCCTCATCCGATGGTCCTCCCTTACGGTTGCCTTCGTTTGCGTCATTAATTCTATCCCACGCTCTTCGAGGGGTGTTTTATCCTTCCAATTTCATCTACCCGCGCACGGCGCGTTTCCTTCTCCAGCGCCCAGAACTCGACGTGACTGACGTGCCAATGCTTTATGGCATGCTTTATGGGAGTTCAGATGACTGGAAGAAAGAGCGTGGATGGATCGTCAGGTTCCTGTCCGACGGGATGATGAGTACGGAAGATTGGAAGGTGCTTAAACGCCGACATACATGGGAGCTTCTTGCCAGTCTTGTGCAAAGCTCTGTTCGTGATCAAGTGTTGCGACGTGCAGTACTGGAGGTCCGTGACGCCAGCACTCTCGCCGATCCTTAATTCAAGCTATTTTACAGGTTCTTGCCAACCTGACTTGTAATGCCCAGGCAACGACTTCCCTCGTTTTGAAGTCATCTCTTCTGTCCTGGATCGAGATCCAAGTACAACTGCCACAAAGCCCTGAAGACACCCTTGCTTGGCTAAAGATTCTCGAAAACATTCTGATCACAGCCAATACAGCGAAACTGCAGCGGGCCACGAACGGACAGTGGCGAGATGCTCTGTGTAGATGCTTGTTGCTGGTCTTACAGAATTGCAGTGGTAAGGGCGTTGTTTTCACCCCGTTTTGAAGCTCATTCACTTTTACTGTAGTGCCGTCGCTCCTCATTCTCCAACAAGCCGCTCGTGTGACGCTACGATCAAGTCTAGCGTCTCAGACTTCAACTTTTTTCCATCTGTCGCAAGTTCTCACGACCGCAATCGGCGTTCTTGAACAGCTGGAGCCTTGCATAGATTTCAGCGAATCTAGTTCAATCAACGGACCTGTGATCCATCCTAAGGCGCCGTACCACGGTCATGGGTTGCACATCCAACCATCGATAACTGATCCCCTGCGTGCATGGGGTAACATTGTCGAAGACTTATGGCGGGCGAGTATGACGCTTGAAGAAAAGTTCGCGAAATGGGATGCCCTGACGGGCAGGCTACTACAGTGGAGAGGCATCGTCGGTGATGATGGTAGCACAATAGGCGAATGGGCGAGACTGGAAGTTGTCCGAATATCTGTGTCATCAATGGCCAGCGGCGTCCAATATTGAACGCAGATAGGATGATAGATTATAGCCTGGAAAATAATGTGAGACTGGGCGCATTGGACAAAATATTGAATATCTGTTCTCCAAGCTGATTGGGAGCATGCTGAGGCACCTGGTAAAAGATGATTACTTGATTTCAGAAGAATGTTTGTGCTACATACCAGGTGTCCTGCTCCGTCGATCCGCGTGACAGAGACAAAACGTCTGCCTGAAGCCGGATCAATCAGGGCATCCTGCACTGCGCGGGGTCTACAACACCGCATATGCGTCCGTTAAGAATTCAGCTTGGGTTTGTAGAAACTGCGTACATGTACTCATTGTCGTTTCCAAACACGATGCTGATGGGAATGCGTGAACAAATTTTATCCAAGTCTTGCACCGGTCTGGTTGCACCGTCTGGTTCTCTGTACATCGTCTGAAAGTATAGTCTCAGTGGTGTCGAGTATTTCACAGAGGATCTTGGCCGCGTACCACCTCTTCCTCACGTGAGCATGCTAGGCTGACACCATGGTAGGGTGCTTGCAGGTGACGCGCACCTGGGTGAACCCGGAGTCCATATTTCTGCGAGGTTATCAGGGTGACGATGTAGCAGAACAACAACAGGAATGCAGTACAATATACAGATCCAGGACACGCGGATCCCAGCGTTCACATCGCTTTCTTGATTTCAGGTTCTGATACGCGTATTCTGGGGAGGGCCACACGTCTCTTCGTTCGTATGCGTTTTTGATGAGAATACGGCGCAATGGTTCCACTGCCTCTGCAGTTGGACTGAGCATGGGTTCCACGAGGATGACAGAGGAAAATTTGAAGGCCGGTTCGAGGTTCTGCAATATAGTTCTAGTATATGACCTGTGAATCGAGGGCGGGTCTGTTGTGAAGAATATAGGGCTTACATAGCGACTCCACCAAGAGAATGACCTATTCCGACAAGACGTTGACTTCGGAAGTCAAATGTGGGTCCGAGCCTTTGTTCAGCAGACATAAACCTATGGACGGCATCTGCATATCTGCGGCACCCGACTGCACCAGGACAACCGTTAGTCTGGTATCGTGCAACTAAAAGGACTCACAGTTGCGGTAAAAAGGTGCCTGCTGAAGTGCATCCTCATTGAGAGCAGCAGATACACCATGGTTTGGACAGTCGATTGCCCATGCACATTTGATCTTCAATAATTTTGATGAATTTCCGGAATGTGCTGAAGAACACTGGAAGATACGTTCCAGGGTAGGCTGCCAAGTCTCTTTGTGAAAGCTGGTCGAATGAAGCAAAACAAGAGTGACTGCTTCCTCGTCATCCCAGTGAGTTTCAAATTCCGGTAGCCAGTACTTTTTGGCAGTTATGTACAGGGGATAGTGTTGGTCAGGTTCAAGTAGAGCCTCGCATTCCAGCAAGTTCGATGTGGGCAACATGTTAGTATTATCATTGTAGCCAGTGCCTCAGAGCACGACTTAAGCGCGGGGAATTTCAAACACGTGGGTGCCGTATTGAGGATATTGAGGTCCAACTTCTCAGCATGTTCACAGGGGCGCATCTTTGGGCGTCCTGTCTTCGGTGGGCACCTTTCGGTCGTCAATCAACACGGTGCCCTGGCCAAATGTAAGGACAATTAAAGTTCTCTCCTTCTGGCAATTCAAGAGAGAAGAGCAATTTGGTGACCTCAAGTACTGTCGTGGCCACCTCGTACAAAGTGGCACTGTGGCAGAGTTTGAGAATGATATTCAAGGGAGTTGACGGAGTCGCCGGGAGAGTCTGTGACCGTTTCCTAGTTCTTAAACTTCTCGCTGAGCAGTCAGTCTCTTCTTGAGTAAATGAAACGACCATATCATACTAGGCCGTATCCTTTCTCTTGCCAGTGCGTCTCGCATCTGAATCATCAATGAAAGCAGCTCTCAGAGGGCTTAAAGGCTCGGAACCGCAGAATGACCTTCAATTTCGTGGTTTACTTCCTCCAGATCGGTTCCTCAGTAGTACTAAGTAACTTGTCAAAGGCCTGAGCTGTTCAAATATTCTCAGAGCAACCCCTCAGGAAATTAACCGCCACGTGACCGCGTCGCGGTGTCCTAATATAAAAAACGCGTCTTTGCATTTTGCTGTTAAAGTTGAACCCTTTCCAAACCCTCCTTTGTCGATTTTCGACGCTATCACCCTAACTCACCCTTTACGACGCCATTACTAACTCGATGGTCAGTATGACTTTTTATTTATTTACTTCGGCCTATTCTGTCTTGCTCACCCGACCTTTTTTTAGTTCGTGGTGCGTGCTGGTTCAGACTCATTTGAATGTAGTTCCGCCAACAGTTTCTACAGTTTGCCGGTGGAAGTTCTGAATCGGTCCCACCTTCGAGTGCAGCAGTCACGAGGAGCCAGGCAGTTAAGGTAACATCACGGAAACCTGCTGCCCGTCAGCCTTCCAGTAAACCTCCAGTTACATCTGCCGTGGCCTCGACCATTCGCAAGACTTCAACTCCGACGAAACCAGTTCCATTCACTTTCAGGACTAATGTAACCAACTGCATTCTTGTACCAATCAGTTTGTTACTGAGACTTCAAATTTCACAGATTTCTTCGAGGACCGATAGGGTGACCCTCGGACAGACCCTCTCACCGAAAGCGGACAAGTCGGCCAATATTGAGGAACCCCCTGTGGTATATACAGGCTGTACCTTGATATTTCATGCAGCTTTATCTCTTGACAGGTAAAGGACGACCGTGTTGAAACCCAAGTAGAAACCGCGGAATCAACTGACGAGCCCACTGTTCCTTATGACCTTGAAACAGTGAGAGCTGCAAAAGTATGTAGTATGTTCTGCTTGTACCTGTCGGTTTCGTGATTCTCATCGATGTAGGTGGAGTTAAAGCATCTCCAGGGTTTAACAGTGGATGCGTCAGACCTCAGTAAGGATCACGAACTGCAGACTGCTCCACTCATTACGAGAGAAGCGTATATCACTGCTGGATACAAGAAGCATTCCACACAGTACGGAGTGATGGGTCAGGTTTTGTCAATACAGTATGACCGTTCTCTGTTTTGTGTCCTGATATTCATGTTCGGTACTCAGTTCGAAATCAAGCGCCTACGTCCCTGTAGATCCTAGACTTTATCTCAACACGGTGAGTCCTTTAGATTAAGATTTCGCCGATGTATCTCACGAACTCTCTAGAATACACCTTTTTCTGCTGTAGTTTGTGGAGTACAAGGCTCAGGAAAATCACATACAGTTTCAGTCCTCCTTGAAAACATGCTCATTCCGAAACTCCAGGAAATAGGTTCCCTTCAGCAGCCCCTAGCAGGACTCGTGCTCCACTTCGGAGATGGTGGTGTCGGTTCCCTTCCAAGTGAGGCTGCATGGGTCGGTGTCCCATCAATGGAGGGTGTAAATACACCGAAAGTGCGAGTCTTCGTGTCAAAGTCTTCTCTCAATACTATGAAGGGGGTTTATGCCCCTCTCGGAAAGAACGTCGAAGTAATTCCCTTGCTCTTCAACGAGGCAGAGTTGGATGCACAGGCTTTTCTATCTATGATGGCTGTCGGGTCGTCAGATTCAGCGCCACTCTACATCCAGATCGTTCTCGTGAGTTATGGATGACGATCCATTCTGGGTGTGTTGTAGTCTGACCTCTTCTTTTTAGAGCATTCTCCGAGATTTGGGAGAGACATTCTCGTACAAACGATTCACGGAGCGACTCGAAGAAGAGAAAAAAACCTTCAACCCCGCGCAAATTTCTGGCCTTGAGCAGCGCCTAACTCTCCTGAACTCGTTCATGGAGCACAATCGTCCAGTACCAGCCGCTTTTGGTTCAAAGACGTACGCCAATACCAGTGGGCCCAGATCAAATGCTACTGCTCCCAAATCGGCACGGTGTCGTTTCGCTGCGGGACAATTGACCATCGTTGATTTATCAGATCCATTCATTGACCCAGGCTCTGCGTGCGGCTTGTTCGAGATTGTCACGAGACTATTCGTGAGGGCTGAGGTTGAGACTGGAAAGGTTCTTGTTGTCGATGAAGCCCACAAGGTATCTGGCTCACTATATCTTCAAAGTTGATTGCTCCAACGTGCTATAGTACTTGTCCTCGCACAGAGGTGTTTCAGGGCTAACAAAAGCCCTGTTGACCCTCACGAGAGAACAGAGACATTTGGGGATGCGTGTCATCATTTCTACTCAAGGTGATACTGCCCTCGGTCAGAAGGAGAAGCAGAACTTACACAAAACACAGAACCAACTGTCGTTCCACCTGTTCTATTAGACTTATGCACTGTTGCTATCATGCATCGATTCTCTTCTCCTGCATGGTGGGACCACCTTGCACGTCACGTCTCTGCTGACGTGTCTATAGACGAAGCATTTGACACGGTTGTTAAGCTCCAGGTACGCCGTATCCTAGAATATGGGACTTCTCTAATGCACAGCACGCGTCCAGACTGGCCAGGCAATTGTTCTTGCACCATCGGGGCTTGGCGTGTTCCCCCAGGATGCAGAAATTCCTCGCTCAGGGAGAATTGAAGGAGTTACTCCAACTGTCTTGAAGATGAGCCGATTTGGAAGACGTCACATCATCATGAAGACACGCGCTCGCGTCACAAAAGATGGAGGCGCGTCGGTTCTTGTTGTTCCTAGTCAAGAAGAGAGCGAGGAGTCCGAGAGTGAAGAGGAGACGTCTGAGTCCGAGGAATCTGAGGATGAAGAGTCTGAATGAGTTAATTATATACCTCACCTATTGATTATTACTAGACACAGCTGCGTGCTGATTCTTTAAAGTACTTACTTGCATCTACGGCGTATTTTATGAACGGATTTTCATCATTGTGAAACGTGCGGTTGTTTTCATTTGTTTACCAAAGCCTTGCAAATTCAACAGGAACAAATAATATCCTGTCCCTTACAGCCGCAAGTGCAGTGCGTCACTTACTACCAAAGGACATTTTCTTACTAGCCACACGTGGCGCCTACCGCTCTCCTTCATCCATTGCACTTTTCCGTTATCTCGTTTTGTCTTCGTGCGTTTTGTCATGGCCGCCAACGTCAGAGTGCGGCGTCCAGCTACTCCGCCGCCCGGTCTTCCACATGTCGCTCCTTCATCGCATAAATATCCACCAATACGGCAAGACCACTTGAGTGCAGATGAGCGGCGAGAAGCAGCTTCCAAGGGGTACGGACCTGGACGAAGAAGTCATTCGCCAGGCGGTCTCAACATTACATCTGGGGAATGGAAACTGCTGGCGGTCGTCCTTCTAATTGCCATTGGTGTCAGGATGTTCCGAATATCGAAACCAGATAGCGTGGTGTGAGTATACCAAACATTCACTATACTCACCTGACCTATTCGCCAGTTTCGACGAGGTACACTTTGGTAAGTTTGCGGCGCGCTATATTAAAACGCGGTATTTCGTCGACGTGCACCCTCCACTTGCAAAATTGTTGATCACTGCGGCGGCCTTCGTATCTGGCTTTAACGGCGAGTTTGACTTCAAGGAGATTGGGAAGTGAGTGTAGTCGGCAATGATATCTTTCTGTTGTTGAGCATGCATTAATTAGGGTCTTTGAAAATGCGCCATATGTGGCTATGCGAATGGTACCCGCTACATTCGGAGTCGCAACTGTTCCAACCGCATATCTCACCCTACGAGCTCTTGATTGTCGCGCAACCACTGCACTACTGGCATCAGTATTTCTGACATTCGAGAACGGACTCATCACACAATCTCGTCATATCCTACTGGATTCTCCCCTCGTATTTTTCACGGCCCTCACCGTCTTCTTTTTTGTGGGGTTTTCGAATGAGGACAAGAAGGAACCATTTACCGAACAGTGGTGGACGTGGCTCATTTTGACTGGTCTGTCTCTCGGCGCTGTCGTATCCTGCAAATGGGTCGGTCTCTTTACAATTGCGACGGTTGGTGTGTGCACTATCTTGCAGTTGTGGCTTCTCTTGGGCGATCTTCGTGTCAGTCCAAGGATGTGGGCTAGGCATTTCTTCGCGCGGGCTGTCTGTCTCATCTTGATACCTATCCTTTTCTACATGACCATGTTCCAACTGCATTTCCTTATTCTTGGAAGCTCAGGAGAGGGCGACGCGTTTATGAGCTCGGAATTCAGGCAGACGCTGGGGCATGGGATGGAGGACACGTATGCAGGTCCGTATATTGCGGTGCTGCACATGGATATACTCAATCCTGTTATTATAGATGTTGCCATTGGTTCAGATATCACAATTCGACATCTGAACACACAAGGTGGTTATTTACACTCACATGCTCACAACTACCCTGGAGGAAGTGCACGTACGTGTGGCCTTTGCTCTCTATCATCAACGATTGAATGGCCGGACAGAGCAACAAATCACACTGTACCCTCATAGGGATGAGAATAATCTCTGGCGGGTGTTCAATGCAACGGTTGATGGCTATGAACAGTACGACTACGAGCACAAGCCTATTGTGTATATCGACCACGGCTCCCACATCAAGCTAAGGCATGTCGTGACTGACAAGGCCCTCCACTCGCACGAGGTCCGTCCGCCCGTCTCAGACGTCGACTTCCAGAACGAGGTTTCAGGGTACGGCATGGCTGGCTTTATTGGCGACATCAACGACGACTGGGTTGTCGAGATTGAAAAGGGCGACAGAAATGACAAGGAGTCGAGCAAGCGCTTGAGGACGTTGAGAACGCATTTCAAGCTCAGGCACCTGAATACAGGATGTTACCTCTTCTCGCACAAGGTGAAACTTCCCGAATGGGGTTTCGATCAGCAGGAGGTCACATGCAACAAGAACGCTGTCAAGGCCAACTCGCTTTGGTACGTCGAGACAGTTGCAAAGCATCCACAATGTAAGGTTTTCGTATCACTGTCATCGGATGTGTTCAGACCTGCCTCTTCATAGTACCGGCCGATGCTCAAAAGGTCAATTACAAGATTCCCGGATTCTTGTCCAAGTTCTGGGAGCTACAGCAAGTCATGTGGACAACGAATGCTGGATTGACTGATCGTCACATGTATGACTCTCGGCCTTTGACCTGGCCTCGTCTTCGCCGTGGTATTGTGAGTTGTACGATTGAGGTTGAGATTCATATCTAATTAGTTGTGTCAGAACTTCTGGGTCAAGGATCATCGCCAGATCTACCTAATCGGTAATCCATTTGTTTGGTGGTCAAGCACGGCTTCGGTCATCGCATATATGATCGTCAGAGGGTTCCTCGTACTTCGCGCGAAGAGAGGATACCGCGATTTTGACAACAGTGAGAATTAGCGCGGTTAGGTCTCGTCTCATGCTGATCCAGGTATCTGTTTTAGCCAAGGTTGCCAAATATGATTCCCTCTGCAGTTTTCTCTTTATCGGGTACTGCATGCATTACTTCCCATTCTTCCTCATGGGCCGCCAACTCTTCCTTCACCACTACTTCCCTGCGCTGTATTTCGCAATTCTACTTAACTGCGCCGTTTTCGATCTCGCCACATCGACTCTACGACCAAAGATTCGGTTACAGATCGCTGCCGTCCTTATGATCATGGTGATCATTACATACTCGAAATTCAGTTCCTTGACCTATGGCGATCCTTGGACAAAAAAGAAGTGCACGAACGCACAGTGGGTGAAGACTTGGGACTTTGCCTGGTGAGTCTTGGATGTTGCATCAGGAGTTTAAGTTTTGACGAGCATCTGTTAGTAACGAGTTTTTGGATGAGGTGTGTCTTGCGAATTCATGAAGCATTCTGACTAAACGCCAGGCAGTACTCCCAGTATTCAGGTGTAACTGTTCCTACTTTGAACCGGACCATCCCGATGGCAACCATTGGCGGTGAACCCGGCGGGCGCGCGGCCATTGTGGTCGAGGACAAGCTCGGGCAAGATGGGGTCGCGCCGCCTCAAGACGAACAGAGCACCGCCGTCCTGAATGGTGCACCAGAACCTGGGCGGGATATATTTGCCAAGGATAAACAGAAGGAAATCAAGAGCCAGATGATTGCGTTGCAAGATGTGCCAGTTATTGTGGATGAGAAGGACATTAGCGTGGTGACGTTTGAACCAACCACTGCAGCAGCACCCGAAATAGCAGCTGGGGGAAAAGAGGAGGTCAAGGTGCAAGAAGGTAACGTGGGTACCGGTGAGCCAGAGGATCAGGCGCATCCTGAAGTCATCGGTATCCTCGAAGAAGAGATCGAAGCGATAGTGGGTGAGGATGATGATGATTATCGAAAACCTCATGGGCCTCTTGACCACGAGGAGGCCATTGCAGATCAGGTGGCGCATGAGTTGTATCCAGAGGCCAGGGACGCCGAATAACTTATTCAGGAATCTGTAATTGTGTTGAGTGGCTACTTGAATAGACCTCATCGTGCACTCGACGATGTTAACAATTTACTCATATATCTATGTCTATCATCGAATCATCCATGATGTTGGTTACCACACGATGACTTGTGCACATGACGGTTGATTATGAGTGGCTGATTCCAGTCAGAACGTACAGTATTTGTGTGTGGATTCTATGAGATGCGTCTGCTTTCCTGTACAAGCTATGCGCGAGGTGCATACAATTGAACACAATGGGGTAATACGGTAGGGCGCGTACATGTAACGCAGGTCAGGTGAAATGTCTGTCATCCGCAATGTGTACAGCTACAGTATCTCTAGTGACCTAATATCAATCGTGTCGCGAATAGAAGTTGTGTCTCTGACTTGGACAATGATAGCATGATCTGATGCAATTCTTTTGTATTCTCCGCCGCGTTGCTGCGCTAGAAAAAGTGCGCCAAACGGCTGTCCAAGGCGAACAATCAATCGCAATGCCCGCAAGTGAGCTTCCGAATCAACCGTCCCTTTTTCTCCTGGGGGCACAGGAGGAGTATCGTGTAACGGAGACCCAGGTGGGGTCCAATAATCTTCCATGCTCTGCGAGCCATCGAGAGAATGAGGGGGTTCTGCATAGCCATCCTGCTCCGCAAAGTCGGGCAGCTCGAGGAGGTCACGATTCCATGGACGAACAAGATAAAAAGTTTGCAAAGTCGGCCTCTCTGGCCAAAATTGGACCAGCCTGTCTTCCGTGGTGATCAACAAATCATGAAGCCCTTTTGCATTAACTTGATACGTGAAATCTGTCTCCTGGTCTTGACCAGGCCTCCGTCTGACTTCGGTAACGGGGAATGCGATGCAAGGCAGATGTAGTCGGCAGTGCGCGAAACGGGCAGCGCTAAGAGAGTCAAGCTCACGGTACAATTCCAAGGCCACCTCTACAATTACAGTATCTCGCAGCGATGAGATCGATGACCGAATCCTGTCATCGGAAAGAGATGGGAATGACGGTGGGGCTTGGTACGAAGTGATGTCCGCTGGTAGACAGCTATTAAATGCGGATGCTTGCCCAACCCAGTCAAGGGCGCTGACATCACCCGAATGAGCGACAATCTCCTGTAAGAGCCGCCCCAGCGCGTTTTGCTTCTTCTCGCCATAGATTATGGGTAGATGGATGCCAAAGATGCCAAATAATGAGTAAGCAATGTCTTCTTGGAATGTGGTGACACGTGTGGATGCCCACTGGAGTTTCTCTCGAGGGTTCCTCATCCCTGGATGGAAGGCGACAAGGGACTGTGAATCTATGCCCGTAGCATCTCCCAACTCCCGCATGATTGCCACAGACTTTTTGTGGTTGGCAGATTGATCGTCGAGATATAGGGTCCAATCCTTCCGGTAAAACAGGACGACTTTAGGAGCCAAAAATTCTTGGACCGTCCATCCCCTCCTGTTCCAAGCACTATTTGCCAATGTCCTAGATTTGGATGAAGGTGGAACATCTGATAGGTAGACGATCGTAAGTGCTGAGTTGTGATACCAGACGAACATGGAGTTGACTGATTTTTGGAGCTCGACGTTGTTTTTCTGGTCTATGCAACATGTGTCGATCCACGCCCATAAGAACCCCGAATCACGAACAATTTCGCAGAATGACTGCAACTTCATGATGCTGTCAACTGGATCCAACTCGTAAACGATCTTGTCTTGGATGTCGTGCAGCAGGAGCTCCTTCTCTTCCCACCTATGCGACAGCATGACCCAACGGAAGTACGCGACCACCACGTCTTGGATGTGCTCCAATTCAAGGTCTGCATTCTTAATTATAGATGCCAGCAGCTGCCTGTACTCTGCGCTCGTCTTGAAAGCATGTATCTGCGCCTCTCGATCACATAACCGCCCAGTGGAAGTGTTGATCAGACGAATCGGAGCATCGTCGAGGTGAGCATGAATGACATCTCGAATAGCGCATTCTGCTTCAAATGGACTAATATAATGCTGGTGCGGCTCTGGAGAAAGAGTGAGACAGTTTGACACACATTAGTTGGAGCTTACTTCGTAATTGTGGGTCGGGAGCATCATCCAATTTTGAGAGCATGATTTGAAAAGCCTCGATCGCTTCGTCATAGGATTGTGCGCCATGAAGCGCCGCATGTTTCAACTCATATCCCAGATAAGACGAAGGGTTGAGTTCGATGACCTATGTATGGCTAAGATGAGCATGGACTACTATGAAACAATAGATGCCACAACACCTTTTCCGCATCGAGAAGTGCATCATCCCATAGCATTTTTACCAACCTTACCTTACTTCGGTTTGCAAAGATACTATCGGTTGCGGAATTCAGCTCAATCGCCGCCGAGTATAGTTCAATAGCTTTATCGTAGTCGTGCTCAGCGAAGGCAGCATCTCCACTCGCAGCAAAATCAGCAACTCCATTGGCAGCATAGAGCGCATTGCATTCTTGTACGAAAGCTGAGTTATATGCGCGCAAGGATCGTAATTGTAGCCGGGTGACATTAATGAAGACTTACCAGTGGACCAATCAAGGCAGCTCGCCTTCGTGGCTTCGTCACTCATATCCATCATGTATCGGTGCGATTCGACAGCTTCTCTAAGTCTCCCTGCCTGAAGGAGTGCATCGCACTGTTTCTGATTGGCAGTTTTCCACAAGGACTCGGAGTCCCACCCGAAGAGCTGCACAAAGTGCGTGGTTGGGCGTGAAAAATAATGTACAGTTGGATCATATCAACGTACCACCACAAAGTCTTGGTATTCAGAATGAACAGCCGACTGCGATCTAAAAGCGATGGCCTTGACAGCAGCACCGAAGTGGTCAGCGGCTTCATCATGACGCCCGCCATCCAAGGCACTGGTTCCATGTTGAAGACACAGATATGCCTGACCATGAGAAGTTGCGAAAAAATCACCTATGATTCCCACGTTATCAACTTTGTTAACTGGCGTCACGGGACTCTTAGTGACACTTAATAAAGCTTAAGCCTATTTGTATGGAGCACCGGCGGTGCACACCAGCCAAACACCTGTAAGATAGGCCTCATCCGGTTTCAGCACGTCTTATGTAAGCGAGTTTGCACTGTTCTACCTCGTTGAATAGCAACACCATAAAGTGACTTTTAGCAAATATAAGCCCTGGGATGTCTTCTAATATACCTTCTCTTAAGGACCCAGGAAGAATTTTTATTTTTGGTTCAGAACTGAAGAAGAAATAAGTCAAAAACAATAAATATCTAAAATGCCTTAGAATATCATTTCCACACTGCAGAAATACTAAGTAATTTTTTTGAGATATACCAAAGACATATTTGGCCGCTTATATAAGCAGTCACATGATATGTGGCTGTGGTCAAGATGCTTACTAAGAGGGCCAATGACATGTACATACCACAGAGTCAGACAGCATATGCCATATCTCCAACATACCTTGCCTCCTAAAGGTGTTGCTAAGGTTAAAAATCACTTTATACATAGACCTGCAATACAATTTGTACATAGTGATGGGCCCAATGGCTCTTAAACAGCTGCCTAGAGACTGGCAAAAATTTTCAAAAAAAAAATCCTAGCATTTGGCCGCATTTTAGGGTTAGGGTTAGGGCTTACATAAGGTGCTGGATCTGGATGAGGCCTATCTTACTTACACTACCAACTATTCCCACTGTAAATAGAGCGCGTGAATATAATAACCCAATTGGGTAATCCACGCTCGTCGCTCGCCCGCACCACTCCGCACGTTGCCGAAACCTTCGTGCTCGCTGTTGCACACAATGAGCTCGAGTATTTCATCATTTCAATGTATTTTATCCACGCTTTTTTACTGTACCGTGTTATATGTCATTTAATATAGTATATCTCGCATTTTCAGACCTAAGTAAGCTGAGAACAAGTGTACATAGATGTATTAATACTTTACAAGCAACTTAACTCCTCCACCTCATCCATGGGACTTGAGCCATTGCTCCCTGGTCGAAAAAACACCATTTATATGTAAGAATATCCATAGATAAAAAGAAATTCAAACCAAAGGGTGCTGGAAGCTGAGAAAGGCGCTCTGAAGCGAACATTGAGGGCAGGAGAAGAACAGGATAACATACATGGGCCAGGGCATCAGCCAAGCGTTTAAATATGTCATATAAACATACCTGAGTGAAGGGAGAGTAAAGGGAAAGCACCAGGACAGCAAAAAATGCGACCAAGGCAAGGGATGGGCTGAAGGTCATATAGAAGTCAACATAACTACTTACCAGTGATAGGAGGACAGAAGCGGTGTTCATGGAGGGTATTATGACTCTATTGGAGTCAAATGGGCTACTAAACCTGGCGATAAAATAGCTAGATGAGATACAATGATTAAAACAACAGAAAATGCGAAAAAACTAAGTAGAGGCTCACCATGGGGATCAGAGCGCAGTACTGGTGTATAGGACAGTGTAAAACATGTCCTCAAAGCACTACCACTAGGTTGGGTGGTGTGTATGAAGTGAAGAACGTGTTAGCAACAAAAATGGTCAAAAAGCGAATCATAAAACTTACCATGCCAGAGTGATGCCCAGGAGGGGTACCAAAGGCAGTGAGGTCACAGAATAATTAAAGGCATCCCAAAAAGTCATTATACCAAGGTGGAAGAGCTGTGATCAGGAATAGGACGGGTTATTGAGAAAATATGGGAACATGTACCAAAACCACTAACTTTGCCACTTTGCGACATGATACAGAGGCCAAGAGTACATATATTGACCTCATCAAGTACATGAATAGGTAAATAACACCTAGAAATGTCAACACAGCAAGTTTCGAGACATACCAATATGATGTGGTTGAATTAGAGTCAAATTGAAGGTTTAAGATGCATATGTACGGTGCATTACACAGTTGCCATATGTGTTGCAGTGTAAACACACACATATTCTCTCGATAATGACTTGTTTTCATCCTACCTCAACCACAACTCACTGGTATGTCCTGGAAGTCACACTGCTAATATTTCTAGGTGTTCTTTACACGTTCTGCTCTTTTTTGGATCAATATACGTCCCCAGGGCGTCCCTATTGGCAAAGTGAGTGGTTTTGGTTCATGTTCCCATATTGTCTTAATAACTCGTCCTATTCTTGATCACTGCTCTTCTACCTTGATACAATGACTTTATAAGATGTCCTGTATCATTTTGCGACCTCACTGCCTTTGGTACCTACACTGAGCACCACTCTTAACATGATAAGTCTCATAGTTCGCTTTTTGACCATTTTTGTTGCTAACACGTTCTTCACTTCATACACACCACCCAACCTAGTGGTAGTGCTTTGAGGACATGTTTTACACTGTCCTATACACCAGTACTGCGCTCTGATCCCCATGGTGAGCCTCTACTTAGTTTTTTCGCATTTTCTGTTGTTTTAATCATTGTATCTCATCTAGCTATTTTATCGCCAGGTTTAGTAGCCCATTTGACTCCAATAGAGTCATAATACCCTCCATGAACACCGCTTCTGTCCTCCTATCACTGGTAAGTAGTTATGTTGACTTCTATATGACCTTCAGCCCATCCCTTGCCTTGGTCGCATTTTTTGCTGTCCTGGTGCTTTCCCTTTACTCTCCCTTCACTCAGGTATGTTTATATGACATATTTAAACGCTTGGCTGATGCCCTGGCCCATGTATGTTATCCTGTTCTTCTCCTGCCCTCAATGTTCGCTTCAGAGCGCCTTTCTCAGCTTCCAGCACCCTTTGGTTTGAATTTCTTTTTATCTATGGATATTCTTACATATAAATGGTGTTTTTTCGACCAGGGAGCAATGGCTCAAGTCCCATGGATGAGGTGGAGGAGTTAAGTTGCTTGTAAAGTATTAATACATCTATGTACACTTGTTCTCAGCTTACTTAGGTCTGAAAATGCGAGATATACTATATTAAATGACATATAACACGGTACAGTAAAAAAGCGTGGATAAAATACATTGAAATGATGAAATACTCGAGCTCATTGTGTGCAACAGCGAGCACGAAGGTTTCGGCAACGTGCGGAGTGGTGCGGGCGAGCGACGAGCGTGGATTACCCAATTGGGTTATTATATTCACGCGCTCTATTTACAGTGGGAATAGTTGGTAGTGTAAGTACAGGTGTTTGGCTGGTGTGCACCGCCGGTGCTCCATACAAATAGGCTTAAGCTTTATTAAGTGTCACTAAGAGTCCCGTGACGCCAGTTAACAAAGTTGATAACGTGGGAATCATAGGTGTGGGCCCGAGGGGGTTGTAAGTTGTGAATCCGTGGTTCATTGTATCAATATATCTTCTCATTGAACCACTGACGCAGGCTGGCACTTCAAGGCTTGCTCTAATGCCCAACCCGCAAGGCAAAAACGGGAGAGGTGTTGTTAGTCGTAAGTGCATTTGAAACTGGGTTCAGTTAACTCAATCACACTGGCGCTAATTACTTTGCAGCTCCAGATGCAATCATAAGACCGCTTGTAGAGCAGTATGTTGCTCATGGTTACAGCAATCAAGAGATCATCTCTCGTCTTCGGGCACACCAGGAGACTAGCAAGTTCAATATATCGTGAGTCATAGCTACCTAAACATACCTTCAAACAGAGCTTCTGATGTTTGAATTATCAGACTGAGCCTCTTGAAAAAGCGACGTTCACAGTGGGGAGTTATGTCTGCCCGTGGTCAAGCACACACGATTGAAAGCATTGGACCTGCCATCGAGCGTGTTCGTCAATGGTTCCCCAAACAGGGCTCGCACGACATGAAGCAAACCCTTAGGCAAGAGGAACATATCATGGTTCCAAGGTTGTATATGATGTTCTGTCGCTACACATTTACACTGATTGAATTGTTTTCAGAGACTTAATACTGCGGTACATGAACCTTCACCATCCAGATGAAGTTCAGCGCCGGAAGAGTTGCTGGCTCAAACGCAGCACTTTTTGGACTGCAGGTCTTCATGACATTTGGGTTTTTGACCAACACGACAAGTGGCGTCGTTTTCAGCTCTTCCTACATGTTGGTATCGAGCCGTTCTCAGGGCGAATACTCTGGCTCAAGATCTGATGGACCAATCACAATCCACGCTTGATCTGTGGCTGGTATTGTGACACGGTCCAAAGCCTTGGAGGTAATTATTTGCATCCAGTCTCGATTGTCAGCCTACTAATGCAATCATTCAAGCTATGCCTCTCGTTACCCAAAGCAATCCAGGCACAGAGAACAACGGGATTGTGAACGGTCACACCATGCTTCGTCATCTTCAAGATCCAGGTCTAGCACGCACCCTGCAGCACAAGTTCAGAGGCGACCATCGCAATATAAAGCCAGAAATTTTCTGGAGCCAATTGCGCCGTCGCTGGACTCCGGGTTTCGAAGATATTCTTGATTTCGGTTTGAGTGCAGGCATCTATAACCCGGATGATGCACTCGAAAGGTTCTTCTTTTATGTCTTTGATACTTCTTGCACTAACACTGTGTGGAACATAGACTTGTATTTCACTTTGTTTTCATTCCGTGGCTCCAGCATGAGCTCGATCTTTTTGCCGATAAGTTCAACAACACTAAACCCCGCTTCAACATGCACAAAATCCTACCACATGGTCGCCCCAATGATATCTTCGATTGCCCTGAGAAATTTGATTGTCGGGACTTCTCTGTAAGCTGTCAGACACATTCTTGTCCATATATTAATGTTTTGCAGGTGATCGTCGATAATTCCTCACTTGAGGAGGTCCGGAAAACATACGCTCCTTCCGATCACCCCGTTTTTCTCTTGGTACCCCAGGAATTCTCCCAGCAGGCTACGGCATTCATGTCTGAGCTCGGTCATACTGTACTGACTCGTGACAATATCTGGGACGTGTATTCAGGTCTTCTTATGTGCTTTCGAGCCATTGAAGGCGAGGATCCCATTCGAAGTGTCATCACCGCACAGCCAAAGATCCTGTGCAACGGTGAAAAACTAATTGGGTCTGAGGAGATGGATGTTCTGGATTTACCGCCATTTGTTGAAGGGGCTGGATATCGTGTACCCACTGGTGAATCTGCGGCAGTCAACTCATCAGATGAAGAGTCTGACTTCTACGAGTTTACCTGGACAGATGAGGAGGCAATTTAGATTCAGCAAGTCGAGTAGTACTGTAGTCTATCTTAGTCCGCATCTGTTGGTGCCATTGATATTGTAGTACAATTGATTTCCTGTTTGAGGCTGGTATCACTGGTGTCAGTATCACATACCACCTTATTGAACTCTTCTTGCTTTCCCTCAAACAACTGCTCAGGATCGTGATGCTCAAAGCAAGAAAATTCTGTTAGTTGGTCTCATGCTGATCATGGTGTCTTCTGACGTGTTCGAGTCAGGCTCAGTCAGTCGGTCCAGTGCATTGAAGGGCTAGCTATCATGCTACAGGATCTGGGAAGACAGACACCTTTATTTGATCACTTGAGAATCACACTTCAAAAGAACAACCGTGACTGCAAATCACTTGGACTATTATATGTCTAACATGGTTCAAAAGCCTCCAGCATCCCTTGCTCGTCCTCTGAATCCACCATGGCAGACTTTACCCCCATGAATCCAAACAGCTGGAGACTTTGTCAGCGTTGCAACACACGCTTCAAATCAACTGTACCATTTACATACGTGCGTGGTAAAGACGGCTCAGGCCGTACATGTTGCCCGACCTGTGCAAAGCATTACGAGGGACGTAAAGCTATAGAACAGACTCGAGGCCAGCAAGCTACAAGCATTGGTGAGTCCAACTTTGATGAGTCCGAGTCGTCCAAAACTAATCAAATTCATTATCATTCATGTCACAGACTTCACAGCTGCTGAGGGGCCCTCGAGACCTGAGCTGGTAAAAGCAATGTCAGCAGCGCAACGTGGAGGTTTGTCATGCTCTGAGGGCTTCCGGTTTGTGTACGAAGCTTAATAGTACTATCTTATAGACAACATCTTTCCCAGTCAGCGCTTTGGCCATCCAGCCCACATGCTGGCAGGTGACCGCGGAAAAATGCTTCCTCCTCCAGTTCCTGCACACACAAGCATGGGATATACGCCCAATCATGCCGTGCACCAGCTGCATCGCAGCAAGATGGCTCAGGCAGCATCGTCAGGCCGCTTCCATCAAGTCATGATTCGAGTTGCCTTACATCACCTGAAACCAGAGGGAAAGTCGGGCATAGTGTTAGTTGGTGTAGGTTATATTAATTCTAACTCGCACTGCTCTCAACTTGCGAAATTTACAGAATATCGAACGTGATGTGCGTGTTGCGCTCAACATTACCCTAGCTCAGCTCCAGTCCGAGGTAATCAACCAGCTCGAACCATTATGGGCAGAGTGGTCGCGCAGCCACACTCTCTCCCTCTATAGCCTGGAAATGCACAAATCACCAAAGTTGATTCTTTACGACCCGAGACAACCATCCATTGGTGCTAATGAACCAGTCCTACAAGAATTCTTCGTGCGTGCAACGCCCAAGGACCCCACACCCAATTTTTTTGCAAACGCTCGTGTCGCCATCCTTCTTGTAATGACAAATGCGCAGTTCGAGGATGTGTTGCTCTGGCAAGAGCAATGTGTCAATGTAGGTCTTTTTTCATGTTTTCAGTGATACTTTTCACACTTAGCTCAATCTCACAGAACATTGCACCAAGTGTCGACGCTGATGTGCAAAATGTACTAACATCAGCCTCTAGTATCCCTGCAAAGAAAAGGGTACTGCAAAGTCAAGGTAGCAGCAACGATTCTAGCCCATCGCCACCACGCTGCCCTGCACGCAAGCGCTCCAGGAAGGTGAGTTGAGGTGCTCGTATATTGGCAGGTCTAACCATATTTGATACCACAGTTTCCGATATCTGAAATTAGCGAGGTCCTGGCAGGTGACGATGTCTCAAAGGATGAAGACCAATCCGATGTCTGTGGCGGCCCTTCAAAGCTGGAACAGTCGCAACCTGTCTTAGCAGCAAGCGCTCTCATATCAAAAAAACTCTTCTTACCCAGCCAATCTCAACTACAAGCGGCCATGAAAGCTCAGGGAAATGTTAGAAAACAAGCATCCTCTACTATAGGTACGTGCCTTGAACTTTTAGAATCGCTCAACTAGCTCACATTATGTGATGACAGGTGCTGGATGTGTCCCTATCACCTTTCGTCTCTTCGACATCCCTTCCATTGGCTTCGCAGCGCTCGTTTCTACACCATTCAGTACTACTGATAGCAAGTACACTGTCGCCGCACTCACCATCGACACCAGCTCCAAATCTATGACTGGCTTGGCAGGAAGCTTCAAAACGTGTCACCCTGCCTTGATTTCAAACGCAGACGTTGTCCCATCCATGTCTACATCACCACCACCATCTGTTCTGTCAGCCGAGCAGGTTGTAGCTAAACGCGTGTTTTTTCGGAAGGGCCAAACCATGGGGCGTTGCCGCTTTGCAAGGGAGGATGAGCTGGAAAAGACACTCGACAAGGTGAATTGCCTTTACTGGGGCACATCATTGCTCGGTATGGCGTACACCTTCGTTGACGAGATGCTCAAGACTGGCAATGTGAGCCAAGATGTTGTGGTTGAGTTACCACGTCTAAGGCTGGTTCGTGCGGCGCTAGCCATTCCCGATGATCCCAACAACGACCTCGGCGCAAACTATCTCATCGAGGAGCGGATTAGCGGAAAATTCGTCAAGTACATCAACAACAACTCCGCCGTCCCCGCCCATAGTCTAGAGGGCAGAGAAGCAGTCATCGGACTGTTTTTATGCTTTGTTCAACACGTGCAATATCACCTTACTAACAACATGGTATATCTATCTGATTTCCAAGGCGAGTCCTCAACCCCTCACCTGACTGTCACCCACAGCTAACTGACTGCGCTTGGCATAGGTTCTGGTAACCTCCTTACAGATTGCCAAGTGCTAACAGGCTCGTGAGTTTGTACCTACTACTAAGCCTTGGACTGTCATACTAACACGAGCCTTCTCTAGAGCTTTCATGAACAATTTGGTGGAGGAAACTGCACATCTGCTTTTAACAGTTTCAAGACCACACATATATGTAATAAGTTCTGTGGCGTTTTCGGCTTGCAACCTTATGTTATGTAGCATTTTAGCACTCGGCGCACTACCATTCTTGCTGTATAAAATTACCTGATCATAGTGTTCATCTTGTGAATTACTTTGGCTTGTAGATCGCCTCATTGACGTGAACATCAGTACTACAGAATCATGTACTCTGTCACTTTCACGGCCAAGCAGAGTGCTACTAAGTGACTGCGATAGAACTAAGAGACTGCGATAGAGATGCATGCGTGAGGCTGTCACTGAAGTGCATTGCAAAAGCAAAAGTAGACAGTGTATATACTTATATCTAATTCTTCCTGGCCCTTGTGCGCTACGAAATGCGAATGGAGCTGCTCAGTGTTTGCGCTCACGAAGAAGCTGAATTGGGTGAGGATCACGGTCCAGACGTCATCAGGGCGGAGGATGAGCCCACAATGATTGTTGTATGCCTCAAGCACGGTATGCACGAATCCATTGGGCTTTGGCATGACATCACGCACCACATTGAGCTCGATGGGGAGGGACGTGCGAAGGAGCTCAAGACAACGCGTGAATTGCTCAGGGGGAGATCTTTTCGAGAACGGTAAGGTAAGGGTTTTGGTGAAGAGGGATCTGAAGACGATAGTCTTCTGTAAAAGACTCGGCGGGGTGCGTGGCGGGACAGAATGAAGTCACGCCAGGAGGAAATTGTTGAGTCTGAGAATAGATCTGGTGCTCAGGTATGATTCAACATGGGAATGAGATGAACATACCGTGGAGAGCGGGGACAGAAACTCAAATGATGCCGCAGAACTAGCTGTAGAGGATATTGGGGAGAACTCATGAGGAGACATGGCGTGTGTGGGGGATGTGGTTGAGATGACTCTCTGATGCCGTTTCTGAAGCCTTGAATGGTTGATCAGTGACTTGTACTAGAAGTATCTGCAAAGCGCTGATGGTACGTGTGATCCCTTTAAGTTATGAGCCGATTTATCTAACACGTGTCATGAATAACGCACCTTTACATCCACGGGCTCCTCAGGGAGAATAAATTCTTGCATGTCGCCATCATTGACTACGACATAATCGTGCATGCTAGTAGCATCATCCAAGCTCGTCAGACTGAACAGAAATGCCAGGTAGCATTGAGTGGATATGGAGTGACAGCCATCGTCCCATATAAGAGATCCGTAATGGAACGGGTCACGTGAACGTCTGGAAACCTTGTCAAGCAATTGCAAGGTAACTAGGGATATACAATATACATCAAATAAATAAAACGAAGAAACAATATTCCTCAAACCAAAACAGCGAT